CAATCACCAACAGAGTACTAATGTCCTTGCTTAATGGTAATAGTATTGTCGTATTAGTTACTTTCGAAACTTATCATTGAATTGGTTCGATGCAAACGAGGCAGCATATTAGGTGGAGTGAAAAGAAAAGCGCGAGAGAATAAGAAGAAGAAGAAGAAGACGATGAAGAAAGAAAAAAGAAAGCCATACTCGTGTTACCTTTCCGTTCTTGACATACTCCTAACACTTCGCAACGCAATGTAATAGACGCCAAAGCGAACGACAAAAACAAGCTACGGCAAACGACATCATCATCATCATCAGCAGCATGAATGGCAGTCTTAGTGTTAAATACGGCAAACGCGTATATATATATATAAAGTAAATTTACATAAGGCATACATACACATGCACAACACCAAATGTCGCATAAATTGAAAAAAGTAATATGTAAAGAAAGGAAAAAAGTGAATTACAAACGATAACTAGTAATATGCATATCAATTCATCAAGAATCGAAGTATTGTATTTCAAGATCTGTTTGATGATAATGATAATCGGATTCACGTGCTAAAAGTATTAGTGAAAACGTGACGGCGATATAATTATTGATGCCATGCTGAACATCATTAGTTTCGCAAATATGAATGTCTGAATGGACAGAATATGGAATGCATATGAACTCACATACAGTCATCAAAATGGATGACCCCACTTTTCTCATTCTCCCTCTCTCGTCGTCATCGTCTTCTTCTTCTTCTCCTTTTTCATGATTTGCTTTAACTAAAGGGACTTGATTGACAAACACAAATGCATTCAAGAGAAAAAAAAATGAGAAGAGATTGCTACGACTATATCCGGTGCAAGAAATGCATGCGTCCCTTGTGTGACAACTATCAGTTTTATCTTGTGTTTTATCTCATCCATTCAAGGTGGATCTTCTACACTATATGTCAAGAGAGACAACGAGAAAGAGGAAAAGAAAGAACTACAGGGAGAAGGAGAGAGAGAGAGATGGGGAAAGGAATATTAAGAATTGTTGATTTAGCTTGAAAGGTGCTACTAATTGATGTCATGTAAAAAAAATGCTAGTGCGAACGAACAAAAAAAGAAAATGTATGTTAGAATTTATGTCATTTTTTATTGGACTTCGGTTCCTACTTGGAGAAATGTGTTTGCACGTGTTCAGAACACATTTTCATCGGAAGACAAATGGTCTGCCGACTCAAAGTCGAATGATGTAATAGACAATTTATTTTTCTCCTCAACTAATACAAGTACAGATGACAGGAACAGATATACATATGAATGCATGTTGCATGATCGCGAATTCATTTGATATATGACTTTTCTTTTGGAAATGAAAAAGAAAGCAATGATGAAAATCATTTTGAGTTTCCTTCTGTTTGACGGTTTGGCAATAGAATTCTGAGTTATCAATTGCAAATTTCATTAATGGCTAACATATGTGCGCTGGACGGGAGATAATTGGTCTGATTGTGCGAGGAAGATATCAGTGACATTCGTAGCAAGTTAAAATAGAGTTCTTAACAGATTTTCTAGCACTGCAATAATCACAAACAGAAAAGATAATCACTGTCTTATATTAAGGGACAGATCCCTCATCATTGACGTCGTTTATCACTACATACGTATTTACATGAAAGAAAAGATAGTAATAACACGAACGAGATTGAGAACGCATTCTTTTTTTTTTCAGGAGAAGAAAAGTTGGAAACAATCTATCAAGTGTTTCTCACTTCCTTTATTGCCCAAGATGGTAATTACTTACCAAAGTGAGACACGCAAGCATTAGATTAACTTATTTTTTTGCCGATAGTTTTTGGAATTATCTGAAATGAAAGAGAAACGAATGGTAAAGCATCTGTATTGCACATTCACTTAATACCGATGATGATGATGACGATGGTGATGACAGAACCCATATTGGCCTTGGTATAGTTATCTTGTCTTGGAAAGCGAAGAAAGCCTGATTAGCAAGTAATCACACGTCGTCATCGTTTGTTTACAAGATAAAAAAGATGCACGTAGGCATAAATACACATATACATTAAAAGATCTGTGACTGATCATCGTTTCTCCCCTCTTACCCGTCAGATAAAAAGAAATATAAAAGTAGGCTCGATCTAACCTTTTCAATAATGGCAACGAAATGTAACAGAGATCTGTAGAGCGACAAACTTTCTAATGTACTACGATCGTCTTCAGGCAATTATGCAACGTGTGCGTGTCGTGAGCAAAGAAGCAAAACAGGCAGACACATGCAGGCACTTGATCTCTTATCTTGATGCATCTCGATTGGTATTACCAATGAGTTTCGCCATCGAAACGACAGTTAAAACATAGAGATAGAGATGCTCGACGTTGTTTACAGATCGATGCACTAATTGGCATGCACACTCATCGAACACTCGTACAGAGAAAGAGAGAGAGAGATAGATAGTTAAATTGATGGATAGTCGATCGGATGTGATATGACGAAGGCAGTGTTGCACAAACATACACTTTTCTCTCTTATCGCCTAAAGGCGGCTAGGCATCAACATGGGAGGAACTTTTTAACAGAATTCGATTGTCATCATAAGCTAACTTATATAAATATATACACAGACAGGCAGACAGACAGTCAGATAAAAAATGAAAGAAGAAAATCATATTTGATGAACTGAAGAAAAGACATATACTTAATGAATATAAACTTTCGATGATCGGCAAATGTCAATGTTCGAATATTTGTCAGAAAATTGACTGAAGGTCAGAGAGAAAAAGAAAAATAAGAAATCTTCAACCATAGTTTTATCAACTGTGAATTTTGTTATTTTAAGACATTCGTTGTACAGATGTCGACCAAGCAAAATAGAAGATAATTATCTCTCTCTCTCTCCTTCTCGTCTCAAACTAGTCTTCTCATTGACCTAAACATATATTTGATAACGTAATACTTCCTATCGAAAAGAAACATAATTAATGCGTCTGATAGTCTTAATAAGTTGAAGATCAAACCTATTTGTAGACTTTCTCAAGTACTTGCTTGTCATCTGAACTGATGATGTACTCATTAGCCTTCATGCAAATTACGTCAGAACATTTGCGTTTGACGAAGATAGTATTGCTTAGGCGAAAAACGAAATATATTTGGTAAAACAGAAGTCATTGTCCTTGAGTGATAAATAGAATTAAAAGCTCATAAAGATTCAAATCGGAAGCTTAGGAACATAATCAAGTACATTTTTCCTCCGAGCAGAAAAGAAAAAGAGAAAGAACGTCATTGTCTACTGTCATTAAAAGAAATCTGTCTTGTGTTAATAAAAATATTGTTTATTGCCGATCTGTTGACCTTCAGATCAACTTGTAATTGAGCATGACATCGTCTTATTTATTTTTCCATGATATAATAGGTTACATATCAAGGTCGAAAAAGACATTTTTTTGCTCGAAAGATATGCTGAAATATATGTATATGTACATACGCGTACACTGTTTTCTTCAATGATGGAGATGAAACTTGCGAAATATTGATTTATGACTTTTACAGCAGTTATTTTGATAAATGTGCAGATGAGAAACGATTTACGGGTCGTTAGGAACGTAGGGACGCAAAATTCATTTTGAATTTGCATTACAAATCATCGGAATGGGCTTTCATGTCTATCATAGACGAACATAAGACTGCAATATAGAAGGATGTGATCAAAAATTGCCTTTTTATTACATAGGTGACATTAATATAGTAGTAGCAAGCAAAATAAATGTTCTTACTTTATTACCTTGTCGTTTGAAGAAAGAATCAAAAAGACATATACTTTTTTTGAAAAGGAAAGAAAATATACGAGAAATTACGAAATCTGTTGGTGGCTGATGAAATATGATGAAAGTCTTATGCAAAAAACCTATCGGTGCCGGGATTTGAACCCGGGCCAGAGCATTTAGAGTGCTTTATCCTAACCACTAGACCACACCGACTTGACGAATTCTCACCGATAAACTGTCCACATTCCAATCGATACATTTTCCGTCACTTTGTCACTTGTAAATCAAACCTCGGTATTGTATGTGTAAGATTTTTAGTCAATTTATTAGTTCGATTTGTTCGAAAAGAAGAACAGTTTTACAAATCATAAGATATTAAAAAAACGAAAATAGTTTGTATTTGAAACTAGTAAGAAGAAGTGCTGTTGATGTTTATGCATCACTACTTGCCGCAGCTTCATTGTAAAGTGGATTAGTAATTGGACCCAATGGTGGTTGTGTGATCAATGGTGTACTAGCGTTATCTCTGAAAAGGATAAAATTGAAAATGGCAATGGTCTTTAGTGAACTCTTTTATACATACCTAGCAGCACGAATACGTGGTAGAATGAAAATGTAACCAACTATAGCGAGAGCAATGGCAGCAATAGCACCAAATATTCCACCCAAGATAGCACCCACTAGAAAATTTGATTTATACATTGGTTTGTTTTTGAAGAGTGAGAGTTCGGATAACTTACAGTTGCTCTTTTTCTTCGGTTTTTCTTTTGTTTCACACTGAGCACCGGTGAAGCCAGGTTTACATCTTTAAAAACATATTTATCGGTTGCAAGAAATATATTTTCCGCAGAAAGATACACTTACTCGCAGACTGGTTTGCCAACTTCGGTTGGTGATGGTTTACAAATACCCTGGTTATAGCAAGTGAACTGAGCACATTCTAAATATAGACAAAATGAACGTCTGCTCACACAGGAATACGTATCATACCCGTAGGGGTTGTAGTTGTTGTTGCTGGGCCTGAGTACGTGGTTGTCGTTGTGATTCCAGTAATACCAGTTGTAGAAGATGTTGATGTCGTTGTTGTTGTCGTTGTCGACGGACCTGTATATGGTGTTGTTGGAGGTCTTGTTGGGATTGTTCCATTGAATTTAATACATTGCGGTGTAAATGTAACGTCATCGATAGCCATGATTGCATCTCGATCTACACCAGTTCTGACACCGATCATGATCTATATGAGCGCAAAATACCAAATGATTAATGAAAATGAAATGAACTGTTTCGCTCGTACTTCTGTAGCATTGGTCAAGATCGAACTCAATGCAACGTCAATACGCTGCCATGAGCATTTGGACGAATTTGTTGGACATGATGAAAAGCTGGAGATCGGAAGTGCTATCAAATCAGCTCCGATTTCATATCGATAATTAACCATTAACAGTCCATTGTTTGAACTCTTGAAGTACGCCCAGAAGCGCATTGTACATCCTTGTTCACGTGAAGGTGCCATGTAAGTTGATATCGATGCAAATGTATCACGTGGAGTAGTAGCATTTAATCGTAACGCATAGAAGTGTCCCTGAAAAATAGTTAATGCACATGATGATCGGTCATACGGTAAAATCAATGAGTTTCCATTGAACTTACATTACTACTTCGTGTTGAATGATCGTAAGGTGGTCTGTGGTGGAACGGTAATGCATTCGCGCGGTATCTTTCCCATTTTAATTCACTGCCAGATGTTGGTTCCCATAAACATGAATCCTGTTCAAAATCACATCTAATTATGAAAGAAAACCAATGGTTTCTTTTTTGTCTTGAAAATAACATTCATTTTCTTCTTACCGATGATAGTCGTAGCAAACAACTTCTTCTTCATCACTTCCATCACAACAATCGAGTTCGTAATCGCATTTACTTGCTTGTGGGATACAGTGCTTGCTTGCACACATGAATTGATTTGTATCACCGGCTGGACACGTTGGTGGTAGAAGTGCTGGCGCTTCGTAACATTGTTCAAATCGGAAGTCATCCAAAGCGATATCGCCTGTAAACGATGTGCCGCGTATACCTTCGACAACAATATTGAATTGTGATACACATGTTGGAAGATAAGCCGTTCCCAATAGCCAGTCTGTTCCTTGATTTCCTTGTAATGACCATACTAATGTGTCAATACCACCTGCACGTACAAAAATATTCAATGTGTTGATTGTTTGACCGTACATATGATACCTAAAGAGAAGAGTAAAATTTGTTTTCATAGAGAAAAAGGAACTTTTGCTTATTTTACCAGAATGTGAACATGCAAGTTTTCGATGATTTACGATAGAGTGGACTGATCAAACGTGCTTTATCGCCGTTGACGCCATCACTTGTTTCCAAATAGATGTATGTGCCATTAACACTATGCGTCGTATGATCTATTTAGAGTAAAAGAAGATAGCATTTTTTGAAACTTATTCTTGAAGAAACTTTACCAAAACTTGGACCTGTATTCGCAGATGATGTGTCTGAATTACCAAAGCTCCATTTCAGTTTTTGTTTTGTATCATGTGCCCATTGGCAGAGTGTTTTTTGCTCGAAAGTGCATGCTATTGGACAAGATAATTCGTCAGTCTTGTCATTACATTCGATTTTAAAGTTGCAAAATTGTTCTCGTGGTATGCATTGCGTCTTATCTGTCAGACAGTATGCATGTGTGGCATTACAGCCTGGCATCGGCGTCGTTGAATAAATAAATGGTGGTAGTGTTTGTGTCGATAGTACTGCACAGCCTGGTGTAAAGCTTATGTCATCAATACCAATATCACCTGAAAATGTACAAATTGAAATGTGAATGGCGAAACGTTGAAAATAAATATTTGGCTACAATACCTTCATAACCTTGACCACGAACACCTTCGATGACAACTTGAAACGGATCAGTCGATTGGAGTGTTACTTTACGACGGAGCCACACATCGCCTCGATTACCTTTCTGACTCCAAAGCAGATTCAGTGGACCACCGACATAAGTGCGTGTGTAGATGTTCAATGCTCCAATGTCATAACCGTACATGTGGTACCAGAATCGAAATTCACATTTGCCCGATGTTGATGGAGAAAATACTGTACTGACAACACGTGCTGTGTCGTTTACTTTACGAGATGTACTTGCTTCGAAGTACAGCAGATGTCCTTTGTTTGTGCCTATAGAATAATGGCGAGTAAAAAACTTCTAAATATGATCTTTGATCTCACCTAGTGTATGATCACGATCAGGTCCGTATAATTGCCAGAAATCATCATACCAATTGTTGTTATTAATTTGTTCACCGCGTACACGTTGCCAGCGAAAATCGGCATCTGGATCATGTGACCATGAACAGAGTGGCTGAGCGTTATTTTCGAAGTCACACATTTCGACGTAAGCGTCACAAACGTTCTCATCGCTCTTATCACCGCAGTCATCATTATAATCACATAACTAATAGAAAGACAAAGATATTGATTGAAAAGACGGGAGAAAAGATTAATATTCTTACGGAATCTTGATGAATACAGTTTCCATTTGAACAATTGTATGGATCAGTGTAACCTTCGCAATGACCTTGTTTTTGTATAGCACAATCTTCGAATTTAAAGTCATCGATTGAAATATCAGATGATATTGTTGATCCAACATGTGTTGACGAAAAGACCAATCGAAAACCTGAATATCTTCGTCCTATGCTCACTGTAGTTACTGTCCAATTTCGGCCGACTGTTCGTGGATCTGTCCAGAGTCTTGTTTGATAGTTCGAGTCATCTTGCAAATGAAGTGTCAATGTGCCAGTGGTATCCCGAAAGCGATATACACCGAATGAAATATGACATGAAGCAGCTGCTATTGCAATACGTTCCGATATTAATCGACTATTACCAGCAAATGTACCAGCGCCTCCGGCAACTGTCATAACAAAACCACTTGTCTTGTCTAAAGAGAAAACACATAGATCCAATGTAATTTTTCAAAGAGAAATAAATTTACTTGTTGTTAAATCACCAGGCATAGATGTGATCGATGACGCATTACGTCGCGCCCAAAGATAATATCCTACACTGTCGTCTTGCCAACCGCATGTAGATGTTTCAAAATCGCAAGTACCACAATTTAATTCATCTTCGCCTTGTGGACAGTCCGGTGCAAAGTTGCAGCGCTAAAAGATATTGACCTCGTTCATATATTCTCCTTTTAATTTAATAAAAAGTCTATTTTCTACCTTATCTTTTCCAACGCATGTTCCATCGTTGCACGAATATGTACATGGTGATCGAGTAGTTGTCATGGATGGTAATGTTGTTCCGTAGGGTAAATAACCGTTCGAATTGTTACATTGTGGCGAAAATGAGATGTCATCGATAGCGATGTAACCACCACCACCAAGACTTCGTACTTCGATAAGCAATTCAGATAGTGTTCCTGCTGCAATCGGTACTTCTTGTCTTTCCCAATGATGGCCAACTACTTTTGATGTTGACCAAAGGTATGTTGTTGGTCCTGATGATTGATTTCGAGTCATAAAATTTAATTCGCCTGCGCTCGATGCACTGTTCATATAGTAGTAAAATCGTACTTTACAGCCTTTTGTTGGCACCAATCGAGATGATATCAATCGACCAGAGCGACCTGCATCCTGACCCATAGTATTAGCATAAATGAATGAGCCAGCGATATTGTTTAATGTGTGATCTCTTTCAGGTGCGTAATCATCTACTATTTGGAAAGCGCGTGCACGTTGGAATTGAATAGGAGCATTATATTCATTTCTGAAGCTGCATAGATCGGTTTCAAAGTCACAGCTAAAATAAAGACATAAGTACATTCAATGACAAGTATTTTCTATCAATATATTCATATTTACCCAGATATAACGTCAGATCGTTTACAAAGTACTTTATCTTCATCGCTCGTGTCGCCGCAATCATCGGTATAATCACACACACGATTTTGATCGATGCATCCACCGCGTTTACATTGAAATTGTGTGCTATCGCATGTTGTTGTTTCATTGCTAATCACTGGTAAATTACAACCGTTCCATTCGATGTCATCGATCGTAATGTCAGCTAATGTTGTTGCTGTTTTTCGTGCATCAAAACGAATACGGAATGGGCGATATAGGCGTCCGATTTTGACGACACCCTTATGCCAACGATCACCTTGATTACCTTCGATTGACCATATACGACTTTTTTCTGAGCCTTCAATAAGTAGAACTTCGAGACGGCCGACATTGACTCCTGACATATGGTAGTAGAAGACGACTTCACATGTCGAAGATGATTGTTGAAGTAGTGGTGAAAGTAAATGTGCTTGATCATCGATCGTGCCATTATTCGTTGACACAATCATATAATAACCATTGGATGAGAATGTTGTATGATCAATAGGTGGACTTGAGCTTGTACCAGGTGCTGAAACGCCAGCTCGTTGTCGTCGCCATTTGTATAGGCCTGCTGATGGATCCGTGTATTTACATTGATCACGTTCAAATGTACAATCATAACCACATGCGCTTTCATCGGCATTATTTAGACAATCTTTGTTAAAATCACATACTTGACTTGATGGTATGCATTGCTGTTTGCCAGTAAGCGTATCGCATTGTATCGCGCAGTTGGTTGGTAGCGGTGGACATGCTCCGTAGATAAGTTCGAAATCATCGAGCATTAAACGGCCAACACCATTGATGCTTGTAGCTTCAAATAATAAACGGTAGATCTTCGTTGTTTGATTCGTTAATGGATTTAATGCAATTTGATTGACTGTCCATTCATTTTTAAACGCATCGTTTTCATGTTTAGCTAATTGTATACGTGCTGTTAAATTAGCGAATGATTGTCGATAGATTGTTAAAGAACCTTGGCCATCTCCGAAACGTCTGTAATAGTATTGAAAGCAGTATTGAGCTGTATTATCCAGGTGAGCTGATAACAGCAGAGCACGACTTGATGGTGGTGTAGTTGCAGTCATCTCAAATGCCAAATATGTTCCGTACACAGTTCCAATAGTATTATCGCCTGGTTCGCCACGCATTCGTATCCAATCTATTTGTTTTTCGACTTCAGCATTTTTGTACGTACACATGTCTTGTTCGAAATCGCAATTACCAAGTTCTGGACAAGCGCGTTCTTTCAATCGCACATCATCGATCGCAATGTCCTACGCAACACAGATATTTGTGCTTTAAGAAAGTCTAGCAGATCATAACACTTACTCCTTCGAAACTTTTGCCAGCAATACCTTCGAAAATAATATTGAATGGTTTGTTTGCGACGAGATTGATTTCTGCTACATGCCATTCGTTAAAGAAATCTCCTGTTGCACTGAAAATCTTCGTCGGAAGAAGTGAACCGCCCACATCACGTTTGTAAACATTCAATGTATCGACATCAGCACCTAGTTGATGGTAGTAAAATTGTAAACAATTGTATTCTTTCGATTCAGGGAATGCCGGAGTAATTAAACGAGCAATGTCACCAGGTTTACGTGGATAACTTGTTTCGATATACATATAATAACCTAAATATGCATATACGAATCAACTTTCACATTCGTTTTTTCTTCTTTCTTTACCTTCTGCTGTAAATGTTGTATGATCGTATGGTGGGCCAGTGTACCAACTCTCTGTTTTTCCTTTATGACGAGTCCAGTTGAAATTACCTGATGAATCATGACTGTAACCACATAGATCTTGTGATTCGAAATCACAGAATCGTTGCACTGGACAAGAACCTAGAGAATGTGACAAATAATTACGTATGAGTTTCTTCTTCTTATTTCAGATTGATCTATTTTACCTTCGTTTGTTGTGATATCATCGACAGCAATATTATCTGAATCTGCGACGACTAAACCGACGATAGCTTCAAGCATAAACTGATAATTGCCAGCTGTTTCTCGATAAATAATAGCTTCACGCCAGTCGATATCAAGATTTGGACGTAAACTGTAGACTAACGTTGAATTGACTTCATTCGATGCTTTTTGCAAAAGATTCAATCTTCCTGTTCGCGAACCATAAGCACGATACCAGAATCGGAAGCATATGCCACGAGCTGGTACAGTTGTCATCACACTTATCAAACGAGCTGTTTGATTGCTCTTCATATCCGATGTATCAATATACCAACCATCTTGTGTTTGAAGTGTATGATCTACAATGAAAATAGTGCAGTGTTCAGACAAGCAATTGAACTTTTTTGTATTACCATAGTGAGGACCAGTATGAAAACCATTTGGTTGACCTTGATGTCGTGACCATTGACCAGATGCTGTAAAGTCATGTGTCCATTTGCATGTATCATTTTCGAAATTGCATGACAACGGTGTGTGTCCGCCGAGTGTTGTCATAGGAGTTGTAGTTGTCGTAGTGGTTGGAATTGTACAATGTGAACCGGTTATTACAAGAAGATCATCGAGAGCTATATCTCCTTGAAAATTGCCACCATGAACACCTTTGAGAGAAGAGAAAAACAGCGGTTCAGTTGCTGAACAAATCAAGATGAATGAAATTACCTTCCATGATGAAATAAAACTCTGCTGCCATATTAACATTAGCTGCTCCCATTCGCCAAGCATCACCGTGATTTCCATTCAAACTAATAGGAGAATATGGCGTAAATACGAAACCAGAATCGATTTGCTCTTACCTCCATTCAAGTTGTGGCTGTGAATTTCCAATACGTGAGTAAACATTCAACGTACCAATGTCTGGACCGTACATATGATACCAAAATACTAGACAATGTGGACCAGCATCATAGTGTTCCGAGATGAGCCATGCTTTTGAATCGTTGTTGAATAATTCACTTGCTTCGATATAGATATACATTCCTTGCGGTGTTCCGAATGTATGATCAACGCTTGGGCCTGTTCCATAACTTGGTGTTTCACCAGCGTTACGTAACCAATCGAAATCATCAACAACACCATTCTGTCCATTGACCCAAGAACAGTAATCTTCTTGGAACGTACATACTTCGAAACCAGCACATTCACCTTCATCGTTCGATATATCGTCGATTGCAAGATCTAGAACAGTCATAAACACATAAATTGAGAAGCTTATTTCCGAAATTCGTACCTCCAGTTGGTTTGGCACCAACAATACCAGCAATAAGAATTTTGTATGTGCTCATACCAAGTAACGGTGGAATGTTAACACGTGCTTGTCGCCAAATATTATCTACATCATTTAGAAATATAGATAAACTTCTTGCTGAAAAACAACAACAGTTCTGATAATTACCTTGATCGTTTGTACGTGTCCATAAAGTTTTCGCTCGGCCAATTTCCGGTTTTTGTTGAATTTGTAATGTACCTTGACCAGCTCCGAACAGGTGATACCATAAACGTAAACATCTTGGTTGACTTCCTTTATAACTTGGTGACATAAGAATAGCTGTATCACCTTGTAAACGCCCAGTTGGATTGATATACATAAAATGTCCGACTGCTGATGAGAATGTGTGATCTAAGTATTTTCAAAGAACGAAACACTCAATAGATCAGTTTTCTTCGATATTTGTTCATAGAATACATACCGACAGTAGGTGTACCACTTGGTGTTGAACCATTTCGTCCGCGAGTCCAGTTAAAGTCGCCTTCATTATCATGTTCCCAACCTGGACATAATCCATGTTCGAATGTACATTCACTTGGTGCTGGGCATTGACCAACATTGAGTTCGATATCGTCGAGAGCTATATCACCTTCCCAGCTTTTTCCGACTGAAATAAATTAGAAAAGAAAAAAATGTGTATGCCTTCAAAGTTAACACGAATTCTAATTTCAGATGTATTTACCAATGCCTTCGAATATAATTTGATAGGATTCTGTACTGGCATAATCAATTTGGCCTCGTCGCCAAACGTTTCCTTGTGCTCCGGTACGTGTAAAGATCGTTAGATTAGAATCAGGTGTGTGTATCATGACGTTCAACGTACGTATATCAGCTCCGAACCTGTCGTGATTTGAAAAGAGAAGCAGATCATAATTCGCAATGTTATGTTTTTTTTCTAGCTTACATGTGATAATAGAAAACAAGACAATTTGCTGTGGTCGGTGGTATCAATGGACTTCGAAGCCAAGCTCGATCGCCAGGTTTTTGTGGAGAGCTAGATTCAATATAAACGTAGTATCCTTTACCAGTTGTATGATCGCCAGGTGGTCCAGTTGCAGATGACGATGTATGAGAAGAATGTCGTGTCCATTCGAAATCAGCTAAGCCTTTTGTTTCCCATGAACAGAGATCTGTTTCGAAATCGCAATCGAGTACATGCCGTGAACGATTTGCACTACATTCTGAAAATGAGATATCATCAATCGCAACGTCGTCTGTCCAAAGGCCGAAGAAGCTGAGGTTTGGTTCTAGTTCGAAGAATATTCTCCAGCCAGCGGGGTTTGCTCCAACATTAACTGTAGCTCGATTCCAACGTTTTGCGACTGCACTTGATTGACTCCAAAGAGCGCTTCTGTTCGACGACGAAAAAACTTCTAATGTACCAGTATTATCTCCAACAAGCCAGTAATAAAACACCAATTGACATTCAGGACTTGATGCTGGTAGAGCTGGACTACGCAATTCAGCGATATCAGTGAAATCACCCAGGTCACCGGCGACATGCATGTACCTAATTGAAGAGAAAAGGGCGAAAACTATTATTTCAGAAAAATGCAACATTTCTCGATCATCGTACCATCCATCTGCGTTGTTTAGAGTGTGATCGTAAGCGGGTGCCTTTGGTGAAATTAAAACAGCTTTGCTTGCTTGAATACGAGACCATGTGTAATAAGTCCATGAGACATCTTCCCAGCCGCAATCGTCTGTAATGTACGAGAAAGAAAAACGATTGGTTAGAGAGATATTTTGTACATATTAACTAACCTTTTTCGAAATTACATGGACCACAACCAGCCTATAGAAAGGAGATAGCAATATTAGAATCAAAATAGAAAGAGAAAGAGAACTGTCCATACTTCGTCTGATGCATCAGGACAATCAGCAGTAAAATCACAGATCTAATCGAAATTATATTATATGTGGATGCGCAGAGATACGTGAAGGAATTCTTTACTTTGTCTTTGTCAATACAGATGTCAGATCCAGCACAATGTACTTGATCTGGTACTGGACATGGTTTTGGTGCAATTGTTGTTGTAATTACTGTTGTAGGTAATTCTGATTGTGAATAAGAATCGCATTCAGGTGAAAAGATTGTATCGTCAAGACCAATATCGCTCAAGAAACCCTTTCCGATGACACCTTCGACTAAAACTTGAAATGGTGTAGTGTATGGTAATTTCAGTTCATGTCGAATCCATGCGTTGCCTCGTTCACCTAGAAATCAGAACAATATCGTACACCATGCTGCAATGTGAGAGCAATTGAGTTTTCAGTGATATCTACCTGATATACCAAAGACTTTCTCGAGGGGACCGTTTGAAAAGTATCGGACGTAGATATTTAATTCACCCATATCGGATCCATACATGTGATAGTAGAATACTAGACGACAGCTGTTTGTTTTTGGTTCAAAGGATCGACTAATCAAACGAGCTTTGTCTCCGACTATTTGTGGATAGGATGCTTCTATTAGAGCATATTGACCTGTTGAATAGCCAGTTGTATGATCGCGATTTGGCTAGAAAAAAAATAACAATGCCACAATGTATGATAAGTTACAATATAGAGGAAGGAAATGGGACATACTCCTGTATCATCAGATGGCGATGCGCCTTTGACTAATTCCCATTTGAAGTTGGATGTGTTATCGTGTGTCCAGTCGCAGAATGATGTGTCGAATGTACATGTTCGGTATCCTGAACATAGACGAGTTGATTCATCCGAATGATCTCCACAATCATCAGTCATATCGCAAATACGAGCTGTTGGAATACATGAGCCACGTGAACAGTAGAACTGATTAGCTGCTTGACATTTTGTTATATTAACAATCGGTGGTAAGTGACAGTGAAGTATCTTTGTATCATCGAAAGCAACCCATCCATAATTTGAAGTACGTCCTGATTCCATTGCTATTTGGAATGGTACATCGACGCGACCAATTTCTATGTTTACTTTTGTCCAATTTGTCATTGATTTATAGTGAAAACGTTGTAATGTTGCTCGTTCGATTTGATTGCCAGTTAGTAATTTAACAGACAATTGATTTGATGAAGTACCTGTCAGATAAACCCAGAATTCTAAGAGACATGTTGTGCTTGCTTCACGAAGAACTGGCGTGACAAAACGTGCTGGTGCATTTGGAGTCGTACCATTGCCTTGCGTTAGATAGATATAATTACCATTCGGTTGGTATGTTGTATGATCGAATGGTGGACCTTGACCTGCCCCTATTAGCGTGTCATTTGAACCACGCTCCCATCGGATGGTGCCTTTACTAATATCACTCCAGCCACATAGTGAATTTGATGTTCCATCGAATGTGCAATTACCGCATGATCGTTCATCGTCACCACCTTTACAATCGACAACAAAATCGCACACCTAGAGAGATATTATATTGTGTTTTATAGTTGATCATCTATAAATCAAATTTACCTTTGTTTTTGGAATAAGTGTACCGTCGAGACATTTGTACATATTTTGAGGTGGTGTACTTGATTGACATGTTCCAGATCGAACGCTCAAATCATCGATAGCCAAATCTGAAAAAGAACGAAATCAATATCTAGTTCGTAGGTTTCTCTAATTCATACCGCCAGTCTTTGAACCGACAACACCTTCATAGACGATGGTAAACATGTTTGTTCCATTAACTGTCATATTCGGTCGAACATTAACTTCTTGTAATACCCAGAATGATCCATGAATTGTATCCGTTGACCAGATTTTATTGTAGAAATCTGAACGTGGATCGCGTATGTAAACATTTAATTCAGCACCAACGGTATTGTTCATGTAGTACCAGAATGATATACAGTTGATACCAACTGGAATAAGTTCAGATTCAATTCGAGCCTTTTTACCTTGTGTTGATTGTCGACGTTCGATCCAAAGATAGAATCCTACACACGATAGGCAATCAAAAGTTTAGGGTAAAGAAAAGTTGAATCATCATACCTGCACGACTATTTGTGGTGTGATCAAATTGTGGTGCGCTAAATATTTCAATGTTGTATGATGTTCGTTTCCAATCAAAGTCGGCTTTCATCAATTGATAACCGCAGATACCTTGTTCGAAATCACACGAACCCAATAGATCGCATGCACCAGATCGTATGCTAACATCGTCGAGCGCTATCGAATCTAATACACCATTTGTGTGGTTCAAAAGACCTTCGAAAATAATGTGATATGATGCACCACTTCGTACAGTTGTTTGAGCTAATTTCCATTGTGAGCCTTGAGTACCATGAATCGTATAAAGAACATTCGGATTCAAGGAGCCAAATGCTGTTGTTCGTACACGTAATGTTGCTGTATTTTCCAATACCATGTACCATCGTATACATGAACCACTTGTGTCTGGATACAATGGCGTCACAAGACGACTCGATGAAACGCGTGCTGTATCATTTCCTCTCAAGAACATGAAGTGTCCATGTGATGAACCGTAGCTGGCATCGATAGTTGGAATAAGCGGGTCTGTTCCTGCTTGATATCGTACCCAGTCGATAGTATTTGTTGGCTCGTTGGCGTAACCACATAGATCGCTGCTTTCGAAATCGCACACAGCTAGACAGAATCATGTTGAATATATAGAAATACATCGAAATAGGTGCTAGTTACATGATAGTGGACATGGTCCAACGTTGACGGCAAGATCGTCGACACTGATGTCACCGAGATAACCTTTGCCAACGATGCCTTCCAAAACTAATTGGTATGGTTGACCGACAGTTTGTTCAACATTGCCGAGCAATTGAATTCGACCCAAATACCATTGATTACCCTGCGAAGAATAAAATAATAAAGTTAAAAGTAGATCCGTTTTTTTAGTGATCTTCATACTTGATTGCCTTCTTTTTGCCATAGTGCTTTGCCAAGATTTCCGTCTGTGAAACGAAGAAGAAGAAAAAGAGACATAGGATATTGTGAAATGGATACAGAAATCATTTTAACATACTGATGCGAGAATAAATATTCAATCGATAGACATCAGATCCGAACATGTGATAATAAAATCGGAAACATTGTTGTTCGGTTGACGCAATCAAATCAGGACTGATTAATCGAGCCGTATCGTTGGGTTTCGCTGGCGAACTTGATTCAATATAAATGAAGTGGCCTTGATTCGAGCCTGTAGTATGATCACCATCTGGTCCGGTATCAAAACTTGAAGTTGAGCCTTTTCGTACAATCCATTTGAATGGTAACGTATCATCGTGTTTCCAATTACAAGTACAATTGCATTCGAAATCACAATCGTAGATCGTTGGTGCTAATTAAACATGAATGCTATACAAAATATGCTCCGTCGAATGAAAGATGATACTTACGATAAGTAACTGGTGCAGTTGGTGTGCCTGTAGTGGTTGTAGTATCTATGGATGTACATGTTGCACCTGGTGACCAAGTAATGTCATCGATAGCAATATCACCTAAGCAGAAACCAATGATTACAGTTTTTAGAATTTAATTACGATTATTTCATTTGTTTTTTACCTTGAAAGCTGTTTCCTGCAATACCTTCAACAATGATTCGAACTGATTCTCTGTTTTGTAAGTTAACCGCAAGGTCAGTGGTCAATTGTTTCCATAGATTTCCTTGTTCACCGGTAATTCGATTGACTTCTGTTTTTGGATTGGATTTAGTACTTGTGTAAATAACTAATGCGCCTATATCTTCGCCATGCATGTGATACCAAAGTGAAAAGCAACCTTGTCCAGTCACAAGTTGTTCACTGATGATTCGTGCTGTATCATTGATTTTGGTCGGTGATGAAGTTTCAATATAGACATAGTGTCCTTGAGGTGAATTCGTTGTATGATCTAATTGATAGGAAGGAAAAAGCATGTAGTGATGTTCATCACTTCTTTAGGTTATATGTTAATCCTTACCGACAGTTGGTCCAGTACCGAATGAATCTGTAGCACCGGATTGTAATAACCAATCAAACGTATCATCTTTCATTTGTGTCCAACTACAGATATCTGGGCCTTCAAAGTCACAGTTGATAGGTGGTGGACAGTAACCAAGTGTTAGCAGGACATCGTCAACACCGATGACTACTTCAGCACTTGATTTTGATGCTTGGAAGAGGTAAAAGAATGGGTTCTGAAGACCATTGACAGCAACTTGACTGTAACGCCAGACATTTTCATACAAATTATTTGACCAAAGTTCGGCTTCCGTGGATGTCGGGCTATTCTGTTTAGCTACAGTTAATTTACCTGTTGTTCCGTCCGGTCCATTGACAAAATACCAAAATCTCAAACATTCATCTCCAGCGTACGGATATTGTTTACTACGAAGTCTACAGAAATATAACGTTGAAATAAATGTTTTGTCTGCTTCTACTTAATGAATCTCACTTAGCATTGTCTTGAGTTGCCATTGCAAAATAACCTAAGGATGTTGACGAGGTATGATCTTCGTTGATGAAATTCGATATATTGGTTGCTTGTTGTTGTATCCAACTACCCTGAGGATTTGGTTGAAAATCGCATAGGCCAAGTTCGAAATCACATGTACGAGTTGCTGGACATTCCGATGAACTGAGAAATATATCATCAAGTGCGATATCGCCGAGAAAACCTTTTCCAATAACGCCTTCGAATGCAACACGCCAACCGTACATACCAGTTGAATTAAGATTGTTTAATGTTTGTGTTGCACGACGCCATACATTACCTTGCGTACTAGATTTTGACCAAATAAGTTTCGAAGAAACACTTGATGAACCGGTCGGTAAAGTTTGTACATAAACATTTAATGTACCAATATCAGCCCCAAACATATGATACCTAAGGAAAAGCGGTATATGTATGTATGTCAGTGAATGTCTCCGAGAGATCTGTGTGCATTTACCAGAATGTTAAACACTGAGGAGTGGATGATGGATATTGATAGCCAGAGAGGATTCGAGCACGATCGTTTGGTACTCTAATATGAATAACAGATAAGAAAACGAATGTCGGTAACTTATTTACCTAGGATAGGATGCTTCGATGAACAGATAATAACCAGATCCAGTTGTATGGTCTATTTGAACACAGAGACCATAGTTCATGAGAGAAGAAGAAAATTTTCAATAGATTTCAAACATACCGAAGCCAGGTCCAGTGTTTGATGTGGATGTTGCTGTATTCGTGCGTTCCCATTCAAAATCTGCTCTTGGATCGTGGAAGAAGTTGCACCAACCATTTTCAAATGTGCAATCAATTGGTAAGCTATCAATTTGATAATAAGAAATGAAATCATACTGATTAAACAAGAAGAAATCAGTTCATACCCAAGTGCTGGCGGTGCTGCTACATCACAGCTGTAAAAGTCAACGTCATCAATAGCAACTGCGTTTTCAGCAGAAGGTGTTCCATCAATTTCTGAAAATAAAATATGTTTCGTATAATTTTTCTGTCGATATTCAAAATCGAATTTTATACCGATTACAATGCGTTCCGATCTTTCACCAATGTCAATAACGGCTTGCTTCCATTGTGCTCCAGTTGGTTCGTCAATTCGCTGAATAAATTGAAACAGTATAAAGTTATCCGATTCTCGTCGAAAATAGATCGAAATTCGACTACTACTCTGGCTCTTATCAATGTCTAGATAGTACCAAAATCTCAACTGACATTCAGTTGCAGTAGGACCAATAGTTGGTGTACGCATTGATGCAAATGAAAAACTGTCACTGTCTGGCACACTCATGTAAAATCCGCTGCCTGTTGTATGATCACCAGGTGGTCCAAGGTATGTATTTCCTGTTGTTAGTTTCCACTTGGTATCTCCAAATGAATAATCTTTCCAACCGCATGTCGTTCCATTATTGGCGTCAAACGTACATGCACCACATTCTGCTTCATCGCTACCTCCGGGTTGTGGACAATCGACTTTAAAGTCACATACTTTAGCTTTGTCGATACATTGGCCGTTTTCGATACACATAAATTGATTCATAGCTGCACATGGATTCGGTGTTGTCGTATCGGGTACGGGTGTTGCTACGGTAGCTAATTCGATGTTTGCCAAGACGCAACCAGGTGTAAATGATGTGTCATCAATAGCTATGTCACCGGCATAACCATCACCGGCAACTGCTTCGAGAACAATTTGGAATGGTTGACCGATTATTAGTGAAAGATCAGTTCGACTCCAGTAATCGCCGACTTCACCTACTCTCGACCAAATCTTGTTCATTGCACCACCATAATTTGTTCGAGTATAAACATTGAGCGCATTAATATCCTACAATGAAGCAATCAAAGTCAAACTAGTTCGATTGGCATACTGTTGAGACACTTACTTCTCCATACATATGCCAAAAGAACCGAAAGTCACACGAAACTCCTGTACTATTCAAAACAGGTGAAGCTATACGAGCACGATCGCCTTGAACAGCTGGAGAAGATGCTTCGAGAAAAATGAAATGTCCGTTTGGTAAACCAAGTGTGTGATCACGTTTAGGTCCTGTTTTGTACGACTCAGTTTCACCTTGTCCAAGTTCCCAATCGATATTATTATCGCTATCTTGTGACCAACCACACATTCCTGTTGGTTCCTCAAAACTACACATGATATAATTTTGACAATTGAGTTCATCCGAGTTGTCACCGCAATCATCCCTGAGAAATAACAATCAGACTTATTTCATTCTTAGTTACAAATATCAACAACTTACGAAAAATCGCAAACTTTATCTAGTGGTATGCAAGCATTGCGTGCACATCGAAATTGGTTAGCAGTGCAGTTTGATCGTACAGGTGGAAATTGACAGTTCTTTAGGCTGACATCATCGATAGCAACTGTTCCATCGCCCGAGCTTCGCTCTGCTAAGAATCGTATACGCCATGGTCGTGCAATTCGTCCTAATGGTAGAGTAACAGATTCCCACTGATCACCATGAGCATGATCTTCTTCCCAGATTTCAATTGAATCATCACCTTCCAGTAAGTGAACACTAAGGAATTGATGATCGAGCATATGATGCCAAAATTCTAGTACACATCCTGATGAACTTTGTTGTAGAACTTGTTGTAATTCAAACGTTGCGTCATCCCGGAACAAACCATCACTTGGTTTAACGTACATATAAAAACCTCGACCCGTATGTGTTGTATCTAAATAGGATTGTATTGATCCATTAAAGCAAAAAGTTTGGAAAAAATGAATGCTTACGATCAACAACTGGACCAAGATGTAGTGGTGCAACAGTATTGCCTTGATCACGTGACCAGGAATAGGGACCAATGCTGATATCTAACCAACGACATGTACCTTGTTCAAATGTACAATCTGCACATTCTTGTTCATCACGGCCATTTGCACAATCAGTGATGAAGTTGCTAGAAGAATAAAACATATCGTATGGTTTATTTCAAAATATAATCAACTTCATACCAAACTAAAGATTGAGGAACTGTTGTACCATCGCCACAATCGAATGGAACTGATGGTGACGGTGTTGTATCAATTTGTGAACAAGGTGTTCCATGAACATGCAAGTCATCCAAAGCAATTGCACTAGTGGGTGTATCCGGATTGAATTTGCCTTCGAAGAAGATCTGTAAAGGAAAACAAATACAGAATAGTTTCTTTTACAGTACAGATTCTCATAGTTTTCTTCTTACTTCGAAATCACTAGCAATGACAGGTATATCGAGTTCTTCTTGTAACCAATAATCCAAATGATCATCTGTTTGCGTCCATATTAACGATGCATTCTGACCTGCTGGTCGAGGACGTGAGTAGAGATTCAATGTTGCTGAGCCAGCTAGATAGTAGCTGAATGTGACGCATGCGCCACCTTGATATTGATATGCGAGAAGAATTTCAGAATAGAGGAACGATGTTTGGTTTGGTTTGTTTGATCGAAAATCAGACGCTGACCAAAGATAGTGCCCGTAGGGATTATTTATTGTAGTATCAGTTGATGGATAGTCTGTATTGTTGTAAAGTAAACCGATTTGTTTGGATGATAGACGATACCAGTCAAAGTGGTTCTTCTGATTAGATGGTGTCCAAGCGCATAGATCTTGTTCGAATGTACAGGAACCAGGTGCTGAGCAAGGTCCAGCAGAAACAGATACATCATCGATGGAAATATCGCCTGTATAACCTGGACCAACGACACCTTCGAAAACGACCTAGTGGAAGAAAAAAGAAAGTTTTGCGTGCTTGTAATAAGTTCTTGTTTGTAGTTCGTATCTACTTGATATTTGGAATTTGTACGTATTGTTGCACGTGCTGGTCGCCAGAAATCACCTTGATCTCCACTAAGTGCCCATAAAGGACGACCTTCCAAAGTTTGACCAACCTTAAGGTAGACATTCAATGCACCAGTGCTTGCACCCCACATATGATAGAAAAATTGTAGACATGAACCACCGGCGGCAACTTTGTATTCAGGTGAGATGAGTCGAGCTTTATCGCCTTGTTTTTGCGGAGGACTTGTTTCGATGTACATATAATAGCCAATACCAGTGCCATATGTATGATCTAAACAAGATAATAGATATTAAAACGAAGTCGTTTAATGTAGCGTTTAACATACCATTTGTAGCGCCTGTAGCTGATGAAGATGTTGAACCACGATGTCTTGACCATGAAAAGTCAGCTGTAGCATCGTTTTGATAACCACATATTGACGAATCTTCAAAATCGCAAACACGTGGTGCAGGACAAGCACCATTGAGTATTTTCACATCGTCGAGAGCAACATAACCAGTTGAAGTAGGTACGACATTGCCTATAGATGTCAAAATTCAAATTATCGATCTCTGTTCAAAAGTACTCATATCTTTCATACTTGAGATAGTGACATGTGTTGGACCACGAATCGTTCCTAAATTAATTGATGTATGAGTCCATTGATCGCGTACTGTTGTGCCAGGTCGACTCCATAGAACTACGGCAGCTGCTGTACCGTTTTGCATATACACATTGAGTGATGTAGTGCTCGAAATGAACGATTGATACCAGAAATCGAGACAGAACGTAACACCTCGTGGTAATGAACGAATGCCGAGTGTAGCAAAATAAGGTGGACCGCCTTTTCCTTCTATTGGTACATAAGCGTATTTGCCAAGGACGTTTTGTTTCGTATGATCGATTAATGGTGCTTTGCCATAAACAGCGGTTTGGCCACTTGATACTATCCATTTGTCATCTGATTCGACTTGCCAATCACAGAATGAGCCATCTTCAAAATCGCACTCGTATGCTGCTGTCTGTGGTGTCACAGGTGCTTGAGTTGTCGATGCTAGGAAAGCACAATTACCACCTTGCACTAAACTAATGTCGTCAAGAGCAATATCCGATTCAAAGCCGTCACCCTAGCGGTTAAAATTAGTTCTCTTCTATTATAAAAATAAAGAACATGATTATACATACCACAACGCCTTCGAAAATGAAATTATAGTGATCGTTTGTTACTGGTATATCGACTTTTGCATTTAACCAATTATCACCTTGATCGCCCTGAATAGAAAAATTAAACATTTAGTTTCTACTCGTTTCACTAATGCATCTATTTACTTCTTTCGACCATAAAGTTGTTGGTTGTTTGTCCATATTTCGATGTAATACAGTTAGATTGCCTGTTGTACCACCTTTCATGTGATACCAAAAATCTAGACAAGCACCTTTTGGTGATTCGAGAACTTCACTAACGAGCCAAGCTTTATCTCCAAGTTTTTGCGGAGCCGACGATTCGATGTAAACATAATAACCTGCACTTGTTCCAGTTGTATGATCGGCAAGCGGTCTGTAGAGGAATTAAAATGCATAGATATCCGCAATCTAGGTTTTCTTACCCTGTGTTGTCCGAGGATGTTTCGCCCTGAATTAGTGTCCAATCAAAATCATCTTCTTCTCTGGTATTGTAAAATCCGCAAAATGTTGCATCTTCAAACGTACAACTTCCTTCTTCTTCACACGCTCCATTGGCTATCATGATGTCATCAATAGCAATATCGCCCTAAATTCATGAGAACATATGCGTATGCTTAATACAAAAGGCAAGTCGTTTTCCATTGTTACTTACTTGAAAACTTGAACCAACGATGCCTTCGAACACTACTTGATATTGATCGTTACTACGAACGGTCACATGTCCAAAACGCCATCGGTTACCGAGATTACCACTATGAAAACACAAGTTTAATATGGGACTTCAAGTAAGCTTGTTTCTTCTAATTTACCTCTTTGTCCATAACACTTGTTTTGTACTTGCCAGGAGCACGTTTAACGTGCCAATCGATGCTCCGTACATATGATAATGAAATTTCAAACAAACCGATGATGATGCAGGATACATTGGACTAACGATTCGAGCTTTTTCACCGGGTTTTCGAGGAGATGATGTTTCAATGTAAAGGTAATAACCATGATTAGTTCCAGTAGTATGATCTTTTAGAGAAAGAGCCGACAATAGAGTAAGCCGTAGTTGAAAATAAGTTACTTACCTGTTGTTGGTCCAGTACCATCTGTATCTGTAGCTTTCTGAGCTCGAGTCCAGTAGAAGTCTCCAGTTGTATCGTTTGTCCAGCCGCAGAAATTTGATTCGAAATCGCACCAAAGTGATGGTGGACATTCATCATCAAGTAAAAAGAATTCATCCACAGCGATCTAAATAATTCATATGAGGTATGGAAGAATTTCAATCTGATAGCATACATCTCCTTCCCAACCGTTACCAACGAAACCATCAACCTTCAATGCAAAGTCGTACGGAATATCACGAAGATTGAGATAAGTCGCGCGCCATTCTTTCGCTTGTGTTTCATTGCGTTCCCAAAGTAAAATTTGTTGCTGACCATTCGGTGTATTTTGAACAGCTGAAACTTGCAATGATCCTATGTGAGAACCCCACCTAAAGAGAAACACAAACACTTATTACTACCATTCAGTCAAATTTTGCCATTTACATATGATAATAGAATTGAAAGCACATAGCAGATCTTGCTTTTGAGATCACCGGTGATATTATACCAGCACGATCGCCTGGTAGTTGTGGGACACTTGCTTCGATATAGATGTAGTAGGGTGAGTTGTCAGCACCTAAAATACACGTGAGATACGGTTATGATTCTGATTCGTATACATTCGAAGTATTTTATAGTTACCTGAGCTTGGTCCAGTATCAAGTGACGGCGTGCTTTCTGTATGTCTTGTCCAATTAAATTTTCCAGTTGGATCATGTTGCCATTGGCAGAAGTTTTCTTCGAAACCGCATGAAATTGCTTGTTGAGATACTTGTATTGGATCAGCGTCGACTGGTTGTAGCGTACATGAGTGCGTTGTTGAAATACCAATATCATCGATAGCGATATCTCCTTCAAAGCTCTTTCCACGAACACCTTCAACAACAATTTGATATCGTCCATTTGCTGTGATCGGTGCGAAACCATGTCTCCAATTATTTCCTTGTGGTCCAGCTAAGACCCAAACTAATGTTTCACTGGTGAAGTTATTCGGTCCTAATGAGCGTAAATAGACACTCAATCGTCCAATATGAGCGCCATACCTAGCAAAAAGAAAGTTGATTTTCTTTCAAATGCATTGTTCCCAAGTGGACAATGTAACTTACATATGATACCAAAATCCGAAGCAATTAACACTATTATCAAAATAGATTTCTGATTCTAATCGAGCTTTCCATCCGAGTTGAGCTGGTGACGATGTTTCAATATAAAGATAGTACCCATTACCCGTAGCTACAGAGAAAGGTTATGCTGATATATGAAAGCGAGCTCAATTTGAATAGGACGACATACTATGATCTCCACTTGGTCCTGTATTTGTTGTAACAGTTGATCCTTTCTGTGCAAGCCAATCGAATTGATTGTCTGCAGCATTTGTCCATGAACATAGTGAACCATCATCGAAACTACATTCATTTTGACGAAAACCGCATTCACCTGATTTGTATGTATAATCATCGAGTGCAACAAATCCTAGAGAAGAGAATCTCGAATAACATTTATTGGCAGAATAGAAGAAATTACCTTGCCGGAAGTATCCAGTTGTTACCGTGAATACAATTCGAAAATTGCTGTTTGATGTGACTGATGCTTCACCTTTGACCCAAGACAATCCGTGATCGTAACTTCGTGTGAAAATCGGCCGTTTGATGCCTGTATCCGTTTCGGAATAAGCAGTAAACGACGTATTTGAACCAACGAGTACATAATAAAATTCGACACAATAAGTATTGTTCTTTGTTCCTTCATACATTTGCGAGAATAGACTTCCACTAAGATTTTCACCTTGATTTTCTAAATCGAGATAAACATAGGATCCAAGATTTGTACCAGTTGTATGGTCGTAAGGAATTGGTGTTGTACGTAGTGCACTAGCACCACCCGAATATGTTTTCCATATAAGTGATGAAACAGTAGCATTTTGTGTAAAACCGCATTGATTATAATCGATAAATGTACAAGATCCACCAATAGCAGCGCTTTCCTTGCATGAACCTGGTGTAAACATAACATCATCGATAGATACACTACCGATTGCATTTGATCCAGCAACAGCTTTAAACAGAGAAATAGATTGAACTGATTTGTCAAGCTTTTTATATTACCTTCAAAAACGATATTAGTATTACTCTTTGATACTGCCATTCGACCGAATCGCCAAACATCTCCTTGTGAGCCTGTTCGTGTCCAGAGTGGAAGGCCAAGATTATCACCCAAAGCCATGTAAACATTGAGAGTACCGCCGTGACCATAGATGTGATAGTAGAATGTCATACATTGTAAATCATTGAGAAGTGGAGCTTTGAAACGAGCATAGTCGTTCTTTTGACGTTGACCGAGATTAGCTGTCATATAGTAACCTTGACCAGTGTGCGTTGTGTGATCGATTACTAAACGAAAGTAGAAAATGTTAATGTACGAATCAAAATAATATTCAAATGAATATATATACGTGGTGCTGGTGTAGATAGAGCTTGAACTCTCGTCCAATTAAATCGATTATTTGCCATATTATCCCAACCATTACAGATACCAGTTTCGAATGTACAATCGTAGGGTCCTAATGAAAGTGGTGTTGTAGGTGCAAGTGTTGTCGTTGTTGATGGTGGAAGTAGTGTTGGATCAGCATCTGACGGTGTTAGAACGCATGGATTTTCAAAAATACGAAGATCATCGATAGCTGCATCTCCTTGAAACGATGTACCTAAATGCACGACAAATCGATAAGATAAATCAAACCGGATGGAGGCAAATGACTACTCTTACCAATAACTCCTTCAATTTGTAATCGAAAGTATGCGCTTGAACGGATTGTTACTTGACCATTCAACCATTGATTACCTCTGTCACCTTGTAATGTCCTATGATAGAATATCAGGCACATAGAGGAATCAATACCAGAGAAGTAGAGACTTACCAGATCCATAGTGGTTCTTTTGCTTTGAAACTCTTGATGTAAACATTCAATGCACCAATATCTCCGTACATATGATACCAGAACGAAAAACAAGAGCCGATTGTTGATGTTGGTAGAAAGATAGTTGACTCAAGCATAGCACGATCTCCTTCTTGACGAGGGTAAGATGCTTCAAGGAAAGCATAATAACCGAATGGATCATTGTAAGTGTGATCGACAGTTGGACCTGTAAACGCTGAGTCTGTTTCACCATGACCGATAAGCCAGTCAAATTCATCTTGTGGTACACGAAGATTGTGCCATGTGCAAAAATCGATAGATTCGAATGTACATGAACCTAACACTGGACATGCTCCGTTTCGAATGAAAACATCATCGATAGCCAAATCACCGAAGTATCCAATTCCATATTCACTTTCGAATACAATTGCATAAGGTTCGTTTGTATACGGAATTGATATTTCTGCTGCATTCCATATATCACCAAAATTGTAATCAACTTTCCATATTGGATAGAGATCATCAGATGATTCTACACGTCTATAAACTGTTAACGATCCGACATCAACACCATAGCTGTGATACCAAAACGAAAGACATTGTCCGTTTGTTTTGTTCATCCATGGAGACATTATTCGAGCTTTTTCTCCAACTTTAGCTGAACTAGCACTTGGTGTATACATATAATAACCTATTAAAAAATCGATCAGTAAATCAATTTCAAACAGTTTTCAGCCTACCGTTGACACTTTGTGTAGTATGATCGACACTTGGTCCGTTTAAAAGGCCCGGTGTTGCTCCTATAGAAAACGATGTATTTCATAAAGAGTTTCCTTGAATGTCATTACATACCTTTATGTCTTTTCCATTGATGCTTTTGTGTAATATCATGTGTGAAACCGCAGATACCTTCATCATCGAAATCGCATTCTAATGGTAAATCGCTTGGGCAGTTTCCGTCAATAAGTACGAGATCATCGAGGGCGATATCACCTTGATAATCGATACCGACAACACCTTGAATGATGATCTAAATGAATGGAATATTGAAAACTATCAACATGATAACTTCAATCATATACATACACTATATTCGTTAGTTATGTCATTGAGTTTGACTTTTCCTAAACGCCAAACATTTCCTTGAGTTCCTTCACGAGACCATACCGTTGTTTCTTGATCGGATGAATCAATAGTTAATATATCTAAACGATTTACGTCTGGTCCATACATATGATACCAAAATTCGAAACATTTTGTTGTTGAACCAGCGATCGATGGTGATTGTAAACGTGCTGTATCGTTCAAAACAGCAGGATGTGAGGCTTCAAGATAGATGTACCAGCCTTGATCTAACATCAATCATACAGTAAATTACTTTCAAGAGAATGGTTTGATTAGAAAATTCTACCTGTATGTGTTGTAACATCGAATTGAGGGCCTGTTTCAAATGAATCTGTTTTGCCTTGATTTCGTGTCCAGTTAAGTTGAGCATCAGCACGATGTGTCCATGAACAGAAATCAACTTCGAATGTACAATCGTAAATACTCGGAACTAAACGGGGAAGAGTTCGATTGACTTAAGAATGAATTCAATCAACAAACTTTGAGCAGATGTCGTTGGTCGAGTGGCTGTTGCAGGTGTAGTGAGAATAGTCATTCCCGCATTCGTTGGAGTTGTTCCACAAAAGCTGTCGCGAATATCAAGATCATCAATAGCATAATATCCTTGCATTTGTCCATTAACAGTGCCTTCGATGATAATCTAATTTAAATAGAAGTTATCGCATGAGAAATTCAGAATAAATTTATCTCACAGTATAATCATCATCGGTGTAAAAGCCAATTGAGGCGAAGTTCCACGTATCACCTTGACTTGTCGTGCCAAATGCCCAGATCATAGATGTGTCTTTACTGGTAGAAATGCTCACATCTACACGACCTAATTGACTACCCCGCATAATGTACCAGAATGTTAAACAGCGGCCAGCACGAGATGTTGGTGGGAAAGTTTCACTTTGAATAACAGCCACCACTGTTTGTTGATTAGTAAATGATGAACTGAGTAAAAGATATTGACCTTTATCAGCGCCTAATCAATACAAACAACATTTTGTGGCTTAGTTAATATTTAAACTAAGTTCTTACCTAGCGTATGATCATTTTGCGGTCCGTTGTAAGGTGGTTTCGATGAACCAGAGCCAATCACCCAAGTAGCATTTCCAAAAAGCAACATATTTCTCCATGTACACATTCTATTATTAGAAAATCACCGACATAAGTAGGAGTTACTGGAGAATAAACTATTACCCATTTTCAAAATCACAGTCGCCTGGTTCTAGACAAGCGCGATCGCGAACAAACACGTCATCAATAGCTATGGTAGGTATATCAGTGCCAGATTTAAAAACGATTCCTTCGAACACAACTTGATACGGTTTTACAACGAGACCATGTGGAACACGTTGTTGAGAAATTCGCCATTGTCGTTCCTGTATAATTCAAGGGATTATTGCTATTGCTGAAAAGCTACCGTAACTTACTTGAAGAATAGATTTTGACCAAAGTAGATAATCGGATGAGTTCGAAGCTGCTGTGTATGGTCGTACGAATAAGTTCAATTTCGACGATGTACTAATTACTTTAGCATCTGCATAATACCAAAACTCAATACATTGTTCTCCATTTGGAACGATTGTTTGCGAAATAAGACGTGCACGTTGATTCGTTGCTGATGCCAATGATTGAGTGACATCAACGATCATGTATGCACCATTGCCTGTGCCATCAGTATGATCTGTAGTTGGTTTGTTATTATTCATGAATTGATCATCACCAGTCGTGCGTACCCAATTGTACTGGACGGCAACATCATTGGCGTAATTACAGATATTTGTATCTTCAAATGTACAGAGTCGATCATCCTTTGGACATGAATCGGAGACGACAATATCATCGAGTGCAATATCACCAAGATGAAATCTAATGTAAATGAGATGCTCATCAATTGGGATTTTCGGACTTTGAAAGCACTTACTTTCCGACGATGCCTTCGAAAACAATCTGATATTTCGTGTTTGCTGGTGGAAAGATCGCATATTGTCCTTTTAACCATATATCACCTAAGAAAAACGAATTGAAATCAATATTTGATCGTTTTGGAAAACATTAAAGAGATACTCACCTTGATTTCTTGATCGTGTCCACACCGGTTTGTTCAGTTGATTGTTCATCTTGACATAAATATTCAATGTATCAATGTCCATGCCATACATATGATACCAAAATTGCAAACATCGTTGTCCTGTGATTTCTTCAGATACGATTCGACAACGTTGATTTTCTGTCTGTGGATAACTGGCTTCCATATAGATGTACCATCCTTGAGGTGTACCATACGTATGATCTAATGCAAAGCAAAGAAATGAAGAATTTGTGGAACAGATTCTATCTACATACCAACACTTGGACCAGTGTTTCCTGAAGATGTTTGACCTTGTTGTAATGCCCATCGAAAATCAGCAGTGCTATCGTGGGTCCATGTTGGACAGAGAACCCCTTGTTCAAAATTACAATCCAAAGGCGATTGTGGTGCTACTGTTGTTCGAGTTGTTGTTGTCGTTGGTGGCATCGTTGTTCCAACAGTTGGTACTGCATCATGCATTGGTCGAATTGAGCAATTACTTGTCGTGAATGTAAAATCATCGATTGAAATATCTCCCTGAATATTGGTAAAAATTTTATATACAAAATTCTGTTAGAATTTCTTCGTTTCTTACCAGATAATCTTTTCCAGCGATACCCTCGACAAAAATCTGATGTGGCACCGATGAAACATATGAAACTTGTCCTTCATACCAGTTATTACCACGGTTGCCTGATAGAGACCATAAACGTGTAAATGTACTATTGAATAGATAAACATTCAATGTGCCAATTGAATCACCGTACCTGATCAATAGAGAGAAGATCAATGCATGATTGGGTCTGACTACAAACTTTGAATTCTATACTTACATATGATACCAAAATCGAAAACATCGAGCATCACTATTCGTACTATCGAAAACAGCACTTTTCAAGCGTGCCCGATCGCCTGGTTTTGTTGGAAATGATGTTTCAATCATTAAATATTTTCCTTGTGCCGTATTCGTTGTATGATCTATAAGAATCGAAACAAGATTGTCGAAAACAACTGAATTCAGTTAGATTTCATCCAACTTACCGTACTGTGGACCAGTTCCAAAAGAATGTACACCTTGACCGACAAGCCAATCCATTTCGACATCGACGTCATCGTTTACCCAACCACATAGATCACTTTCAAACGTACAGTCGCCTGGTTTTGGACAAGTACCTCGCGTGATGGATACATCATCGAGAGCGACGCTTGCATCAGGATTTTGTGTTAAAACTTCAGCTTCAAATGCAGCTTGCCATGGTTGATTAGGACTATTGATGTTAATTTGTTCATATAACCAACGATTTGATAAACTTCCATCATGATACCAAAGAACAGGTCCTTGAGGTGCGACGAAAACGTTTAATTTCATTTGTTTTGTTGCTGCGTGTTGAAAATACCAAAAATGCAAGCATGAACCGCTTGTGCGATCTTGAACGGGTGTGAGAAGTCGAGCGCGATCATTAGCATTGCGAGTTTTTCCTTCTGCTAACATGTAATAACCTTCACCTGTTAAAGTCGTATGATCATTGTTAGGATTAACGCCGGCTTGTACAGCAGATGCTAAACCACGAATCCAATTGAACTGTCCAGTTTGATCATTGGTGAATCCTAGAAAATAGTCGAAGAAAAGCAATGCTAATTGGTTGACAGAACTATTTTTAATAGCGTACCGCAAATTGTATCGTCGGAATCAAAATCACATTGATCAGTTGATGTTCGACATGTACCATTGAGAAGAGTAATATCATCGATAGCAATTGAGCCACGATTACTTTCTGACCAAATACCTTCAATAGCAACCTAAAATGATGAGAATCAAGATAGAAAGACATATTGTTATTATCTTGAAAAGTAAAGAAAACGAACATTAAATTGTGATGGATTGCTTGTTGACGATTGGAGATTAACTTGCGCATGATACCATTCATAGCCTTTGCCACCTGTTGAACTCCATCGTAATTGCGAAAACATACCAGAAAGTTTTTCGACATTTAATAAACCAACGTGTGAACCATACATAAAGTACCAAAATTCTAAACATTGGCGACTGTTGCTCATAGTTGTACTAACAAATTGACTAGTAACATTCTTCTAGAAAAGGTAGAGGAGACATATAGACAACGAGCTAGGAAGCTTTCTTTCTTACATTAGGAAATGGAGTTGATTTTGTTGGTGTAAGGGAAAGATAGTGGCCTTGTACTTGATTTCCCGTATGATCGTACAATGGATTGTGTTGATCAACTTGCGAAGCAGTAGAGCCTTGAGTACGTGTCCATGTAAGTTCCGGTTGTCCTTTGATTGTCCATCCTGCTGAACATTCATCAGTTTCGAAATCGCAATCGTAAGCCGTTGGTGGACGTGGTGGAGTTGTTCTAAACACAGGCAATGAACAGTAACTGAAATAATCTCTCTCACTTACACTTTCGTTGTTGCTGGCGTTGGTGTGGTTGTAAAGCCATCTTGCGGTACAGCAAACGGTGGAAGTGTGTTGCAGTATCCATTGGTTATTGAAATATCATCAATACCAATATCACCGTCATTCAATTCAACTATTTTCGCTTCGATTAAAAGTGAGTGATCCGAATTCACAGCAAAACCAACTTTCGCTTGCAACCAGTCATCCTGCTGTTCACCTGCTAATGTCCACATAGCCAACGGTTGAAAACCTTCCAGTTGTAAGTAAGCAGTCAATCTGCCAATACCTGGACCGTACCTACAAATAAATTTCAAAATAGTATAAATGATTTCAGTTACAATGCTCTCTCTCTCCAAGTATTACATATGATAGAAAAATTCTAAACACATTCCATTTGTACCAACATTGGCCATAGATTGCGATATAAGGATAGCTGTGTCATTTATTTTTCGATTTTTATTTGTATCAATATATCCATACGAGCCTAAACTTGTTCCTAGTGTGTGATCGTACAAAGGGCCTAAACATAATCGAACCACAATGATATGGAAGTGAATTTCTTAATTGCGCAGCATCTTACCGCTGACTAAAGAGGTTGATGACGGACCATTTGTTATTTCCCAATCAAATTGATCGGTTTTTACATTTTCCCAGCCGCAAAACGAATCATCTTCAAAATCACAATCATTTGGTTCCTTGCATGATTTACTCAAACGAAGAACATCATCGATAGCGATATCTCCCTATATCCAGATAGAAATCAGTGCGTCATTCTTTGAGGATTGTATTTTAAACTCACTTCAAATCCTTTGCCGATAACTCCTTCGAAGATGACACGAAATGGTTCTGTACTTTCTGTTGAAACATGCGCTTTACGCCAAACATCGCCGACATTGGCACCGCGTGACCAGAGAAGTGTCATTGCACCAGCTGCCGATGTATTTGTGCTGGTGTAGACATTTAGTTGACCAACATCCTTGCCATACATATGGTACCAGAATTCGAGACAGCGACCTTTCTCAGGTTGTTCGAAAGTGGACAAGAGACGAGCTTTTTGACCAGGTCTCTGTGGACTTGATGATTCTAATAGAGAGAGACAGAGAGGGAGAAAGGAGAATTTATGAAATATCTTTTCGTGCGATCAACTATTTTCTACGTACCGATATACATGAAATGACCTAGCGAAGTTCCGAGTGTATGATCTAGAATAAAAATCATGCTAACCTATAAAATAAAAATCAGTTCTGTTACCTTGAGTCGCGCCTGTTGAAGAGGTTGGTGTTGAACCTTGACCTCGAGTCCATGCGAATTGTCCAGTTGGATCAGATGAATAACCACAGATATGTTCTTCTTCGAATGTACAATCAATTCCATAGAAATCTGGTTGAATACATGGCCCATCAGCGAGTGTCAGATCGTCTAATGAAACTTCGGATCGAATACTCCAAATTGCGACAACCTCATAAGCAACTCGTGTTATATTATCTCCAGGATTAATTTGTAGTTGACCATGTTGCCAATGACGCCCTTGATCACCCGATCGTCGCCATGCTGCTTTAGGTGCTGTAAAATTTTCATTGACAATCAAATAAGCATTCAACTCAGTGTCATCTGTTCCGTGCATTTGATACCACCAATCAGCACACATTGGAGCAGCTGTATTATCTGGCAATCGTGGACTAATCAATTCTGATATATCAATGTCGTTAAGCGAAATGACAGGGATTTCTAATCGTGTAGTCACGTAATAGCCGGTTGAATTTCCATAAGTATGATCAGTTAGAGGACCAACGATACCAGCAAGATTATTCGATGCTGGTTGTTCACGAAACCATGCTAGAGTAGCATTTGGACCTTGTGTCCATCCACAGAAATCTTGTTCAAATGTGCAATCGTAGCCAGGAACAGCTTTAGATGTTATTGATCGAGTTGTTCGTGAATGAACAGATGTTTTCGCTAGGAAAAAAAATTAGTGCTTTTTAAATAAAATCAAGAACTCAACAGCGGGATCTTACGTTCAGTCGATTGTTTTTTCGTTGATTCTTTCGATACTAAATAAATTGAACATAGAATGTTCATTTTTTTATTAAATAATCCATCTTACTTGAAGGACATGCTTGATGGCTAATTTGAATATTTTCGACTTGAATTTCTACATTTTCAGCTAACTGTCCATTGAAAACAATCTGAGTTGCTATTCGAGACGAATCAGTTGACACGAATGATGAGATATTCAATTGTACTCGTGTTCGACTAAATCAATTCGATTTAATAAAGATAATATGTGCAAATGAAACTGTTTTGTGCAAACCTTTGTCCTTGTACGAATCGACTACGCCAAACATGTTGATTATGAACGAAAACAGACAATTTATTCGATTTATCGCCCGTTATTTGATAGGTGAATGAGAGACAAGATGGTGCGTCTCTCGAAGACAAATGAGCAGTACCAATCAAACGAGCATCATATTGTTGAGATGATGGAAGAGTTTCTTTATCATCAAGATATTTCAGGACAAAAGACTGTTCGTCTAGAAATTGAATCACAGAAGAAAATTTCATTGTATGAGACCTTCAAGTTTTCACAAATATACCTGATGTTGTAGAGGAGAATTGATGCCATTTGAACTTTTGACTATTGTCCTGATCATTTCTCCAACCAGGGTCTAGAAACAATTCATTTTTGTAGACAATAAACACTACTCGCGATCGACGAATCTAACTAACCTTCATTGGGAATGTTTGATTGAGCTATAATTGAAAAAATATGAAATTTTGTTGAAAAAGTTTTCTCTCGAATCATTTTCGTAAACTCACCCGCAATACCAGTAAGGTACAGGAAGAGGAACAAGAACACAAAACGGTTCATGATCCTCAAAAAAGAATAGCGAATGTACAATATTGTATATAGGTATATAGGTATCTGAAATAAATTTGACGAAAAATGTGCACTCCACTGAAACTGTCGTCTTTCACTATGCTTGTCCTTATTTGAAATAATTTATATATACTTAAAAGACATGTTAGTTAAAATCTTATCTTCTCTCTTTTATTTGTTACTTTCTCAGTCGTAGATATAGCTGATAATTATCTCTCTCTCTCTCCTACTCTATATTCCGAATTTTATATAAAATAAACCAATAGAGAGAGAGAGAAACTTCGAAATGGTATAAGGACAAACAAATAGATACTTTTGTAGCAAGATAAGTTTGTGTACTTTTTAAAGAAGAGATGAGAAATCCATCGTTACCAAAACATAAAAAGCAACTATCATATATACACAAAGAAAACTGTTGGCTCTGAAGACCAGGAAAAATAATCTTGAGCAAAAGAAAATGCTTGTTTGATATTGTATAAGATATAGATATGAGTAATTAGGTAATAAAATAAACGAAATGGTTTTCTAGAGGCATCTTCGCATCTAGAAAGAGATTGCTGACCTTTCTGTTATCTCAAGCACTTAAATTGAGACTTTCAGAGAGAGAAAAAAAAAGAAAAGAACATGATGTTAGAGAACCATGTCGGATGATGTTTTGAACTTTGATCGGTATGGATCTTGTAAAGAAGCATCCGATCGATTTGAATTATGCGTTGGAGCTGCAGAAGTACTTCGAGTAAACTTTCAAATGATTTTTACTATTGACAAGCGCGTAACATGTTCGCATGAGTGCTGTTATCAAATGCACTTCTACTGTTTTAGAAGATAATAATAATGAGTGTACTGATATCACATTTTTCAATAAAAAAAAAAACGAAAAAGATGTTTCAGCCGTAGTAAACAACTTCTAGAATAGGATACCAATTGTTACAGGCCGTAGAGTAGGTTTGCGTATGGTGTATTCGACAGATGTAGTGTGTCTCAAATGTCGCAAGTTTTACTGATAAGTACACCTTGTGTAAAGGGTACTGATAGAGAATTTAAGTATAATACTGTGCAATATATTCGTTGCTATAAAAATTCAAATATTTTTAGCAAAATTGGTAACATTCAACAATGTATTGAATTGATCAGGTTATTTCCGTGATGGATCTCTATGATCATCTTTTGAAAATGAATATAATAGTAGATTTCATTCAATTTTCTAGCATTCTTTGACCAAGGATGAACCAATCTGTTGAAGTTTATTAGAAAATATTTTGAATATTTCACGACCAGATGAGTAAATTTATGAAATCGTTCTTTAGCAATCATCTCCACTATTATACGGTAGTTCTCGAGATGAATGAAGAACCAGATATAACTATTGAAATATTACTTCATTGCATTGTACGTCATTAAAGAGAGTACCTGCTTCGTTTCGTTCGATTAGAGTGTATTCATTCGTGATGCTATTGGCGAATACATAGAGCAAAAACGTCTTGACAGTCCAGAGTTCTGCAGTTGAATTTTCGTAAAAACATGGCGAGCGAGTGCATCGTTATTTTAATCGTTGCCAATTTCAATATACCTTTTTCTACTGATGATTATGTTGGACTCTGTTAAATGTATTTTTATCTTATTTCGCATAAGCGAATCGATTAAGCGATGCAGAACAAGAAAACAAAGTGCTAGAATCAAAACAATCCCTTTGCATGTATACGTCATTTTAATATACTCGACGTCTATAATATGTAAGTATAATCAACTGTGTGTAAGTCTGCACAAGTAAATCTACTTCCTAAATGCATGACTTGTTTTTTTTTTCAACAATTAGGAAACCGATTCTTTGTTCCTAGTTCCTTTTTTTCATACAGCGAAGTTGGGAGTATGACTGCATATTTGATACAGCATCTATCATTCATACTAAATACTGAATTTAATAAACAAACTAATTTCTTTTGTATAATACAGAGCAACCTGTTACGAAAGCAAGTTAACACTATGATGAAAACAAAAAACAAATGGCATAACAGTTTCGAGTTGTTGAAAATTTTTTTTTGTCGAATTCTATTGGCTCATAAAATTAACTACTTATCTTACTCTCCGTGACTCATCGATCATTAGTCCTTCAGTTTTAGTTTTACCTTTTCTTCTTCTTCTAGTGTGTAATAAGATGAAAGTTTACAATTAAGCAAATGTCATCTCGCCGAAACAGTTTCGGCAATCGATCGAAGAATTTCAATCGGCAGTCGGAAACTCACAACCATGCTGATGATTCGGAGATTGACCTAGCAACAAAAAATGATGGATCATTGAATATTCTACCTGAAGTAAAAAGACTTTATCCATCTGTGTGCATTTTCTTTCTTCTAAACAATTTCTATTTTAGTTAATGAAAAACATTCGAAAATTATTACCACGTTTGTACCTGAATTTTGCCTTGCAATCGATATGATAAGATTCATTTAGGAGAATTTCCATTGAATATGTATGTGCGCCAGGTAGAATACATAGAAAATCAATGTGAACATCTTATTGGAACTTTATTTATGACTACATTCCGACTTGTCTTCGTGCCAGATAGAGAAACTGAATGCAATGCCTTCGTATGTTGAAATATGGATAACACCGGCGATTAAACTATTATTACGTTTTGAAATTAGATCATCTCGGAAAATAAATATATTGGTGAATATGACATTCCATTAGCGTCCATTTATAAAATACATGTAGCACGTGAGTAAATTGGTGTGGAGTAATTGAATGCTTGTGAATGGAATACTTTTAGCGGTTGATTCTCGATCAGGGTTCAAGTCGTTTTTGAATGAAAATCAAATACAATCCGAAACGCGGACATTTACAATCATCACACGAGTTCGTTGAAGGAAAATTTCATATACTATTAACTAGGATTTGTTTTGACTTACAAAAGGATTTTCGTCGGGTTACTTTCACAAAATGTTCAGTTACAAAATCGAATACAGGAACAAAACAATCATCTGCATCTGTAACGAATATGGAAACAGTGAGATGAAGTCAATCTTCTATAAATTCCACTCTTGTTTCCTATTTCCATGTAGTATATAAATGCATTACGACGTCATAGTCAATTCCAATCGAAAGATCAATTATATCCTTATCTTGCTATGCAACAAAGTTCTTCGGATGTAGTGTCTCGGGATTATACGCACGACTCATTGTCAAACACACGATCGGTCGATGATGTTACGAAAGGTTACTATAACCATGCGACATGTTGTTTTCATTTTCAGCTGGCTTTCTTTTTGTAGATTTTTCTTTGAGTAATGACGAACGTGTTAAAAGTTATTTGACTTACTACGATTGGAGAGATGAATTGTATGAAGCAGATGAACACGACTGGATCGTTGATCAGAAGAAATTTAATAAACATTATGTTGTTCAAGAGTAGGAAACGATCAACATAATATTTCGCTATAAATCATCTTATTCTATTTAGAGACGGTCCGTATGTTTGTTTAGCAAAAAATACTGACGAAAGTTTAAATGATTTGGTAAAGAAAATGTTCTTGTTTTGTTTGTATAAGAATCGATATTTTTTTATGAAGATTTGGCATTGGACTCATACATCTCAAATTGGTACTGACGGGCCCAGTAGAAGACCGATAGAGCAGCAAAAGCACATGCTAATCACTGTTCCAAATGTTGCAGATGCTACAACTATGGAACCGTAAGTAGAACTTTTTGATAGATCATTTCTTTTAGTACAGTTTTGCAATATTGATACGAAAATTACTTTCATCTTTTGCTCTTGAACAGTCCTGAAACACCGGGCAGTGCGCCGGCTGTTCCACAATCATCATCGTCATCATCAACCCCGTTTCGTTTTTCTAAAATAAAAAAGAAATTACGAAAATCTTTACGCCCCAATACGACTGATGGTCCCAAATTGATTTGCACGAATGAAACGAAAACAACAACAAACGACTTACCAGCTATGTCGGAAATGGTCTCCGATGTTGGGTGAGACGTCCGCGCGTGCTCGGTAACCGTTGCTATTGTATATGTTGCACGCGTATTTGTCGACATTGTTTTGGTGTATAGATGTTTAATATAATTACTAAACACAAACCAACGATTCTATCAGTCAAACACTAATCTACACATTTACTTTCTTTTCTAGTTTACGACGTGCAGCAACTGATACAAGCTTAGTTCCATCAGCGCATTTGATACATGATCAACCATTTCAACGTTATAATTTAGCAAAATTTCCATGTAGTCTAAAACGATTGCAAACAGGTTATGAGAAACTATTCGAAACATGTGTTTTGACTATTGGTTAGTGAAACAAAGATGCATAGAAGTGTCTCTAATTTCTGCTCTTCTAGATGATGACGATGAAAAATGGTGGACTAAAGTAGGTGCATGTAAATGGCTGAAATATGTGTCGAAAGCTTTACATGGTGCTGCATCTCTAGCGAAATTACTTGATTTTAAGAACATAGAATTAGCTGGTAAGAGATAGTTTGAAATCGACTGAAGTTTTTACTTGAATATGGTGTGTTTTTGAATAGGAAGCGATACTGATAACAATTGTCTAATCTCATCATTAATTCAAATCCTTCTGCGTCCGAAATGTCGTACAATAAAAGGTTTTTGTGAACTAATTGTTCGCGAATGGCTTATCCGTGGACATAAGTTTCGCGAACGTTTCGGTCAAGTCTTGTATGAAGCAAGTGGTTCTAGTGCTCAAGAAGTAAAGCTCTTCAACGTATTTTTTTTCTCTTCAAAATCAATTCATTTTCTTTCCAGTCACCGGTTTTTCTACTTTTTCTCGATTGTGTTTATCAATTACTTCGACAGAATCCTTTACAATTTGAATTCACGGAATATTTTCTACTCGAACTTTATCGTAGTGTTTGTTATTGTTATCATCATACATTTGTTTTCAATTCAATCAGCGAACGCGTCTATGCAATATATAATTGTCCGAGAAATCTTCTGGTTTTATCAGCATTCGATTTTTCTCTTTATCTCCATCCAAATGCATCTTGTTTGATAAGAAATTATGCGTCAGTCTCTTCTGATCAACCGAAAAAATCTCGAATCGAATCGCCAATCTATTATCCGCCATCAGAATCTCCTCAGCGACCTGCTCGAACTGTTTACTACCTCGAAAGACCGAAATCAACAAGTTCTATGTCCGAAGTTCAGTTAACAAATAACTTCCCATTACCCATTGCTGAACACTACGAATACGAAACGATTGAATCACCTCAATCATTTCCCGCCAATTTAACCGTCGATTGGCGAGTGTTCAATTTAGAACTATGGCCGAAATGTTACTGTCGATATGATCAAAAATATAAACCAACATACTACGAGCAATGTTTATCTAATGATATCGATTATTTCATAGAAAATCTTGCCAAAAAATCTCAACAAGCAGTCACCCTAGACACTTATAGTTATGTCTGTATCTTCTATACTACTCTTTCAAAAAATAGACTATTGCTTTTCACATTTCAGATTGGCTACGCTAATTCTTGGCACCCGCAAACACTTGATACTCGTGTGTAGAAAAGAAAACGACTTATGCAATAGAATATCTTTGGCATTTATGACTTTTTTCTGTGAACTACGCTCATTCATTCTTCCTAACTATAGTAGTACATACTCAATACGTGTGCTTTTCACTTTGCTGTATCTCAGACTTTCTCACATTGATTTGTACATACTTCTATTTACTCAAGTTATACACTTGTCACTCTTTTATCTTCTCATTTCAACAGTGACTTAAGCTATTCATTACGAACAACAAAAAACTTAAGAAATATTACATTAATGTCAACTTTATTTTAGATTTTTATTACTAAAAAAGAAAACAATGTCTTCTACGGAGTCCGACGACGAATCCGAACAGTCCATGACATCTCATCAGTATTCGACTCGTCCCGACTGGGCTGATGTTGTACCAATCGAACAAGACGATGGTCCCAATGCTGTCGTTCAAATAGCGTATTCAGATAAATTTCGCGAAGTATTCAACTATATTCGAGCATGCATGCACGCAAATGAAATGAGCGAACGAGCACTTGAATTGACAAAAGATGCTTGTTACCTAAACCCGGCTAACTATACTGTTTGGTGTTATCGCCGTAAACTTTTATACCATCTTAACTGTGATTTGAACGAAGAAATCGCTTTTGTTGGAAACATGATTCGTAATAATCCAAAAAATTACCAAGTAAAACTCGAGAGACGAAGTTCAATGGAGACATACATTGTTTTATTTAGGTCTGGGAACATCGTCGTATCATTGTGGAACGTTTAAGTCATCCATCGAATGAACTAGCTTTTCTTGCTGAAGTGATTCGGAGTGACTCGAAAAACTACCATGCATGGCAATATCGACAATGGTTATTGAAAACCTATGGACTGTGGGCAGATGAGTTGATGTATGTTGAACATTTATTACAAGAAGACGTTCGAAATAACTCCGCATGGAATCAGCGCTACTTCGTTATTTCGCATACGACCGGTTTTAAAGATGATATTATTGAGCGAGAATTAGATTTCGTCCTCAAAAGCATTGAATTCAATCCCGATAATGAAAGTGCATGGAATTATTTACGTGGCATAGCACGATTCCGTTCGACAAACTTAACGGATCAACGTCTATGGAAATTCTGTCAAAACTTGTACGAGAACAAATATCTTAAAGATGATTTTAACTGTCAACAATGGCGATTCTTATTCGCGTATATGATCGAGTTATTGGCTGATGATGACCGAGCGGACAAGCAAGAAGAGAATAAACGAATGATTACCGATCTTTGCGAAAGATTAGCGACGAAAATCGATCCGATACGAAAAAAGTATTGGCAGTATATTCAACAGCAACATAGCACTCAATGACACTTGACTCCTTTGATTTCCATATGATTGTTATCACCGGTTATGATCGCATTCGATCTCTTTTTCATTTACAGTTTTTTTTTCGAAAACAAAAAAGGGCATGATAGTACACCCTCTAAATCAAAAGCAAATAAAGAAGACAAAACCGAGAAACTGAAAAACAATTTTCAAATCAAATAAATATAAGAAATGCTCACAGCACTTATTTGTCTCTTCCTCGTCTTTTTTGTCAATGGATATACGACTGGTGATGGAGAGGCACAATATGTTGATGAAAATAATCAGAACGGTAGGTAAACATAGCAACTGATGGATCTGAATCGTGAATGTAACAACGAACAAAATAGAAAGAGCTTTCATTAGGATAGGATTTATCATTGAATGTGAATCTTTTTCGTTAGGCGACTTTGGTCTACGAAATTCGTCACGAGCTACAAATTTCAATACATTCTATAATGTAATTGCTCAGGACGGAGCTGACCCATGGGTTTATAAGCATGTAGATGGGTGGTATTATTTTACTCGAACAACTGGTGGTGATGTTCGTATCTGGCGATCACGTACTTTTACTTCCATAGATGCTGGCGATAGTCGAGTCGTATGGAGATCTCCAAATTCAGGTGCTGCCTGTCGAGCTGTTTGGGCACCCGAAATGCACTACATTCAATCTCGTTGGTATGTCTACACATATATATATATTGACATAAATTACTCAATTTGACCTGGGTTTTTGAAAGGTACATTTATTTTGCTGCTACAACTTGCGATGATGTCAATGAAAATCATCGTATGTTCGTTATTGAGAACACCAATTCGGACCCATTCGTCGGTTCCTTCACTTGGAAAGGACAAATAACTGATGCGACAAATAAATGGGCTATTGATGGCACCGTACTCGAACTTCCTTCTAGCCAACTCTACTTTATTTGGTCCGGTTGGCAAGGTGATGTTAATGAAAGACAGATCTTATACATAGCTCAAATGTCGAATCCGTGGACAATTAGCAGTGCGAGAGTGGAAATTGCACGACCGACATATACATGGGAAACCAATCACAAGCCCTATATTAACGAAGGCCCTCAAGTAACTATTCGCAATGGTATTATATCTCTTGTTTATTCTGCATCTGGCTCATGGACAAATGAGTACTGTCTTGGTTTGATAACTGCCTCGGTTAATAGCGATCTAATGAAAGCCAGTTCCTGGCAGAAACGCGTGAATCCAATCTTTCGCTCGGGTAATTCAATTTATGGGCCTGGTCATCAAAGTTTTACCAAATCTCCTGACAATCGAGAAGATTGGATAATCTACCATTCAGCACGTTATAGTGGTTCAGGTTGGACTCGACAGGTTCGCGCACAACAATTCACATGGAATGCTGACTCAACTCCAAATCTTGGTTCGCCAGCCAATCCGAATACTCCAATACGCATTCCATCTGGCGATCAACTACGAGACCGTTACGAAGCCGAACATGCCCGTCTGCTGAATGGTCCTTTTGCACATGCACACCCAAGCGCATCGAATGGTCTTAAAGTAGGCTATATTGATTATCCTGATAGCATCGTCGAATTTACTGTACATTGTGTTCAAGCTGGTTCATACGTTATAGTAATTCGAAATGGAAATGGATCAGCAGGAAATGCACGTGCAACACATTGGTTATCGATTAATAATGGCAATCAAATGGAAATATCGATTGTTTATAGTGGATGGGACATGTGGGGTACAAGTATGGTTCGAGCGACTCTTAAGCAAGGTGCAAACACGATAACCTTTAAAAAAGGAACGAATTATGCTGAAATCGATTTTATTGATGTCTTTCTTGATGCATAGTACTATCTCGAATCGATGTTGAAATAAAAATTTAGAAATCCTTAAGGCTATCTACTTCAGTATATTTCGTTATAAATCTCACATAGTTTTGTCGTACGAAAAACTATCTCGTGAAATGTTCATTTGACCTTGCAATACCGTGATTGCATGTCCACGTAACCAAACACGTTTATTCTGTTGATCCAATTCACATTCAACATGTCCACCGCGATCACTTTTTTGATAACCACGAAGAAGCGATTTGTTCAGCAGTTGAGACCAATAAACAGCCAGAACAGTATGCGCACTGCCCGTGACCGGATCTTCGAGAATACCATTCCATGGAGCAAAATACCGCGATACGAAATCTTCGGTCGTGTTCGTTGAGTTACTCGTTAGAATGATACCGCGTATAAATGGTTGTATCGATGGATCAAATCGAATTTCCGTTAGACTTTCCTGGGGTTTAATATCATCATTGAGAGCAGATAACTCAATCAGGAGTTTTTTTGTTCGTCTACATAATTGCGTAGCTAGTACTCGTTGTGTTACATTCAGTTTAGATTTAATTTCATCTATAATCTTAGCATTAAGTTCAATGGGTTGAGGTTCGCCTTGAGGAAAGTCCATTTGTAAGCGACCTTCTTGATCGCATTTTTTCACTTTTAATTCGCCGACTTTTTTCGTTTCAAAGATTAGTTCATCGACCGATGAGCTTTGAAGAAATTGTTCAAACAGAATGTGAGCAGTGGCTAATGTTGCATGACCGCACAGATCGACCTCATTCGTAGGAGTAAACCATTGAAGAAAATAACGACCAGTTGAAGATGAATCATTCGCTTTGGTAATAAATGCCGTTTCGGATATATTCATTTCAGTGGCGATGTTTTGAAAAAGTTTATCCAGTTTTGGTGAGCTCGGTACATCTTGAAATGAAGTGCAAACTCCAGCTGGATTTCCTTTGAATAATTCATGTGTAAAAGAATCAACAGTAAAGATAACAGTCATGATTGAAATAGTGTGAAAATAAACGAATAGATAAATGTATCGTTATTCATTCAATCATAGGAAAGGATGAAAATAATCCAAATATGTCCAATGGCGACACCTGAGGATGGCTTTTACGTGAAGATACACAGAAGGAAAGATTTTGGTCATCATGTAAACCAATGATTTTTCATTCAGACTTTTTTCTCCTCTTCTCTTCCCTTCTTTCGTTTTGTTCACTCACTTTCGAATTTGTTCATGAGAATGTTATCGAACAAGACATCGTCAGCTGTTCGCTCAGCTATCAATGCAATTCAACATTACAAAGTCCTCAATATTCTAACGCACGACTGTTTCGAAACAGCACTTGAAACCGAACAAAAAATATCAACGGAAAAGAAAAGTATATATCACAGAATTCACGATGAATTCCTATCTACGCCAGTCCTACCTTCATTTGCCTTCTAGATGATTCTCCATTGCATGGACGACCGATCTTAATCAAAGATAATTTCTGTTTACGCGATACATTAACAACATGTGCTTCGAAAATGTTGGCCAATTTTCGTCCGCCATATACAAGCACTATCGTACAACGATTAATTGATCATGGTTGTATTATTGTCGGAAAAACGAATATGGATGAATTTGCTATGGGGTATATTGAACGTCATTTATAAAAATTTTGAACATATCCTACATTAACTCTAGATCTTCTGTTCAGAACAGCAAGTTGGGGTGCATTTGGACCGGTTGCTAATCCGTGGAGTTTAACGAAGACTATGGCTACGAACGAGGAAACAAGTAAAACGGTTTTGCATATAGCCGGAGGAAGTTCAGGAGGAAGCGCGGCTGCTGTTGGAGCAAATTTTGTATCTATGTATGAACAGAATTGATAGGCTTGAAAAAAGAGTATCTCATTTGCTTTCATCGATCATATTATTTCAGAGCAGTTGGCTCAGATACAGGTGGTTCCATACGAAATCCAGCTGCAAGATGTGGCTGTTATGGATTTAAACCTTCCTATGGTTTGCTTTCTCGGCATGGTTTAGTTACCTTAGTTAATTCATTCGATGCGCCTGGTTTTTTCGCTAGAAATATTGATGATCTAATCTATGCAACGAGTAAGTTCTATAGTGAATTTCTGCTGACAATTTTCATGGAGATTGTCTCAAAATTTTAGATGCTGTTGCTGGTTCCGACGGTGCTGACGCGACTCTATCATCAAAACCATTCCAAGCACTGAAAACATCATCAGAATCATCAAAAGAAAAGAAAAGAATTGTCATAGGACTGCCGGATGTAAGTACTCTATCTTCGTATTTATTAATCATTTGCAGAGCAATTGATAGGATTATGATATTCGCGCCTTATCAACGGAATATCGCTCATGCTGGCAAGATCTCGTGCATCAGTTGACTGAAACAGGCGAATTTCTATTCCGAAGAGTTCAAATACCACACAAACCGTACGCTAATGCGGCTTATACAATTCTAAGTTCGTCGGAAATAGCTTCGAACATGGCTCGATACGATGGAATTCGATATGGTAGAATATTCGTTGAATTCGGACTTGAAAAGTTTCCCGTTTGAACATTACAGGTCACCATACCAAAAATATTGATGAGAGTAAAGATACCTATGAGACAATTTTGAAAAAAACACGTGATGAAAGCTTTGGTGAACGAGTTCGCGGTCGCATTCTTGCTGGAAACTATTATTTACTTGAAGAGTGAGTGAGAATCAGTTATTTATTGTTTAGGTTGTGAAAAGAATATGTTGTGTTTCATTAGAAACTATGAGAAATATTTCGTTCAAAGTCAACGTGTTCGACGTGCCATTGCTAATGACTATAGAAAGTTATTTGAAGAAGATAAAATCGATTGTCTATTAACACCAGTTGTCTCTGATGATCCAATAACATTGGCTGAATATGAACAATCAAATGAAATCTTTAGCGATAACGATGGCTTTACAGTCGATGCCAACCTAGCTGGTAAATAATCTTTGTAACATTCGAAGTAACTCTGAATGAAAACGACGAATCTTTTTATTAGGTTTACCGGCACTTAGCTTTCCAGTTCGAATATCGAGTAAAGGCTTTCCGATTGGTCTACAAATCATTGGTCCATTCATGCAAGATCAAGCGCTTCTTTCCATAGCTCAGCGTATCTGTTCAACATATCATTTTCCTTTTCTTGATCTCAGTACTCAAGTGTAGAATCTGTTGTTTTTTTTTGGCAAAGCAATAAAACGAAAGAAACAAATGAACACAACGTAATAATTAGCTTGAAAAGTGTATGTGTTTTTCATTGTTAGTGAGATCTTTGGCGCGATGAATCATCAAAATTAAATCTGATCATGTGGTACAATAACGCCCATTACACAAATCCACAGGCGGTAATAGATAGATGAAAAAGCCATTGCAATTCATAACTTCTATTTGTCTTTCAATTAAAACGACACTTTGATAAACGCTAAAACATATTGTTGCGTTCATTGAAGTTCCTGGCGTTGTCGGCATTGTACCGTTGAACCAACCTACTACATATGCGCCACATGCAGGTGGAGCAGGTGATAATAGAGGAATTGTGGTACCGCCAGCGCCAACGAACCGTATCCACGACCCATGAGTAGTTGCATTGAATATTTCTGACTGATCGCAAACGCCGTAAACTGTGGTCTGAGTGACACTTCGTGTGGGATCATTAATAGTTGTGTACGATGAACAGGGCAAACCAGTTTGACTCCCTATACTCACTGTACTTCCCATATATGACGACGCTACCGTTGATACTAAAACAGGAGCGCGGAGACGTATAACACGAAACCAAAGAAGAAAAGGTACTGACATGAACTTGTGTTACTGTTTTCTGATGATGAACTATTTTCACGAGAATTAACAGTGCCAATGATAACTCCGATAGTTATTGCTACCACAATGATAATTAAAACAATAATGATAAACGTAATAATTAGAGCTCGAGTGCTACAAAATATAGTTTCAGTCTCGTCGAATGATCTAAAGATAGCCCAGAGTTGAAGTTCTATTAATCGATCTGTTCTTACTCATCTATGGAAATGTCGCGTATTGAAGAACTCCCAGTTCGTTCTTCAGAACTGAATATTTGTGGCTCAATTGCTGTTGAAGCTTGACCCTTCGGATATTCAAATGCTTGTTGTTTACTATAGCGTGCATTATAATAAAATCGAACGATTTTATTCATCGGTGCACGCTTTTGAGTCGTTCCTTGTTGAGTAGATGGATGACGAACGTCAAAGTTTTTGATAGCATTCATTCTTTCAATCTTATTTCTTCCTATTTGTGTACGATGCGCATGTACTTATATACATTGTAAACTGCATGTATTGAATTGAGTGAAAACCTATACAAGACTGTGTTATTAAAATGCTCTTTGATGAATTCGGCTCTTGATTTCGTATGATTTATTGTATTTTTAGCAATGCCTCTCAATGTTCGTGTTTACAATAATCCACTGTGCATATAAAGCAACAATGTGATAGAACATATGTTAATGGAAAAATATGTAAATATTGTTGGTAATTTCGACAACTGTGCTAAACAAAAATCAAGACGCACATCGTTTTTGAGAAACATGTTCTGAATGTGTGCAATGTCATAAACATCTGTACTGTAAGTTCTTCAAAAAAATTCGAGACTCGACGAAAGCCTTATGTTATGAATGATGATTCATACAATAATAATATTGTCAACAGAACACATGATTGTAAAATCGGTCAATAACGTCCCACACGTTGTCATTTTCGTTAACAGATGTATGATCATATAGAATTTTTATCATTATAAAAATACTTGATGGAGAGAATAAATATCAAACAGGTTAGAGACTTGTTAAAAATGAAACAATGTAAATTTGATTTGCATTTTCTGTATTTTTTGTATAAAGATTTCAATTCCGTTGATTGATCGTATTGGATTATTGATAGACAAATGTCAATATTTTTGCACGGACTATGTTCAATTTCGTTTTCCTGCCTGCCGTGATCATTGACCTGTAGATAAAAATTATGTAATCAGACTCAAATCCCAAGAACTTTTAACTTGATCCTAAATCAGCTGACTTTACTATGATATTTCCAGTCCTCAACGTCTTCTCCTGCTATAGACTACCATCAACAATGCTTATTGTACTGTGATAATCACAAATCTATATATAGTGAATAATCGAATATCGACATATTCGACATTAGTGTAAATTGATAAACTTTGCGAATTGTTTTTATTCAAGAAACTTCTTTTGTATTTTGAAACACTTCATAATAAAGTTTGTTTTACAGTGTAGAGAAAGATACGGTGTGCATTATCATCATGATCATCATCAACAACAACAACGGTATCTTTCGAAATATGTGTGATGGCCGTGGTCTTTTTCGTTTTTTTTCTTCTTCTCTCCTCTCTCTCTCTCTATAAAATATTAAAAAAAAACGTTGGTGGGCCGAACAAGAAAAGGTTATCTAACATAGATGTAATGTGATGCGCAACAGATTATTATATACATCACTCGTTTTTTCTTCGTTATAGTTGTGTGATTCAGCAGTGAAAGCAAAAAACTAACCACATATATTAACTCTTCTTTGGATATTCAACAATGGCAGGAGCAAAGCGATCCGTAGATTTAAGTAGTGCAGACATTCAACAAGCATGGCAAGATGTTAGAAATGATGGTGCAGATACGAATTGGTATAGAAAAATCGAAAACAAGTCTTGAGAAAAGAAAGGTATTTACTTATTGTATCATTTAGGATTTTATTGACGTATGCTGATAATGGTGACGTGGTACTTAGTGGCAAAGGTACAGGTGGTTTGACGGAAATGAAAGAACAGATGAACAGCAATCAAGTTTATTTTGGCGTAGTACGTGTCCGAGCTGTTGACGATCATGGAAGTAAACGTGCAAAATTTGTTTTTATTACATATGTTGGTGCAGGTGTCGTAAGTATTGTTTTTGACTTGAATTCGAAAGAACAAGTTTCTGTGAAATATGCCTTTCGAGCGTTTTCAGCCTGCCATACGCCGTGCTCGTGTGTCAACGCATAAACCTGAATTCGAAAGATTGTTCAATGGTTATCACATCCAAGTCTATGCGAATTCTGAAGACGATCTGTCAGAAGATGCAATCACATCATCATTACAGGCATGCGCTGGTGCACATAAACCACAAGCCTATGAATTCTCCTAAGTTCTATGCCTTATTAGTTTCTTTTTCTTCTTCTTCTTCTTCTTCTATTGATTTGGCTGTTGACGTCTTTGTTACACATTGATATTTTCGTATATGTAACAGATCAATCGATTTTTTGACAATTATAATAGAAAAATAAAATCAATATTTCATTGATAAAACTTGTTTGAATTTTCTCTTGGTCATCTACCTATGAGTAGAATAAACGTGTTATCGCAGTGTATTATCCATCAGATGCTTTCAGATATTTACAGATGGCGTTATATGTCAATTCAGTTTTTCTATATCGTTATTTATTGGAACGCAGGAAAGTACAATAAAAACACGAGTTGAAGAATCGTGATGCAGTCAATCACGTTTCGTTCCGAATTTAAATTGTGCGATGTAAAGAATTTTCCTAGTTCCGTCGCGAATCTTCAGAGAAAATGGCTTCATTCATAAGTCGTGTTTTTGGAAAAACGACCTCGTCATCGTCGTCGAAAAAGAATGCTACGCCAAGTATTAATTCTCCAATACAATTATCGAATTCCACAGCTCCTATAGCTCTTCTTGATCTTCCGTACGTTGATTAAATCTTCTCTTGGAATCTACTATTCAGTCAATTTTCGTTTTTCGTAAACTAGACAATGGGTGCCGCCAGAATTCAATCGCGATAGTATTCGTCTTCTGGTTTTCTTCGACAGTGATGATACTGGTTTGCAAATTATATTCGATTCAAAAACGCTACGTATCGTTCCACCAATTGATAATGAGAATTCAGGTGCTAGGACATCAACAACAGTGAATCCGTACGCAACAGCATCCGGGATTTCATCAACAATGGTGAGAATGAAATTTATTTGACATTTCTTGGCATATCTCATGTCTTGATTACCAACTTGTAGAACTCAGCAAGTAAACCTCCAGCAGGTCCAGGTGGTGCTCGTGCGCGTCCCGCTATAACGCGGTTCACTCATAAAGGGAAACAATATGAAGTAAATTAGGCATTAATCGTTTTGATCGTTCTCATTCGTTTCATTTTAGCTATTGAAAGCGTCCAATGATACACGTAGCTATGCTGACTACATATTCGGCACTATGCCATTACTACATAAAGGTACTGGAATGAAAATTCACACAAGCAAGTAAGTTTCGTTTTAAATACTGTTCTGCATATTAGAATCGAAATTTCATTTATAGATCACCGCTACAAATCATGATGAGTCGAGTATTTGCTATGAAAGCAGCTGACCGGTAATCGATGGGTTTGGCTACAAATCTTACGGTCTAAGTCATTTTTCTGCTTGATTTTTTTCAGTCCTGATACACTGGCCAATATAAGTGTTACATCTGAACCAGATTCAGCACCAGTCAATCCTCTAAATCCATTCATATTGCCAGGTTTTGGCCGATCATGTACGAGATTGAATATCTTCGACTGTTTCTTTCTATTCTTATTGGTATTGACATTTTAGCCAGTTCGGGTGTCAGTGTTGCTTCGTCGACTATATCAAGCATTGATGTTCTCGGTGAAGATCTAACAGCTCAGAAATTCGGTCGACTGTATCGTCGATGGCTAAAATTCACTAATCGAACTATGAAACAACATCCTCGACAAGTAATCAGAGATTATCATTATATAAAACGATCTGTTCGTTTCTAGCCTGGTCGTCGTCACCGTCGATGTATCGGTGCAGCATTTATGGTTATGTTTCATCCTGATGATACAGCTAAATACAAGTAAGATCTGAGTTTTCTTCATAAAAAAGAATTCTTCAATTGATCAGTGATTTGTTAATAGGCATTTCGAAGAATTTTTCTGTACACATGCACCATTGATTGAGAATCATTTTCAAAAGATAATGGCAACAGCAGAAGCGAATATTCACGATAGAAATGCGGTAGCTGCTGCTCTGCTGGAAGTACGATCATGAAACAATGTACTTACAGTCTCAATGTAGTCAAATGTTCTTTTTCTAGAAACTATTCGTTTTTCGAGATGATATCCACACACTATATACACGTCCTCGTCTACTATACCCAGCGTGGTATATGTTAACACAGGAGCAGCTGACGATGAGTAAACGACGTGCGTTAGCTCAACAATTGTGCTCAATTATTGATCTATTCACGACACCAAAATATGGCGAGTAAGTTTAACTAGGCTCCCGAGAATATTTACAATTAAACATACAAGAGAATTTCTTCTTTGTTAGCTTTCTCAATTGTGTCCTATCAGCGGTGCTTAGCTATCAATTATCCTGGTTATCTACAGTTTCGCCATCACTTACTAAATCAAAACAACAAGTTTCATTCAAAGCCAAAGCAGATTATGTAAATAAAAGAGACAACGTCCTCTCGGCTGATGCATTGTCCCATCTTTCTTTTTCCTCTCTAGGTTCATTCATTACAAAATTTTCTTCAGTACAGCCCTTTATGGGGACAGTTGATGTAAGCAATCGTTTATTATATAACATTCAACGAATACTCTTGTCTATTTAGAGACCTTTTCAGCGCCTATAGTCAACCTCCATACATTTGTCGAACAGTTCTCGTCGGTAGTGATTCATCATTACTCACTCGTTTAATTTATCTATTGAGTTTTTTCATACGTCCAAGCTACTTGACATATACAATCCCGAATAGCAATTTATCCGATCATCATGACGAACAAAATCGTTCTTATAAGAAAATCCGTTTGTACATCGATGAATTGATTGCTGAGTCAACCCAGATTCAAGACATTGAACCATATTCACCTGTGCACAGTATTCATGATGAGACTGAGGAGCAAAACTTCGAAGATGATATTGATATTTTATCCGGTGATGAGTCTGCACATGACAATAATACAACAACAACTACGAATCAAACAACATCACTTGCTGAACCGAAGGAATTTTATCAATTAACATTTACATCTGATGATCTTGAAAGTACTAGTGTCGATGAACATGAAATATCACTACTGTTGGATTCATTAGTAATGCATATCGATCAAATCATTATCAATGAATCTCGTGCAAAACTTCAGTAGGAACATTCGGCTTGTTTTGTTTTCCATTGTAAATTTCTGTTCGAATCTTTCTCAGATCACCTGTCAATTCGGTTGGCACAGTTCGCGTGACAACGGCCTCTCCCGTTAAACCAATTGTGAATTCTCCACCGTCGAAAATCCTAATGTCTCTTCCATTATTTGAACCTAATCATCTTGGTCATGAACCTATACATATTAACAATGATTATCACATAGATTTAGCTTTATCGTTGATATCATCAGTCAGTAAATCCTATTCACCTGATTTCATACTACAAGCAATTGAAACATCTCATGTAAATGATATTATACATTCGATATGCACTCAGCATGCATCTGATATATCAGAAACGGGTGGTTTATTCCTCGATGGTGAGCAAATCGATACTTCAATAACAATATTAATCAATATCGATGATTTAACCGTCAATCTCTATTCCAGTAAACATAATGATGTCGCTCGACGACAAGAACGTACGACATTGATTCAGCCGTTGATTGATAACGCGCATTTAGCTAAACAATTACTACCAGCTGATTTCGTTCTTTTGAATATGGAAGACAGTTTACAAGAAATTTATTTTCAAGCTCTAGCAATTCTGAAATATATGAAAGCAAATAATAACTCGGTAAGGTCATTCACATATTTTCATATGAACTCTACTCGCAATAACAAGCTGGACTGATTTTGAATATAAATAAAACCAAAACGATGGTTTTTGCAGACAGGAATATCGACAACAGTATACAAATAGCAGGAAGCACCATAGAAAACGTAGGAGTTTGAATATCTAGGCAGATTGCTGACGTGGGACAATAACTGTTCAGAGGAAATAAAAAGGAGAACAGGAAAAGCGACAGGTTCAATGGCTTCTCTGAAACACATATGGAATAGCAAGAAATTGAGGATAGAAAACAAGCTAAGAGTTCTAAATACATGTGTTTTCAGCGTCCTATTATACGCATCAGAGACTTGGACTCTAAAAGAAGCAGACAGGAAAAAATTACTGGTTTTTGAATTGAAATGTTACCGACGAATCCTAAAAATAGATTGGCAAGATATGGTACGAAACGAAGATATCCGAAAAGGATATCAAGAGAAGAGAAAACTCAGGTTATTCGGCCACATCTGTAGAATGGACGATAGTATATTACTAAAACATGTAGTATTTGGTAGAATAAAGGGCAAGTCTCGGCGAGGGCGTCAATGTAGAGAGTGGCTGATGACATAACAGAGTGGTTTCGACGCAGTGGACAGGATCTGTTCCATCTTGCGCGCAAGACCGACAAGCGTGGAAAAATCTGATCCCGTAAAATGGTTGGCTCCAACGGGCGCTAAGCCTATGGGAGATGATGATATACTCGCAATGTGATGAATCATAGAAAAAAGACGTTGAAAACAGATGCCAGCTTGTGTTCGATCGTGATTATATCGACAAATTGATTCTGTATTTAGGCGTACAGTCAAGAAAGTGTCAGTTCTTTCGGTGATTCAGCGTCAACAACCAGTATGGCTAGTGGTGATACCGATGACAAGAATAGTCGAGCAACAGGTCACACAATCACGGACTTGTCTCCTCAACCATTAACAAATCCATCCATGACAAGCGAATCACTATATGCAACAGCTATTGATAATAGTTCTGAATTGGTACAAAACGTTCTGCGAAGATTTCAACTGCAACGATCGGATTATATGTTTCTGAAGAACATCTTGCGAGTTCTTGAAACTGAACAATTGCAAGTGATTGACTGAAGAAAGCTTTGAGAAAAAACCTTGAAATACCATTTTTCGTTATTTCTTTTATATAATCAACATAGTTTTTGTACTCAGGATAGTTTGTGGATGTAAAATATATTTTAAAACATTGAACATCAAAGCTCAATGATATACAAGAGAAAAACAGAAGTTTTTTCTTCTATCAGATGACGAATCCGTTTTGCCTTAATGAATTCTATTTGACAAAGACGATTTATCAATCAACACAATCAATCGGTGTGAAGCTAGCACGAAGGAGCTAGCACGAACAAACGATATGTTAGGTAAAAACTTTTTTACTAAGTATGTCCCGTCCATGCAAGCTACACCATTCGACTCAGAATTTAATTCTGCATCGAATGGTGGTACTTTTATTCACCGGACAAACTTTGGAAAAATTATATCTGGATTATAAATAGACATAAAGGAAACGAACAAAGATATAGATAGAAAATTTTCCAAAGTTTGTCCGGTGAATAAAAGTACCACCATTCGATGCAGAATTAAATTCTGAGTCGAATGGTGTAGCTTGCATGGACGGGACATACTTAGTAAAAAAGTTTTTACCTAACATATCGTTTGTTCGTGCTAGCTCCTTCGTGCTAGCTTCACACCGATACACAATCACCGTTCGTTAATATTGAACTATATAAATCATAATATTTACTATCATCGTCTTCAACAACAGCATCGGACATATGCAATATTCAACCAGGTTTTGGTACTATTACGCAAAGTATTGTTCCAAAGTTGCCGTGTTAGATCAAAGTGTTCCAAAAAAAGCCCGGTTTATCAATACGTTTCTTGCTAAACTTTTCATTGATGTGAACATATTGCATGCGCTTCTTTTGAAATCATAGAGGAAAACATTCATTTGTACGAGCGTTATATACGCCAAATACTGTTATTCGCTCGTTGAGAACTTTCTTCCTAGGATCTTTGTTGCTCGTCTGATTATCTATTTCTTGTCAGTTTCCTTCTTGTTCTTGATTTATATGTCAGAAATATCGATACTGTTTCAAACACCAATTACTATTAAGTGCTTGAAGAGTAGTGGAATTACGAAATGATCGTGACAATTTTCCTAAATAATTTATTGAAAATATTATTATTACAATGTTAGTCTCTAGACGTTGCTAGTCTGTTGTTGCGAGGGTGATGATAAGAATATATTCATATGTATAAATCGCTCATGAATATGACCTCCATCAGGGAAATATATTATTCTCTCTGTTCGGCTTGCTCCATGTCGAACAGAATAGTTGACTAAAATTCTCATCATTCAGGTAAGGTCAAGAAGAGAGGAAAACAAACATCTGTATTTTGTCAACTGCAGGAAATTAGTTTGTCAATAAATAAGATTAAACGTTAGAAATGCCACTCGTAAAACTGACTTGTCTCGAATTGATAGAAGTCTAAGACTAAATCGATTTCTTCATCGTTTCTTGAAGGCGTATACTTTTATCCGATGAAATATTAGTACAATATCAAACGCACTTTTTCACAAGGACCCCTTTGTTAGTAATCTAATCTATCAGAAATGAATGAAATCATAAGTCAGCATAGTATGTATTGCGTCATTTCAAATGCGAAGTTTTTCCAAACATGACGTTATGTACTTTTATTAACTCAGTTACAGTCAATGATGTCGTACACATGCGAGTTTATTTGAATAAATATCACGTCGTTCACTTAAATGTCTTCTCCTGTCAGGTAGGAGGAATGTTTTTATATTAGTGTTCTAGTAACACAATTTGATTTGTTTGACGTAGTGCATGGCAAAACGAGATTTCACTTCCACTTTACTGTTCAGACCAATCTAATTTTAACATTCTTGGTAATCCTTCAAATGGTACCGTTTTAGATTAATGCGAACAAAGAATTCCTAGAACATGCTTAACATCGCTTTTTTACTTTTGAGATTCCAATGTGTTGACTTTTAAACGAAGTGGATCGACCTGCAGAGCGGAGAAAATTTATAAAAAAACGCAAATAATCTTTTCCTACGACAAACACGATAGGACACGTCCTGTTTGTACGTAACATGTGTTACATCAATTAGTGTTTATTAAATTTTTCATGCTCGGATAAACGTCAATGCTTCTAGCACTTTGGAAATATACCCCGATCACTTCAATATTGCATTTAGTTTTCCAACATCTCCCTAAAAGACAATCTGCAGAGACACGGATATTCAGACCACTATTGATGAACATTCTCTACATCTCCCTGTTGTACATAGTCCGGTTCCAAGACATGCTTTACTTAACATACGGAATAGAAACATGTTTTTTTTTCAAATATTAACTTGCCGATACTCAAGATCCTCGCTTTCGTAATATCAGACGATATTCCGTCTAACATATGTTGTGTTGTTTTCTCGGGCATTTCCAAAATCAATATTATCTTGTTTTCAACTGTGATTTCATTGACAGAGACTCTATGACGTGTTTTATCATTTGACTTCTCTTCAGCGTTGTTACGAAGTTTAACAATGCAGAACATTCGACGAAGATTTGAGTTTCAAAAGATTGAATCATGTGCTCTTGAGACTGAACAACTGTAAAACATTTATTTTGTAAGTACATTGAGATGTCATTTTACTTGATTTGTTTCACATTGGCAAGATAGTTTTCCAAAACACTAAATATAAAAGAGATTACTCTCTTTTGTCTATCAAATTCCAAGTATCATTATATACAATAGAGTCATGAAAACAAGTTTTTCTTAGTGTCTCATGACATGCTAACAAGTTAACCAGCGGATGTGTTTCAACACTGATGAATTCTTTGAAGAAAATGAAAAACTCGTTCCTAATATATATGTCAAATGGGTAACTATCTATCGGCAACAATTCGTCTCGTGTTATTTTTATTCACGAAAGATTACAGAAGTTAGAAAAAGGCAAATAACAATAAGTAATCAGAGAGAATTAAGAGTGAGATGTTGATCAACTGATCTTCAATTCTTTGCTGTTTTGTTTTTAACAAGTACATCAAGATATATTACACGATTGTATGACTTCCAACGAAAAAGAAGAAAAAAGATTCAGTGATATCTTGACTTTAAAAGAAAATGTCGAATTTCAATTGTTTGTTGTTTCGAATGAGATTTTCTTTATTATTTTCTAAGTTTATGCACAAAAAGCATTTGAATGGCATCTTTGAAGCATGTTTCCCGCTCTTCACGTGTAAACAATTCTCCGCATCGTTTATACGCAGCAACAAGTGGATTCCAATGCGGTCGATTATTGCGACGTTGTGGCAATGGTTTGACTGAACGGACTCGAAGTGAATTCGAAGATGCCCATACTGGCTCTTCTCCCAAGTTCGACGAAGGTAATGCCCATAACGGTAACTGAGCACTGTTGTCGTATGTGTTTTCATTGAGATTCACATCTTCATTATCATGTCCAAGATATTTCTGAAGTAATTCTTGATTTAATTCATCATCAATGGTAGATGATACTGGTTGACGTAATGAGTTCGCTCGCTACAAGTGAAGATGGGTATGATCGATTGGAAGAGAGAAGGAGGATTGACTTACGTTATCATTCAATGCATAGATTCTATAAAGTGAAACAGATTGAACAAGTGTGAGAAATAGAACGAAACCACGGATTGAAATTGGTAACAGAGCCATTTGTATTGTTAAGATGATGAAAGAGAAGGAGACTGGTATCTAGAACAAAGTTTTTCCACAAGTGAACACTGAGAACTACGTATCCTTGACAAAACAAGTAGGAAAATGTGAAAAGGAGAAGAAGAAGAAGGAAAAAGAATGCCTACGCATCTCTTAACGTGCTGAATGGTATAAATAAGAATTAGAAAAGAGAAGAGAAACAAAGAGTAAATATAGAAGAGAGAAGACCATGTTATAGATTCTCTGAATGTAAAAAAAGGAACAGTGAAACCGTATGATGGGAGGGAAAAAACGGCGATGACGTATTAGCATAAACAGTCAAAGCCATGTAGTTCTCCTAATTGTAATGTCACGATTTTTGCTCCTATTGTAGAAATATTTTATGTGTACTAATTTATATTGACATTCATTTCGGCTTCTGACGCCATACGACTTTGAGAAATACATCCTCATCATCAGATTGACTCGTTTTACATTTCTTCGCTCGAGTCGATCGAACCAATGTCTTTTAAGCATAAAGCGACTCTAGTTAACAACGATGGCGAAAGTGAGAAATTAATAATGCGTATATACTTATAATGAATCAGTCATCTGACATCTCTCCTCCATTCGTCGTTTGTTCATAAATTGGTTCAAAATATTTATGTATAGACCTTCCGGTGCACAGGCGGCTGAAAAAAAAACCAATAAGCGGATGTGCTCCAAGCATATTAGTTTACATTCTGTATCAAAAAAAAGAGAAACAGGACTAACACACACACACAACATCTATTAATAAATATTGAGAAAAGAATCTGCTACCTAATCTCGCTTTTTGTAAAGAAGTTTCATCAAAGACTTGTTATATATTATACTTCGTTTAATTTGAGCTTACGCGATATACTAGTGTTGCTTTCGTCTGAAATTTTAGTAGATGAAAGACGCAATAACCTGTCTAGAGTTCGAAATTATATGAACTTGTTGTCTATAGTCCCACATTGTTTTGCTGATCAATCCTATTTAGTTAAATATACGTTGACAAGAAGAGCCGACCAGCTGTATCGTGAAATGAGTCGAATGTATTGCTGGAATCGATGAAACAGTACAAAACATAGGTATATTTTATATCAATATAAAGTGATTTTTCTAGACATCGATATGAGAGTGATACTATTGAAAATCCTGTTTTCAACAAACTTGATTCATTTTCAAATAACATTGCAAACACTTCTCAACCTTTTCTTTGTCTTGGTCTGTTAATAAAACAAAATAAATATTGTAAATCGATAAGACGTAATGAAATGATCATTCATCACAATGATAGAAATAGTTTTCAAAAGAAAACATTCTTCAAATACTTCTTCGTAATCAAATGAAAAGAACACTTGAGATCGTGTTGACCAACTCAAACGATTTATTGAATATTCTCCCCCCACATACGGTATTTAATTTCTATAGGTAAATATTATTAAAACAAGTGAACGTCTTTCTTTGCCGGTGTAGTTTAAAATAAGAAAATGCCATTTCCCGTTCTCAACAGAATAACATTTCAGATTGAGTAAAGAAAGTAGGCGGAATAAACAACGTTGGCACACCGCATTGCATTAGATTTATGAAATTGTTATTTCCTCATACATGATTTGATAGTTGATGAACATTTTGTCTTTAGAAAATCATGTAATATACAACTCATGTATTCAAAATGTTAATCGAGCTAGAGGCTATTGTTGCTCTATTTGGAACGAACCTACTGACGTATCCAATCTGCATGCTTTTACACATAAATGATCTTGATAATGATACGGAAGTAGTAATTTCAGAAGAAATTGACTATTCAACGAATTTACGGTTGAGGTGATTTAATATAGATGCTTTTAAATAGATTTCTTTCGCATGCTTAATAAATGGCAGAACGATAAGTAATAAATCTATTGGCGTTATCAGTACTTATATTCGAGAGGAGAATGCGTCCTTTCAACATATTAAAGAGAACATCTTATATATAGCCAGTCTGTTCCTGTTTTTTTTTTTATTTTTATAAAGAAGATGACGTAAAGCACAGGCACGAATAAGTTCTTTCATCAATTAAATCAAGCTTACATAGGAATAGTTAAACATTCAGCATTGTACTTAGAAAATACTCTCCTGGCATAAGATGCTCTTATTTTAATCTTCTGAAATTGCCTACTCTCTAATCTAACGTCACTCACTGACTAAAATAGCTCATAACTCACGTTGTCGGGTTTTGTGTGTAAATATATCGTAGTTCAGTAATTGGAAATGACGCTCTAAAGATTTAAATTGAGCTGCATGACAGCTAATATCTCAAGAGAACATTCGAACTTTCACACTCGACTTCAATGACCTTTAAATACAATTAGCATTTCCCAATGAAGACCAGTTCACTTGACATTTCTAAAACTTGTGTCTTGTACGTAGAAAAAAAAAAGAGATTTTCCTCTGGATAAAACAATACAACATCAATTCTGCTTCACTTTCTTCGTATTCATCTTTGAGTTGTCGTCTGCAGATATAATCAGCGCATGACATAGAAACATTAGGAAATAGTATTTACTTGACGGAATAATAATTATGATGTAACACTACTTGAGCAAATTACTTTTGATGATTATTTCTCCGCATCTACCTAACTGAGACAGCATTTTTTAAATGAAAATTCAAACCAAAAATCATATTTTACGTCCTTCATCACACAACAGCTTGATAGTTAGAAATTCATTCAAACAAAATATCTGATATTTTTATTATGTAAGAATACAAGATATTACAAAGAAAATATCTGATTAAATTCGAAGATTCTCGTTTTCATGACTATATGTTGAAAGACTTAATTGATGCCGGTCGATAAAATTTCGAAATCAGACCATTGTAATGAACAACCACGGTAACTAAGGCTATGTCGAAGGCTACAGTAAAAGGAAAAGAATGGCAAGCTTCGAGTTTTTTTTATAAAGTGTACAGCTTGAAGGAACATACCGTCGATTGGAATTGCATTCATCAGCACGATTGTGTTCGCTTTGGCAAATTTGTCGAATATACGGTCGATAGTCGAGATAGAAATCTGAATGATCAATGATGTTTCCGATTTCTTGTTCTTGCATAAACAATTTGAATGTATCATACAATTCAATCCTGAGATTAAACCAAAACAATCGGATATTCAAGCACTAGATAATAAAAATCGCCTACCGATTTGTATTATTTTTACTTTGATTGTGTAACAATCGATGAGATTGTTCATATTCTGACGTATATTTACTCGTTAGATCATCAAAGAATACTTTCAATGGTGACTCCTTCCACTGATCATTCAGATGAGAATAGTACATAGCATCGAAGGCGTATGATGATTGCCATGTTGGTTGGGGGAGTATATTTTGCTTTTCACAAAACGACGCATCTGGTGGATTGGATGAATCTGATGATTGAAGATAGAATTGAAGTGTTAGTAAAATTCGACGTAAATCGTTTGAACAGGAATGAATTAATGAGAGTAGATCGTCGGATGAGGGTATTTCGAACATTTCGAGTAGAAGTATCAAACGAAGAAAGCAACAGATAAGTTCCTGTGAAGGAAAAGCACAGACATTTAGCAGGATTTTGGGATTGAGGGAAATATTTACGGGTTCGTTTTGTTCGAGATGAATTAATTCGTAGTAACCAAGGTTGGATAGATTAATGATTGCATCTTCAGGATTTGTTCGACTGTTGGATGTGAGAATGATTGGTTTCTTGGCTGTTTCAAGTAATTTTTTCAAACATGACCAGAATTTATCGTCAGTTGTCAATGTTTCGATCTAGTAGAGAATAGAATTTGATCTTTTCGAAATGTAAAGAGGAAATATACTTCATCGAAAAGAATAAGCGATGCCTTTTCCACTTGAACTGACGAAAGAAACTGATTTTCTACCGGTGATGGCTCACGCTTGATTTTACTGCGCCGTTTCGGATTACTCGTTCGATTTGTTGATTTTTTTGACGGTTCCAATGACGGAGAAGACTTATTTTCCTTCTGTTCATCATCAATCTTGTTCTTTTGATTAAAATATGACGTTATTGAACCATTTTCATTCTTCGCCTTTTTCTTTGCAGGTTGCAGTACAGAAGAGATTGTTTGACTGGATTTGTCGCCTTGAGATGAGATCGTGTCTGACGGACAACGTTTAAATGATAGTTGATGATGACTAGTCACCTGTTCTAGTTGTTTCAGTAAGTGCGCACGAGCACGCGACTGAGATCCGTTGATTTCAGTAATCTGAGAAAGAATAAATGTGCCTGCGGTTCCGAAGAAACTATTGAGTGGAGAACTTACTTTAAAATTATGTTCTTCAGCAATTGCATGGACGAGTGACGTCGTTCCGGAACCATGAATGAAGATTAATCGTGGATGTTCTGGTTTGATATACGCACAGTTACTATAGGACATATCTAACGAGAAGAAATGTTCACAATATGACAATTTATCAATGCAAAAAATAGAAGAATTGCTCATGTCTGCTCGTTATACCCAGATATCATTTTATTCTATGAATGATCTAGACCTTGTCGAGCAAATATTCAAAGAATATCTTTCTTTTATTTTGGTTAATATTACAATTGTTCAATCAATTGAATATCTGATTGAACACGTAAGAATATTAACCGAGAATGTGTTTCTTTCGGTTGTCAATGACTCACTTGAATTATCATCGAAAGTTTCACTGGAGTCATCATCATCGTCGTCACTCATGGTGCGTTTGCGTTTTTTGTCACAAAGATTTTTAGGCTGTTCATTGTGCAACTTTCTTGACCAATATGAAAACCATTCATTTAATCGGCTGATTTGTCGAGTATGATTACCAAGATATGCTTTTGATGTTCGTGGGCGATAAATATCAGTCCATAGTAGTTGTTCACATTGATCTAGAAAAAGAATGCAATTTTTAATAAGAGAGAAGATAGAATAAGATCAAATATACGTTGTTCTATTGTTTTTGCGCGATAATCTTGTAAACATTCAAACATTGACTTCCAATCAACCAATGGTTGTTCCTTTGTATATTGTTCGAATAGTTCCATTTGACGTTCACTGGATGATATTTTTGTAAACTGATAAAAAATAAAACAAACGAATACGAGAAATGGCCACTTGAACAATCGGAGCATAAAGACTTAGACGCTCAAAATCGATACAATTCTCGCTGTGTGAGATGAAAAGGAAAAACGTACTGTAAGCTTTGCTAATGGACTTTGATAGGGAATGATCGTTGGGCATATACGATAGAACTCTTCAGAAGAGTACGGCACGTCGTCATCGTCGCTGGTTATTGTATCATTCAACAAAGAATCAGTTTTGATGCATGAGGAGCTGGTTGACTGGCGTATATGAACAGGTATGATGTAGTCTGGCTGACGAGTGTGTATCTCTAGTTGTTCACATGGAATTTTCGTTTGTGAATTCGAGGAGTTTGTTTCTAGATTGTAGAGAGAACGTCTATATATTCAGCCTAGCGTCATACTCGTACCTGGCGGAGAGTTATTGATAGCGGGCGATTGTGGACGAGTTTTTTGAAAACATTGAAAAAGTGTTTTTTGTGTTAATTTCATATTTAAACAAAAGCAAAGTAAAACAAAAGGAAAGACAAGACGAGATTCACATTCACCACATACACGTACAGGCAGGCAGAAAAGAAAATGATCCTGTTCTGATTAGTTTATTCTTGCCACCAATAACAAAGCAGTGCATTCGACAGAAATATTCATATTTTTTTGTCAAAAAAAACCTTCACAAACACCATCGATACATAGGAAACATCGAATCTCTTTCTGTGAAATCAAAAGAAAATTTTCATTGATACTAGCGACAAGAATTATTACTTTTCATATTAAGATAATCATACGTGCAAGTGCAAGACAACAACATTATTATTTGTTTATTATTCAAGAAGGAATCTTTTCTTAAATGTCATGATCATCGATGGGGACCAAATCTGTATCGTCTGATATTGTAAGTTGAACGAAAAATTTACCAGATTATGAGGCATTCTCGTCGATCATCTATTAGATCAATCTAAAATTGATTCTCGTAAGTGGTAAAACTGCTGAGTTTCAATTCCAACCAACAACGACAGCAGCAGACATAGCCAAATATGTATTCGAAAACTGGCCCGAAGGTTCGAACGATCAATTTCATTGCGATCTCTTTTTCTATTCTGACTGTTCGAATAGGTTGGGCAATTGAAGAGAAAGCGGACCGTTTTGAAGTTCTAAGATTAATCTACCAAGGAAGATTTCTACATGGTAATGTGACACTGAGTGCTCTACATCTCCAACAAGGTAAATTGTCTATTCTTTAAATTTACACGTTCGAAAACAAAGAAAACTTCTATTCGAACAGGCAAAACGACTGTGATGCATCTAGTACAACGTGAACATCTTCCTGAACCAACAAATGGCGATCAAAAACGCAAGCATAAGCATGACAACAATCAAGAAGAACCACCTGCACAACCACTCCCATCGAATTCAACATCGGGATGCTGTGACGCATGTTCAATTCTCTGAATCTTCTCTCAGATTAGAATCTGCGCGTTGTCCACATATCTATTTTCCTTTTTCTATTTAATTCTTACAAAATCTAACCGTCCGTTGTCGTGTTCGTTTCTAGCCGGTGGATTTCACTCGTCTTACATTGAATTGTTTTCATCGCTCGATCTGTTGCTTTTGATAAATATATACTTAATGTTTTGCACTTCTTTAATATTATTCATCATTGTTGTAATTCATCAAACACATACACACACACTCATTCATTCATACATATATACATTGGCATTTTTTAAAATTATTACATTCTCTTTTATTGAAAATAAATACAAAGGAAGTAATGTTTGAAATTTGACTTCGTCGAGCATTTTCGTGAAAAAGAAAATACTAAAATATGTTCGACAATAATATTGTCAAGAACAGCAGATGAAGTAGATGAATGGAAAGTTATAACGATCATTAGAATGAAGAAAATCTAATTAATTAACTCGTTTTTCTCCTTCAGGCTTTTATTGTCGGGTTAAACGCTCTTGCACTAATGAATTTACTGCATGCTGAAGGATGCGTTTTTGTGTTTTCTGCATGGAAAGTTATGTCATTTTTTTACGTGCTTGTTCAATCTTGTTATTACTAAAATTTGCTACGTGCCAATGACAGAGGTAGTATGACTACATCCAGTTTGTTATTTGCAGAGAACACGATGATTCATGTAATTCAAATGACCTGCTAGGCTAGATTATCGTATGACGTCACTGTTTATTTGATGCGTGAACGCTGTCAGTTATTCGGCTTTGATAAGCGGTTTTGTAGAAAAAGGCAAATAATACTGAAAATTAAAATTATATTTGCATTGAAAGTAAAAGAAAAACAGCTAAAAAACTTCGTATGAGAGAGATTCTTATCAGTGATCAGTAGTTGGTTTTTCCACCGTCGGAGAATTTCCATTGCTCTGTTCTAAGTCACCACTGAAGGGCACTTGCAAACCATCACGTTCTCCCAATAACCAATAGGTCAACATTTCGCCTTTACCCTAGAAGAAGTATTGATAATTGAGAGAGATCTTTTGAAAAGATCTAGAATTTACTTTGAGATTAACTTGTCCACGTTCTTTTAACGTGAATGTTTGGAATTTATCAAGTAATGCTTTAGTAAGAGGAGATATATGAATTCGTAGTGGTTGACCATTGGATTCCATTCGTGATGCCACGTTAACTGTGTCACCGAACAAACAATATCTAAAATAAACACAATCCTTCATTTGTTTCACATCTGCCCTTTAAGATATCCTGTTACCTCGGCATCTTCAAACCAACAACACCCGCCACACATGGACCTAAGAAACTCAGTTGTGCACATAATAAAAGCAAGGAGAATGATTCTACCTGAATGAATACCGATACGAATTTTTAACTGTTCATCAGGTCGATGCCGAATACGAAAGTGTATAACTGCGTCGAGTATAGTTAACGCCATACGCGAGATTTCGCGTGCATGTAAATCCCCATTACGTGTTGGCAAACCGCTAACAACCATATAAGCATCACCGATCGTTTCAACCTTGTAAACATCGAATGCTTCGATAATCGAATCGAAGCATGTGTACAGATCGTTTAGTAAAGACACAATCTGATCGAAAAAAGACATTTGATTTTGACAATTTCGTAAATGAGCTCATGTTTTACTTGTAATGGTGTACTTTCTGCTGATATTCTTGTGAAACCAACAATATCGGAAAAATAGATCGTCACACATTCAAAAGATTCAGCTGTAACTTGCTTGCCAGCCATTAATTCTGTCGTTACAGACCTTAAAACAAAACATTGCATGACTGTCTAGATGACTCATGTTTTCAATCGAGAATCTGTAGTGAGAAACAATTTTTCTTAAATTCGAAACGAGTTCAACTGCATAATATTTGGAATTATGTCTCATCATCGTAAATTATGTTCGCTTGACATATTAGTCTGAACGCAATCGTCTAACGAGCTGTTATTTTTTTGTCTCCGATTTGAAATATCAGAACGTGATTAACATGCAATGAGAATCTTTCTATAATGAGCGGGCTAATTCGTTGTTCCTTTTTCTTTTAATACCGAAATGATTCGACATTAATCCGTTAGATCATATTTCATTAAGCAAGCTTAACAAATCTTAGAAAATTCGATCCATTGCAAGACTTACTGTGGCAATAAACGATAGAGTAATTCTTCGGCTTTTTTCTTTTCTAATAGGTAATCATTGGTACGTTCTTTAACAAGTTCTTCGAGATTATTTGTGTATTGTTCCATGCGCTGTAAGAGATTGTCGACAAGATTTTCATTGTCATATTTTCTAATTCGTACACATGACAGATGTCGATTAATTCACAGCAAATGGAAGATCTTACTTGCTCAATTTTTTTATTGTACTTGAAACGGATGCAAAATCAGGTCGGTCAGCTGGACTTTCTTGCCAGCAACGTTTCATTAAATTGCCTATTTCGAAGAGAGCATTATCACTGAGAAACGGCGGCCGGATTTCGTTGCCGGATTTGATGGAATCGAAGATTTCCTTTGGCGAGACATTTGTTTCATTCATGGCGAAAAGACCACGGCGATAGATAATTTCGTGTAGGATGATGGAGAAACTATATACATCGCCTTTCTGTGTACCTGAGATAGGAGCATGTGGATCGCGAATAACTTCTGGTGCTGACCAGAGTAATGCTAAAATGGAAAGCGAACATTTCTCTTTCGAATAGATTCGAATTCAAGATCTTTTTACATTTATAGTACTGTTCACTATAGAGAGGATATTTTTGATGAAGAGGAGTTCGTAGTGATGGAATACCGTAATCGGAGATTTTAACAACAAACTAGAGAATGATCGAGATGGTGAAGTAAATGAGCAAGCGATATGTACTTACACGACTACCGACAAGACAGTTTGTACTTTTTAAATTTCCATGTGATTGTAGTTCACTATTATGAATATACAAAATTCCCTATGAAAAGGATGATAAATGTAAGAATAAATGCATTCTCTTGATGGTTACTTTGACAATATCATGTATAATGGAATATTTAAACATATCATCGAGTTTTATTTGTGAATTTTCAAGTAAATCCTATTGTGACGATATGTTATTTAAAAGTAACGGAAGAGAATTCGAATAAATAACCTGTAAACTTCCTTTGGAGCAATATTCATTAGCTAGAAGCGGTGGATCTAGGCAGGCACCAATAAATCGGAGGAGATATTCACTTTGCATATCTTTGATCTAAAGATTCTCATACAGAAGAGCAATGAAGACTTCGCTGTATTTTTACCGCTTTCACTTGCATCAACAAAGATCGATTGACATCGATTCTTGTCTTATGTGGAATTAATTTTAACGTCACCATTGAACCCTAGAAACACATCAGACATGATTTTCCTCAATCAAGATCGTATTCTCTTTCCAAAAAATGAGAATTGAATAGCCTGAGAACTAATAGTTATTCAAATTGGTTTAATTATCGTAATCAATATGAAATTATACGATATCATGCCTTCAGAGAGCACTCGGAAACGATGTACTACATTTATCTATCATTTACTGTTGAGATTACTTACTTTATATCGCGCTGTTTTCACCGGTCCGCCGTTTTCTAACTGATTTTCCTCTTCCATTAGAGCAATATGATGCATTGACGCACGCTAAAACATAAATATGTCAATTAAGTAGTTTTCTTCTCAACTACTGTTCTTCAGACTTTGTGTCGATCTCGTTTGATTTGTTTGTATTTAAAACCTAAATCTACGGTTGTGAATATATCATCAGGTTCAATAATCCAATTCATTGCTTTCAGTTGAGCTTCGAAACTAACACGTTTGAAATACCAATAACCAACGATGATTAGAAACAGTACAGCTGCTGGTACACTTGCACCAAAGTAAATCCATGGTAAGGCTGGATCTGAAGCAAAAAGTGAAATGATAGATGTTTCCCAATTGAATCTATACTCTCATGAACATACTTTTATACACTCTACATTTACTTCCATCGAAGCCACAAAACTAAAATCGATCTTCGAAAAACCAACATTTGAAAGTTTAATCATCTTACGGGAACATCGATAGGCGTTGTTTTATTTTGATCAATCCAATAGATATCTTTCGAAAGGATGAATGACGAATTCACACCAAAATAAGTTCCTACTTCCTATGTACATCAAAACGAGTCTCTTCACCTAAGAATCCATTCAACCAAGTTACCTCAAAGAGGCCATTTTTTGGATTGAGATCAAACAATGAATAATCACTAACACGGTCACCGGTTTCACTAATTTGTACAATACCATTCGAGCCTTCGAAACTAACATTCCACATTCGTTGGACAACTGCGAATCCATCGCTCGTATTTTCTTTTGCTTGAATTGTTCGATTCAATCCGTACACATAAAGTAGCACAGCATCGTAAAACGTTGCGACATATGGATTGACCTTTGCACGGTGAAAACAAAGAATAAACACAAAGAATCACTTGAAACTTACAAATTTTTCTTTTGGCACACTTTCGTTATTGGTTTTGGCTTGTAGCGCGTTGACTTGATCAGAAAAATCCTGATATCGATCAGTGTCAGGCTGTTTGACGGCAAGTATAAGCACTGTTTCAAATGCACGACGTGCTTTGTTATTCTCTGCTTCGCTGGAATCATTTTTAAACCACGATATTAATTTCATGTCTTTCCTATCCAAGCAAAGTCTTCATTGCATACATTTTCGAGAAATTCCGATGCGAACGAACCTCATCAATCGAAAAATATCGAGGTAAACAAAAACATATTCTCCATTGATCATGTTTAAGTCATAAGCCATAAGTAGGAAATCTCGAAATAGATTTGAGTCCATACAGATGAATAATACTAGTGCACGATAATTCCAAAGAATAAAAACGATGTGTTCATTGAACTAAACTTACTTCTTGCTTCGGTCTTTGCTTCATGCAATGTTTTGTGAAGTTTTTCCTTCGTTTCATTTTTTCGGTCGACATCAAATATCGAATGAGAACATCTAATAAATAATTGAAAAACCAATTGATCAAGGCAAGATTTCTTGTACTAACGTATCTTTGGATTCGCCTTTACTATTTGGATTACGTAAGGTTCGACATAAAGCACCCATTAACATATAGCATTCGCTCTAGTTTGGTGCAGACAGAAGCAAATTGAATAGAATCGAAGTTAAGTTCTTACTTGTGCTTCGACGACATTTCTTTCAGCAATGATTCTCACACTAGTCCAATTAAAATGTGGTAGAATGACGCGAGAAATGAAATGAACAATTGTCTTCGATGAATGAAGCATTCGCGTCAATAATTGATATTCACGTTTATTGTCAAAATGATAATTAAAACCTCCTCCTGGCGATATAACAGGTATTCGCCAGTGTGGAGAGTATCTAATTGAGATAATTTTTGCAAAAATAGAATCAGAAAAGAAGATCAAATAGATACATTACCTTGAAACGGCCGCCAAGCCGGGACCGTCAACAGGTCCCAGAAAAACAGCGGCTTGTTTTTTTGCATAAAAGTCAATCGCTAACAGAGGTCCGACGATATACGATGAATTTGTATCACCATAATGGACACTCAGAGATTTGCCATTGATTAATAATTGACGTTTATCAACCTCTTTGACTGCTAAATCGATTGCCGGTTTGACTTTTTGCATAGCGAATGGCAATTGTGGATCGGTGGGTAGAAGAACAGCGATTTGAACAGTGACATTGCAAAAGGCAATGTTTAGATTTTTAAACAGAAATAAGAAAAATATTATTGAGAAGTGCATGATTGATCACGTTGAAATGCCAGTATTACTCGTTTCTTGAATGACGAAAGTACACAAAGTTAACATATTGTTTCGTGTGACATCTTAGCCAACAGTACTATACGTCGACAACCGGAAAGTTCAACATTTCCGCTCTCGGGCTTTTTAATTTCTGTGTTTTTCTCTTTGCTCATCTCTCCTTCGCCTCTATATGTGTGTCTCCCTCTCTCTCTCTCTCATCAAAAGAGGACGACAACTCAGTGATGAGATAGTTCTTCCCTTTTCTTGCTCTCATGTAAAAAAAAAGAGAAAAAAACAGAAGGAAATAATAGATTTAGTAATCATCTGTCATATAAAAAAAGGAAAAAGGTCTGAATGAAAGCTCTACCACTTCATCATACGTTCTTATATTGTAGAGACCAGTAGGCTAACTAGAAAATCTTCTCATCGAAGATTTACTCGAGCTTAAATACTGTTATTATTAACAAACATGTATATACGTATATATATATAAGATGAAAGGGCGCATTTTTCTTGGTTAAATGCGCATTACCTACTCATCAAACAAATACAAAGTGCAACTCTTCAAGTATAATTAGGGCTTTTTCTCTCTGTCGACCAACATGGTGACAAATGTGAATATCATTGAACAATATCTTACATAATCTGCTCTTGTGATTATCGCCCGGAAGCGATACATAGAACCCATAAAGAACTATATGAATGAATTCGTCGAAAAAGAAAACATGAATAATTTCTTTTTTGTTATCTGATCTTCTTTGCCTTCAAGATAATAACTAATACTCGTTAATATATTTCTTATTTTTTTCGATTTAATGATTTCATACATGACACAATTGTTCTAAGACTATTCTTTCCTCTTCGACGCACACAAAACTATTCATCTGGGATCACTTTTATTATCGAGAAAAACACTTTGCATACAGTGATGTGTCACATTTGCCAAAAGCAATATTTTATATTATGAATGGTAGGCGTAGTTCTAAGTATGCTGTAAAGACAAGAACTATTCCTTTTCATATTCTCTTTATCATGTCGTGTCTAAGCTTGTGAATAGTCCGTATTTCATAAATCAAGATTTTTCTTCTTGTCTTCTTTCTCTTACTTTCTTCTTTATATAGCAAACGAATGCATGAAATCAAAAAAAAGTTCACTTCGCTTGTTATTGCCTCGAAACATAATCGGCGTAAAAACAACTACGCGAAGAAAAACAGAAAAGTTAGCTGATTGATTGGCTTGATTTGTGTTAGATAAGAAAACAAAGTCAGTTGCTTTTTTCTTCCATCAAAAGAAAGTCGATTACAGTTGTTTACTCGCACACAAAAGAAAAATGTCTGAAACCGATTTGAAAAGTGAAGTTTTATTGAAAGATATTCAACCAGAAGGCATACTTTCCAAGCTTCCATTCAATGCCAATCAGTGCCCATTGTTCATATCATCGAACGGAAATGCCACAGCATTGTATCGTTACACGAATTCTGGACCGTTCATTGAATTATTCGATCCATCAAGTGATAATCTGATCCCCGCACTGAAATTCTCAATAATTCAAGGAAGATTCTGTATAATCAATTTTGGCTTAATTAAAGATCCTGATCAGATTCGTCAAATGCTAGAGACATTCCAAAAGCGTTGCGCGTTAATTCATCGTGATTTGTATAATCATATTATCCACAATTCTCTTATGAAGCAATCATTCGACACTTTGATGTCGTTAATTCCATTTGATCCAATTCATGAAATGGTACCTGAAATCTATCGAAATAGCAAAGCAGTCTTTCGTTTTCTTTTCTTCGCACAAATCGAAGATCAATCTCTTCAATGGGACAAGTATGAGTTTGCTTCGAAATTTCGTTGTGTCCGTGTTAAAACATGAAAACTTAGTTTTTTCATTCATTTCTGTTCAAATACCAAAAACATTGTTATCATAACACTTTCTGACATTCTAAAAAAAAAACGAAAACAAGCGCGCGCACAAAAACGAAACAGAAGAGGAGAAAACCGAACGAAGACAAAGTCGAACGTCAATCACAATGAAGAAATGAAATTCAATAGACGAGAACACACGTCACTGTTCAGAAAACGAAACAAATTGCTTGAGCTGTGGATGTATATGAACAACTACGATGCGTGAACAAGCCAGCAGTGCGTATATATAGTATATTTATAAATATTTTTATATGATATTTTAATCACAACTGAGAAAAAGAAATGAAAACATTGAATACACATCACACAGCATCAATATTTGTACAAAGTTCTCTCAAGACTTGTAGATTTTTCGGGGTCACCATTGAACTTGAACTCGCTTTATCGAGGAGAACACAGCCAAGCTCCGCATAGAGTGCAGCTGTCAGTGTATGAATTGAAGAGTTCAAACTATTCGAACCACCAGCTGATGAAGTGATGGCAGTCGAATTTTGACCACGCAACAGGGCTAATAGTTTCCAATAAGTAGGTAGTAGATGAATTTCGACTTGTTTCGGTTTCCGTTGACAAACACGTGGGACGAGAGCTGAAAAAAATCATTTAGACGATCCTGAACTTTCATCTTATGAACACGAAAAGACTTACAAGCCAATTTTAACACAATTTCTGGTCGAACACGAAGATTGCTGTTTTGACTAAGGGTACAAATTGGTTGCAACAAATAACCACTATCTGCATAACAGAAAAGAAATGTTTTTTTTTTCAAAAGAGATAACCAGATCCGCGTCGTTCTTTTACCGATGTATTCGATGGCTGCATCGATGACGTCTGAAGCTAACTGTGAAATTTCTCGATTTTTTGAAGCGATACTTTGTGCAATGATTGGGAGTGTTGAATTGATTACAGTTGATAATGAATCAGCTAGGATTGGAACAAGTTGGTGCATAGTATTCAATGCTTTGAGAACGACTTTTGAATTCATGTCAGATAAACATTCATTGAAACCATCGAAGATTTGGACGAGGGATTGTATGGCGATTTCCGTCTCCAGTTCGCATAATTTTTGGAATTCTTCAATACCGTGCAGCCGTTCGCGAAAATCTGAACTATGCATTTGCTTAGCCAATTTACGGACTTGTTCAGTCTGATCTGCACTGTTCACTTTACGAATGGCAGAGAATTGATGGTTTATATTTCTAAATAACAACGACTCTTCACACAAAAGGCAACCAAGGCAGTCTTTATTTTTACCCAGTTGTATTTATTTTATCCGAAGATACAGCTCGTCGTCCATTATTTCTCGCAGATTCGCTTGGAGTTTCACCGACACCTCCCTAGATTTTCAACAAACACAATCACTCTTTGCAAACCATCTCTTCAATTTCGCTTTACTTTGGTTCGAATACTATCCAAAATTTCACACATATTTGAGTAAACGCTTGGGCTGAGATAATGTTTCATCAGTGAATCCAATTCATCCGATGACATTAACATATGATAAATTTTCTTGCCATACCATCTTAATTAAATTATCATATTCTCTTACAGAAAATATATCTTATTTACATACCTAATTTCGGGTGGTCCGTCCGATGCAAACGTGGCAGCTACTTGTAGTACACGTTCAGTTATATCACGAATACCGCTCAAAATTTTACTTGCACCCAGTTTTTCACAGACAACATAGATGTATTTCGCTGATGTTTTCCTTATAGCTGGACTACGATGACTACAGAAGAAAGAAAACACATATGTAATTGGATCGGATTCTATTTGAATGCGTGTTACCTTGCTCCACCGGCAATCAATGCTTGTAAAGCTTTCTGAAGAGTAACATTCTCAACCATCGTTTGGAGACATTTTTCTGCATCATTTCTAAATGTAAAGATCTTTGAATAATAAGTTTTAGTACGAAATCGATGATACAAACCGAAAAAACTCATTACTCTCCGCACTTTTCTGCATGATCGCTTTGACTGTAATGTCCAATTCGATATCCATGTTTCGTTTCAAATGTTTGAACATATCGCAAAACGTTGATAAGGCAAAACGAGCAACTTGTGAGCGGAGATTTTTCACTTCTTGATTGAGTATCAGGACAACTTGATGCAAATTTTGAATGATTAAATCAGGATATTGAGCAATGAGGCGTTGGAGTAGACCAAGACCAGAACATTTGCGTTCCCAGTCGTCATTTTTCACTGATTCCATTGCTTCTCGGAAAACACCTTCGGGATTTCTCAATTGATCAGTAATTCGATCTTCAGATAATGGTCGATTGAATGGTATACGTTGGTCAGTTGAGGATAATTCACGTCGATTGTTAAATGTTTGAGATCGAGCCATTCTAGGTACGAAATAGTAAGACAATTGGCAACAGATCATCTTTGGTTCACTTACGGGTTTTTGTTTGGACGGTAACGCTGCTGTGTTGGAACGTTCGGTAATATTGATGCAATATTTGAGTCAATAGGTCGTCGTGGTGTTGGTGGAAGTTCATTACCAACAGATGAAAGATCTGGTTGAGATGAATATCGACTTGTGGAAGCCGATGAGGTTGGAAGGTCATTATCATAGACATTGTCTCCGCTGTTATTCTGATGACGAAGGTGCACCTGTCGACGGCCTTGCTCTCGATCTTGCCGGCGACGTTCCTTTTGCTCGATTTTTTCCTGAGTTTTCTGTTGAACACGCAAACGAAATGATGCTGAGAGAGTTTGTCCGACATTCACAAACTGAAACAAGGAAATTTATGGAAATAGTCAACTTATCATCTGAAAAAGAAGTCTGTCGCGTTTTACTTGTTCATTTTCTTTCGAATCACTATCATATTCATCTGAAACCATTTCAAAATCTTCGTTTTCCTTATTTAATTGGTCCATCATTGCATTAACACTCGATATTCTTGTTACATCCGTATCTATTCGCGTCCGTAGCGGAATTTGCACAGCTAAGAATAGAAAAATGAATGTCGTTTTCTCTTTCAACCACCACCTCATCAATTTACCTTTACCAACAACTCCTATATCTTGACCATCGTCAACACTAGAGGTATCTTCTACATTTACATTCGAATGCGTTGTATTGTTTAGAGGAGTGTTTAGAACAGAACCTAGAAATGAGAAATATAAACACTGATCCGCTTGTTGGTGCAACTGTTTTGACAACGTTTTGCGATGATGAGAAGGAAAAAGCAAAGATTCTTCACTTGAATACTACTTCAAGAGAAGTATTGGTTAATATTTTGAGTGCAAAATGAGAAAATATTAGAATTTAACGGTCTGATAGATTCCAAAAGAATAGCGAATAAAAGACAATACGATTTTACTTCCTTTCAACTTCTCAGAAATAAAAATATCAATTTCTAGGTGATACGAAATGCGATTAACTCGTGAAGAAGGAATTTGCTCTAAACGCATGTGGAAATAAATCGAGATTTTACTAATTAACTCGTCGATGATTAAAATCTTAGAATATCTCTTCATCGTGTAAGGTAAGAATGCAAACAGGTATGAGCTTTATGAGTGGTTTTAGATTTCACGAATATCTCAAATGAACTTCGGTAGTAAGAGAAGGTAAAGAGTAGACTTGCGTGTCACTCTTCAGCTAAGTTAAGCTGATGCTTGAAGTTGATTGAAGTAAGTCATATCGTAAAAATAGATAAGATAGCGATAATTATTTGTTGAGAATTGATCATTGAACTGTAAAATAAGGACGCGAAATGTAGATCTGATTACCTTTAATAAGTTTAGCGCGAGGTTTATTAATAGCTGGCTGTCTTTCGTCGATGAAATCATTGAATGGTTGTTTGACTGGACTCTTTTCATCCATGTAACCAATTCCAATTACTTCAACATTCGGATTCGATGGACGATGAGTATTTCCACCATTCGGTGGATGTTCCTGTGCTTGTCGAGCTGATGAAGGATCCGTTGGCGGGAGTTGTGATTTGTCGAGTTTAGATTTCAAAGCGGAACGAGCAAGACGTGGTCTCGTGGAAAACAATTGATCGTTATTAATCGATTGTATTGATCTGCAAAAGAAAAACATGGACGAAATTTTAAGAACAAAGGAATGTTCCTGACTACCTTGAACTTCGATTCGTGTCGCTTTCGATTTCGCCACCTGGTTGAGAGTATACCCCGCTTTCGTTGCTGTTTTCCGGTGTTAGAGTTCGTGCTGACACTGTTTCGAATTCACTACCAGTGCTGAATAATCTTTCGGCTTTGCGTCTAGTTGAACTGCTATGCACGGATCGCACAGGCTTTTTCGATTGTTGAGAATCGTTCTAAATAGCCAGTTCATTCTTTATTTTCCGAAAAAACACCAACGACGATCTCCTTACCTCGACTCCACCGCCTTCCAGAGTATTTATTGATAGAGAACGTGATCCTATTGCACTTTCAACACCTTCGTCATGATCAAGTTCAGCGTCGAAGTGGCGTTTGGCTTGAATCGGCTGTTCGTTTTGTTGGTGAACTTGTGACGTGATCAAAAGACTATGCGCAACCGGAAATCGACTCAGTGACGGGCGACGAGGTGCAGATGAGCGAAACTGAAGGGTGTTGTTATGATTATTTTCTAAAGCACATATATACACATTGCATGAAAAGCAAAAACATTAAAATTCTTCTCTTTTCAAGTAGTTAGTTTATGCATCAAAGGAAAAGGTTTTCTTCCATTGAATATAAATGAGAAAAAGAAGAAGCAGAAGAAAAAAGTTCGACATTCTCTTATCCTAACTCATTAGACTCAATTGAAATATCACGCGCGCTCATTTTATACAGATCATCTCCTTAGAAATATACACTTCGCTATCCCGAGAAATTGACACTGATGCTGTTTTGTGGAAGATTAATAAAAAAAAGTGTCGTACTTGCAGAGAAGCAAAAAGCACCTAATTATACTCATCAAGCTCATTTGTTTTCCAATCTTTTAGTCAAGAACAACAATTTCGCTGTTGGTCGAACGAACACAACACAACGAGAAACCTCTCGACAAGAAACATAAAACAAACCTTGTTGTCGATTGATTATAATCGATTCTTTTCGATGGTTATTATTACTTGATATTCCCTTTGTCCATTCATCAGTATGATGAAATTTTCCTGCTAATATCAATGGACGATAATTTTTATTTCCAGTAATGGTAAAATCAAACGGTGGTGTAATTCTTGCTAGAAAAAAATGTAGGCAATAGAACCGAAAAAGAAACGTCCTTCGTTTTCAATCAAACGAAGAAATAAATGAGCATTATGATTCAATACTCTTACATAGGAAATCATGTTTGTGCACGTACGCCAAGCGGTTCGCTTGTCAGCGGCATATACAAACAGAAAGAAAATCTCTTGAAGCCGTCAATCTCATTTGTCACCTTTTTAGGGACTAAGGAAATCCGTGATATTTTGCATCTTCTCTGTTTGAAAGAACAAGTTAGAGGACAAGTCGAAGAAGGTCATGGGTATCGTTAGTTATATGATAATAGGATGTAAACAAAAAAAGAGCAAAAAAGAAACTCTTGTTTGACTATCGAGATTTTGTTGACAAAATCATGTGTTTGTCCAAATATACCGATCAGTAGACGTCTGATTTCTAATCAAGGGAGAAAAAATGAATCAAGTTGAAAGAGAAACTCGATTAAAAATCTGAGAAAAAGGATTCGATGAAACAAAATTGAAGACTTACGATTTTTAGGCGGTTCATAATGATGGTTTGGAGACGTAAATCGATGCAAATCATGCTCGATTTCAGATGCTTTCAGCGGAGGTATTTCACGGTTACGCATAGCCTAAGAAGAAAAAAACAACAAAATGAAGTTCAAAAGAAAGAATATAATTTCAAGCTCATCGATGAACAAACTTTAACCTCTGATCCTTCAAGTTGATGTATTAATTGAGATATCTTTGTAAAGGAACAACTAAGTAGGAAAGCGTGACATCTCAAAGTTGTCTTTCTTTCTAATCATCTGTAATAACGGATGTAATGAATTTTCTTTCTTATAATCAGAGATAGTTCTGAGAAAAGAGTGAATACAGAAACCTACTATTGGTTTATTCGAAATCATGAAAGGTAATCGACTTTTGGAGAAATCTTTCTACGAAGAAAAAGTCTTTTTTTTGTAGGTGTTAAACAGCAAAAGAGTTTCTCGGGAAAGATTTAATTAAAACCAAACTTTTTCTTGCATAAAATGAAGAGTCGAAGAAAACTTGTCATCTTCATATTTTTGTATTAGTTGTTATAACGACAAATTTATTTACACATCAGAACTCAAACTACTTTCATTAATAAGAATCGTTGTCAATGACTTTAGAGATTCTTTTTTTCTCCTTCAGATCTACTTTTCATCGTCAAACTACAGCTGCAGAACATGGTAAGATCAAACGCGATGAAATTTTAATTCGTTGTCTTAATGTCAATCTAATTTGAAAGGGTCTTTCTTGGAGAAGATGATCATTCCGATATACTCTAACTAAATATTAGAAAACTTACAACAGTTGTTGAAGTGCGTGCATGCATGGTAACGTCAAAGATGACCTGTATGCTTTTAGCTCATTTGAAATGCACGCTTGAACATACAATTTGTGATGAAATGAAGAAATGAGTTGATATTCCTCTCGTGCTTCTTTTCTCTCCTCTTTCTCTCTCATTCTCGCCCATATTTTTTGTTTTTCTACATCCGGCTTACCAGGAATACAGGCCGCCGAGACCTGTTGGAAACATCCTCAGAGTTGAACGTGAACATCTTTTATCAAACACGCGCAGATGTGAACTCAAGTCTATCGATAATATGACTTGCCGCAAGAAAACATTAGGTGACGACAATGATAAAATCCGTTGTTTTTCTTCCTTCTTTTTTTTTATTCTTAATTCTTGTTCAATTAATAGCATACATGTCTCCGTTAAACAACAGCATTAGAGCAAAGATTTCTATCATTTTTTTTGACGAGAAAACCGTCGACAATCATTCTCGGTTTTCTTTCATTTCTTTCTACTTCTTCCTATTTTTCTCACTCGTTATTGACGGTGATTATATTATAGTCATTCTCTGATAAATTGAGGACAAATAAGGAAAAAAACATGTTAAAAAAGGATCATGAAGAGGTGAATTTAACCCTTTTTTATCCAGATGTTTTGTGGAAGTGAATGAGAACATTTCTGCCTTGACATCTAAACTTGACTGTGCACCGTATTGCGTTGTTTATGGGTCAACAGATGCATATGTTTCATTTGAATATTCGGTTTTACTTATTTCTCCACTAATTAATACGAAAATAATCTCGAGGCCCTACTAATTCATAAAACGTTTCTCTCTGTAATAAATTACCGCCCGAAAGTTTATGCACCCCACCGAAAAATCTACGCCTATCTCTCAAAGTTCACTAATGAAGCATTCAATGTGATAATTAACGGATAACAATGCTTTAATCTTATTTTCACTCTTATCTCAACTGAGTACTTTGTATGCGATCTTTTGAGGCTTAACATTAAAACATATGATTGATATGTGACAAGTTGTTTTTGAGAATAAAGAAGCGTGAGAAAAAACTGTTTGCACTTTTTCTCTTTCTCTCTTCCTACTAAAAATAGCTTCACATGAGGAAATAAAAAAAGATACCATGACAGCAAGTAGCAAATCCTACCGTATCATTAGTAATCGCCTTTGTTGACGAAGCTGCGAATGGCATTGCCAGTTGGAGTAATTTATTTCCCGTCGGTGTTAATTTTGCCGACGGTGAAGAAGATGTCGATGAGTCCAGTGTGGTTGTTGACAGCGTTCGTGGAGTCGGTGTTGGATTATTAGCCAATAAAATAAATTTTGCATCAGGATCGTTCGTAGTATTCGAATCGCATACTAAGCCCGGCGTGATGTTACCTTTCCCTGTTAATAATGGAAGAACATTTCGAAGCAAACGAAAGCGCAGTGCATCCCAAGCTTCCGGAAGAAGATTTTCGACGGATGAAGCCAGTAATTTAATCGAGTGATTTATTTCGAAAGTCGCGTTCGTCATTGGATTATATGAATTATAATAACTGCATATGACGGTGAAACATTCCAAAGCGCCGTGTCGTAATTCTCGACGAGTCGAGATCAGCAGAGGAAGAAAATGAGTGGAAATTCTCGATAGATTATCATATTGATATTGACGATATTTCAACAATGTTGCCGTAACAATGGCAAGCATTTCTAATTGAATTCGATAGTTGTACGACTCGAAATAGTCATCGATTAATTCACCAAGAATCAATGGTGGTTGGACGAAATTTTCGAGTAAGAGAACAAGACTGACACTTAGTTTCTAAAGGAAATCGACAAGAATTAATTAGCCAAACAGATCTTTTTCTTTTATGTATATCTTAAACTGAAATGTTTATTTTGAACAAAATAAACATGTTCACCGTTTATGATAGACATCCGATCAATTCTTTGGTTTCACTATCCTTGAACAGGTAAAAACTCGCTTAGAATACGTTGACCTTGTCTTAAATTACTCAAACGGTATTTACTATTGAGTTGGCTGAAAATAGCTTGACAAAGAAACGAGCAAAACACTCACTGCTAATTGCCGGTTGTTCGATTGGCCATTGGCAAGAATGTTTTTGAAAATCGTACAGATAGTTTGGAAATTTTTGCCGCAATAAGTCACTTGGGCATGTTTTATCAGCCAACCAAGACATGTCGATAGCACAAGTTTGATCTTAATGGACAAGTCCGAATCTATGGATGCTAAGTATGACAAAAGATCAAGTATCGAGCTTAGGAATGTATGTAAAGCGTGATGAAATTCAGAATCCAAATTGGATGATAAATATTTGGTGCGAATTAGTTGCAAATGTTTCTCACACAATTGCTTGAATTGCTCTAAGTGTTCTAAGCGAGTTGTTTCGGAAGCCAATGACCAGTCGGAACGTATTATATTAACAGACGAGTAAAAATCGGAGTTATCGTGAACAATGGAAGTCGTTCGAGGCGTCGAAGGAGGTAGAGGAGGTTTACGATTTGATGACAGATTATGTGTGCTCTCGGAATAATCAACAATACCATTAGTTACTACAGAATACCGCAAATAGATCGTCTGTCTTTCAAAGAAAAATAGTTCTTACCTTGTGGTGCACGTGGAGTTTGGTCCTCATCATCTTCCAAGCCGGTGTCAACAGAAACGATCTGTAAGTGATCATCGGTTCGTGGCACAAACGTATAGTATGCTTGTTGGAGTATCGTTGAATAAGTTTTCAAATAAGTGTTTACCGAATCCGTGCCGATGATGCGTCGTATATGTTGGATTGAAGTGATAATCACGTCTTTATATGTCAGACGAAACGTATTGTCTTGCAAATGTTGAAGAAGAACTTCGAATATTGGCGAGAGATTTTCATATTGATGAATCGTATTTAATACATCGGTTAACGATTGAATGGATAGGACGCGCACTCGAGTGTTGGAAGATTTTAAGCCATCTTGGAGATAGATATATAGGAAAGTCTGAACGTCTTGAGTTAAACGAATCTGCTTGGTTAAGATTTGCACGGTTATAGATTGAACGTCATTTGATGTCGAAGCAAAACATTGAATAATAGCTATAAGAAAATAAATTGATCAACGATGTGGAATGAAGTAGAAACGAACCTGGAAGAAAAGTCCGTTGATCATAGTGATAAATATTTGCTTGAATTTCTAATATCAGTGTCAAACAATTATATAGATATTCGGCGCTGTTGGCCTGTTGAAGCGTATTTATTAGAGATAATAAGATATTGTGCCTTTGGGTCGCATCCAGAATGGTGGATAGACGGTTTCGTCGTGCGTTCTTGCACCAACGATTTACTGTTTGAATTTTATGTTCATGGTTGGCATCATTGAGGAGAATATCAATGAATTGACTATCAGATATAGTTATATCAGTTTTATGTAGAAGAAATGTATTGGATGAAGAAGAAGTAGAAGAACCGGAACCAGTTGTCATTCTAGGAAGCGATGGAACAAGTGCCATTGATGGTGATGATTAACATGAATGAATCTGAAAGATTTCTGTTATACAAGAATTAGTGATGTCGGGCAACGAACAACAGAAATATTATTCTCTTCCTTTCAACACTTACTGTCCTGTTTATTCTGCAAACAAAAGAAAAAACAACTTGAAAAGAAGAATAATCACTATGATGTAACCTTGGATAGATATTACCGGTGAGGTTCTTTTTTCATGAAAAGAAATCAGACCTTTCGAACTTCTATATCTGATCAAAAGCAATGAAAGAAAGAAAATGATTTGTGAAATATGACGCGGACTTCTTCACGTTTTCTTTTCTTTTCTTTTCTTTTTTTACGAATCAAAGATATACGGTTCGATATTCTGTTTGTTTCTTTCAAGACAACAATAAACTACTTTTACGACATGACAGATATTTGAATGCATGACAACCATGACTAACACCTCTCAGAAGAATGCCAAAGTCAATAGACAATTACCGACCTCTATCCATTCATAATTTACACATACATACTACTCAGACAGCTTAGAACGTAAAGAGAATGATTAGTACTTGCAGTTGTCTTCCTCCGTCGATAAGTTCCTTGATCTTTATCATGTTAAGAATTACCGTCCGCTTGATCTCGATAATTATCTGCTGCTAAACAATAAACATGAGAGATTGTGATTCACCATAGCTTTCCTGTAGCCTGAGATACATGACTTATGTTTCGTTTCATGTTCTTTGTCATTATGCGCGAATAGAATGCTAGTTTTAATGCGAAAATATTTCACTGTGTACAAAAAAAGAAGACTAGAGCTTGAATATCAGAGAACAGACTCACAATACTGTCTACGGATACATAACATCGGTACTCAAACAAACAAAAAGCAGATCAGAATATCGTAGACAACGAGAGAGTTTCATCCTCGGCGAATAATTTTGATTGAAAAGAAGATATGGTCATTCGTTGTTTTATCGTCGTTTCGTTGTTGATTCTTCAGTTGGTTTAGCACCTAGCCAACTCAGCAAAAGACCCATTGGAGTTGCTTGTAAGGAAAGACTTTCTACAGCATTCTCTGCCTTGTTTTGTAAAGTTTGTGTACGAGCAGTTGCGTGACCGACAATCACTAAAAAAAAGTGAAATATAAACCATCGAATTTCGTCGTACTTCGAGAAAATCTACATGATAATGGAAGAGCAATGCCAAGTAGGAAGATAAAGACTGTTCCAAACATTCGAATGACTAGAAATGCTGCGAACAGAAGTATTATCAGGACTAGAATTGGTCGATCATGGAAGAGCACTGTCAATGCAGTTCGTTGCTTTTGTGTATAAACAAATCCAGCGAGAAGAGCAGCAAGTATGAAAAAACCAAAAACAATCGCTGCTGGGTAGAAAAAGCTAATTACAAAAACAAATAGAGATTTGTATATGCATAGATAGTGACCATTACGCGACTAGTAGGATGAAAGGTATTGCAATAGCTCCGTAGTTTGATTGATAGTAAATCATATTTGCAATGACTTGTTTTTCCAATTCTCGCAATTCATTCGGGTTGAAACTTGGTTTCGCCCATTCATTTCCTCCAATGAATTCTCGTATCGAACGAATCTATTCCAAAAGTGCAAATTCTGATTTCTAAATCTTTATTCGAAATTTACCGGTGGGATACGAAACTGATGTTCGCTATTCGACATAACGACTTCTATAGCAACAACAAGCTACGCGATGATCTAGAATAAAATATCTATTTTCAGAGGAAGTACAATCAATTATATCATGGATATGATATCAGAAACTAAAGCATAAAGGGTATATCGATAAAAATAGAAACAGAAAGAAAGCGTCAAGTCATGTTTGATTTTGATTTATTCCAATAATGATGGATTACGTAAGCCGAGAGCGGCAAGAAAGACACCCATTGGTGTTCCGTGAAGACTAAGTTGGCTGATTTTGTTGGTGACTTTATTGCTCATATTTCGTCGACATAATGTTGCATGAAGAAGAATTGCTAAAAGAAAACAAGATTAGACATTATCGAAGACAGTGTGAAAGAGCAACCTTGAACGGGTAAGACAATTCCAAGGAAGAAAATGAATAATTTGCCAAGAAAACTCAAGATAAAATAAGATGCACCAAGTACAGCAACGAAGACTATGATCGGTCGGTCTTCTTTTGCGGAACGTAAGAAATGTTCCACAGTTGCTAAAACATTGTTATTATTCGCTCGAGCTGATGATGATATGTAGACAAAGCCCATCAATAAGGCAGAAACCACGACTAAGCCGAAGAGAAAATCCACGGGGTAATTGATACTAAAATGTAGCATTTCAAGTAGAAGTTCATTTAGATGAAATCGCTTTACCCGACCAAAAGAAACAACGCAATACCGAAAACGAAATAGTTTGTCTGATAATAAATCAAATTGCTGATAATTCGGTTATTCAATTTTGGCAAATCCGAAAAATTCGGCACATTCCATGTTGCATTCGTAATGAACTCACTTAATGGCCGAAATGGCGCAAAGCGCAACTCATTCGATGTAGACATTCTATCTCGAATTTCTTGTGCTATATTGCTACCGGTATTCATCTGAAAATATAGTTACATACATTTAGGAAATATATGGTTATCCCTAAGATTCGTGCTTTTCACAAATAAACATAACAAGAAATAATCCAACAACGACAACAACAACAAACACGAAAATCGAATGTACAGAACAGAATCATTTGTTTGTGCAAAATTGAATAAAATCATGTTTACAATGATTCGGTCGTCGATGGTTGATTTTCAACAACGCCAAGATTGTGACGAATGATTCCAGGCGAAATTACTTGCTCAGGACCGCTCGATGACAGATGAGTCATGTCACTTAAGTTATGAAAAATCTTCTCTGCTAGATCATATTCATTAATAGATTCTGTTGTTTGTTGTGGCTGTTGAGACGAGTTGATAATCTGATGGATTTTGTTTGCCGGATGAGATAAACGATCGTATTGAGCTTGGCGCAGTCGGACGAGGAGTTTGGCATTTTCATCAAGTTTCATGTCTAATTGATGTTGATTATTTCCATTGGAAGTTGGATGTATTTCATGAACTGAGCCATTTGATGTGACTGTAATCGAAATGAAAATAATTTTTCTTTCTCAGGCAAAAGTTTATACCTTCTGTTTGCGTCTTTTCGTTTGCTGCAACATTTAAACAACGATCTACATAACTCAAGGCTAAATCACCTGAATCTTTGGCGTAATCAATCAAGGACACAGGATGTTGTGCAGAAAATTCGCTTCCATACGTATGAATCAGCAAATTCAGATCATCGTGTGATATTGAAGTAAACGATGAATCATATTGTGGTGCATGTGACGCAAAAGCTCCGTAATCGAGAAAATATCTTGGTAGTAAATGACTTCGTTTCTCATTTTCATTAACAATTGGTGTCGATTGAGATTGATAAGAATGGGAAGATGGACCAGCTGTACCTGATGACATACTACTTAGTTCGCCAATAGTAATTGTTCGTGCTTGAGGTTGTTGCTGGTAGAGATCATCTTGATTAATGAAACGAAGTGACGTGGTGCCATTGGTTCGTTGGCACGATAAGATATAGGATGAATTTGGACGACGTAGACTTAATTTCTCTCGAGCGCATTGCGCAGCTTGTTGAGCTTGAGAAAGAATTTCTTCGGGAGATAATTCTTCATCTTCTTCTTCGTCAGCAAGTAATGTGGGTAGTTTTTCATAATACTTCGGTAGTTTCAAAGCAACTTTCAGTTTTCGTTGAGCGGCTGTTGAATTTGTTTGAGTATCATTCTCAACCACCGATGTATCCATTTGTTCGTCATTGGTGTGATTGACGGTTTCAGGACGAAAGCCAAATTCCCGTTCGGTTAAATGAGAAAAACATTCAACCGTTCGACCAAGATACACTAATTTATCTTTGGCCATTAGTTTAGTGCCTGCTGACAATAATCTCTTCGCTGCTTGCCAATAAATTGTCTCCGGTCGATTGTATTTCATGGCATTGTTACACATGAGTTCGAAATCAGCGGCGAATTCGAGAAGGTTAGAGTATTCATCTTGAGTGATTTTCTTTTTCATCGTCGAGAAATCCATTGGATGTGTTATGATTTGAGAATAGCCAGGTGCAAGCTAAAACAAAAAGGAATTATATTCCAAATGAAATTTTTTTCAAGGAAAATTTACTTGATCAGTAACAGGATACTGAAAAAAACCTTCTTTATCTTTACATATTAATAAACGTAAGAGATGATCGAGACAAGCATTCAGATTTGTATTATCTTCATTGGATGATTTGTTAAACGAAGGCTGAATTCGTTTAGATCGATCGGGAACAAATTGATGTTGAGTCGAATTTTGTTGATCAGAATTAGTAAGGATAGTTTCCGATTGTTGAGACAACGAATTTTCATCATAATCAAGCGTACCAAGTCCAGAATGATTCGACGAATCTTCGTTTTCGAGAACTGATTGACCTCCAACGCTAAAACGTGGACGTTTTGCACTACGACGACTCATGATATCGGATGTTCTTGTCTTAGAAAGTTTTCTATTTGTTGAAGAGATGCACCACGGCTGATAAAAAAAAATGATCAGTCAACAATTGCAATCGCGCACATACACGTACAGGTATCTGTCTAGCAGCCATATTAAGAACAAAGACACCCCTAAGTATCCTGTGTACGCGAGTAATTCAATCGAAGAAAAGTAATGAAATCATTACTAAATTATATTTTTATTCTGATTAATAATAGAAAATAATCTCTGTATAATTTGATAGATGGCGCCATATGCCAATTCAATTGCACTAGCATCCGCTCAATGGTATATATAATGTGATATGAAGATGAAACGAAATCTGAAATGACTGACTAAGGATAATATCTTTATCTCTTCGTGCACGCGAAACGGTAGGGATGAATGCGTAGTTGTTTTCAAATAAAATAATTTACAAGTCAACGAAACATGAGAAAGACAAATCGTCCGATGACGCCGCCTTTCTCTCATATTCTTATCTGATACGTTCAAAAGAAACGAAAACTAATTTTACTCGCTGTATCTAATGAGGACGAGCAGCGTGATTTATGATCTGTAACTTTGTTTGAACGTGAAAGTTTTCGTCGAAGAGAGAAAAAAAGTCAAATGATAACGGAACGTTTTCGAATACTTGTTTTGATTTTGTTTTCAATTGGAAACTTGTCACCAGTTTTTGATCTCTTTCGGTGAGATGCAATCGAGCAGCAACAACATAACACATGTCATTTGCGTGTGTGTGAATCCTTTGATTGAAATGTGTAACGACTCTTGACTAAACGTGTTAATCATAGAAACTTTCTCTCTCTCTGTTCACTTGTTATTATATTGTTTTCATTTGTATGATGACTCTTGAGAGTTTGATGCGCATGTTCGAAATGAAAAGAAAGTCGTAAAATAGGCGAACATATAGAAAAAAGAGAAATTACCATTTCAAACGGAAACGAAATGATGCAGAAAGAACACGAGATATAAAACGTTTAGTTCGATTAATTTGTTTAAATGACATCACGGAGTTGTTTTTTGGACGAATCAAATAACCGAACAAATCATTTCCTTGTGTTCTATTCGGATGGAATTCAATCGTGCGAGAAATAGTTATAGTGATCGCAATATCTCGACTTTTCACACCTTATGATTGGTGTTGAATGTTGTTTAATGAGCAAATCAAAATGCAAAGAAAAAGAGAAGAAAGAGAGAGAGAGAAATTGGTTCCATCATAAAAATCATCGAACATATCACATTATATATACCATTGAGCGGATGCTAGTGCAATTGAATTGGCATATGGCGCCATCTATCAAATTATACAGAGATTATTTTCTATTATTAATCAGAATAAAAATATAATTTAGTAATGATTTCATTACTTTTCTTCGATTGAATTACTCGCGTACACAGGATACTTAGGGGTGTCTTTGTTCTTAATATGGCTGCTAGACAGATACCTGTACGNACTGGCGGAGATGAGGTGAAAACGTGTGATTATCTATCGTTGATTAACGACATACTATTTTCTGGCTTGAGGCAATCGCAAATGAATGTTTATTGACCCTTAAAAATGTCAAATGGACATCTATAACCATCGCGTGGAGATTCAATTTGATTTTCATTGAAAGACAACGAACGTTTGTCAAAAACAAAAGCGAAAGAGAACAAAAGTGGGCGGAGATACGATAGTGATGATACTCAGGCCAATTAGTCGACTTGAGATAAATTTTCTTTGGAGTTTTATTTATAAAATGTCTCATCTCGATTGTTCATGCAAAGTCTTATCCGTTTGACGAGACAATATCTATTTACATAAGTCCGGTTTTCCTGCAGAAATAAACTGTTAATTATGCTTCTCATTGTTCACACCTCACGTTCATTCTATATTTAATGATATTAGCAATTATTTGCTTTCATTCTCTTCTTCATCGACTTGATCAGTTTGAAACAACGACGAATAGTTGATCAGTCATTGTTCGTAATGATATTCTCTTTCTCTTTTCACAACCAATCGGAGTGAGTTTCTTCTCTCGTGTTTTTTTTTCACATTCAATTATTGAGAAAAGAGAACGAATAATCGTCAGGAGAACGCGCATGATAATGAAGATGAGAGAGAAAAGAGAGAATAGGAGAGAAATCGTCGACAACGACGACGACTGATAATCGAATATTTCATTTGAAGAAATAATAACCATGATGTTAGGTAGTAATAACTCATCAACATATCTATTAGGAGCGAATTCTCGAATTCTATCCGATGAAGGTTTCTCGGATGATAACGGTAGGTCAAAATTTCACATGTGAATCGATACTCATGTCTATCTTGCCTGTCTCTCTCATTAGATGATATAACACCAACCAGTGGAAATCTATCTCATCATATGAATAACACTATAAATTCAAATAATTCCAATGATGATAACATTCGTCGATATAGAACAGCTTTTTCACGTGAACAATTGGCAAGACTTGAAAAGGAATTTCTCCGAGAAAATTATGTTAGTCGACCAAGACGTTGTGAATTAGCAGCAGAGCTGCAATTACCTGAATCAACAATTAAAGTAAGACTTCGAAGAACACCCCTATGGAGTAAATCTCTTTTCTATTAGGTCTGGTTTCAAAATCGACGAATGAAAGATAAAAGACAAAAATTTGCATTTGCTTGGCCAGGTTATCCTGGTGACCCATTCTCATATTTCTCTTACATGTACGCTGTTGCTGCTTCGGGCTATACTCCTCCTTCTCTCCCTGCGAATCAATCAGGTGTAAATCCAATCATTCCTCCGATCAATCCTTCAGCAACAACAACTGCTCGATTAGCTCCGACAAAAAGTCGATCAGTTTCTACTACTAAATTGCTTAATGGATCAACAGATACGGCAACATCCTACTCATCGGCTTCATCTCCTACCTCATCCAGTTCATCGCCAAAACAAACTCCTGTACATCATTCACCGATTAAGCCAACGATTAATTTTGCTTTGCCAGCCATGGGTTTAGCATCATTTCTACCGAATGCAGTGAATGAGTCATCATCAACGGCCAATCCTTAAGAAGAGACCTTCCTTTTGTTTCTCATGTATTCTAGTCGAACAATGATTTTTCTTTTCTTGTTGCTTATCGAGATCGATCGATATTGTACAAATAAAAACATTGATTTTCTTTTTTGTCATGTGTTTCATTTCAATTATCGTAACTAATAATAAAATTTAACTATCTTAATACTCAAGAATAAACGATAGCTTTTTGACTCGTCGGCAACTATTGATGAGAATCATTTCGTTTTCCCGCTATATCATTAGTCAATTGCTTGTTAATGAGCATGCTCATTCTTGTCATGTAATAATCAATAAACTTCGTCATTTCAACGGATGAAAGAGGCACCGACATAAATCTTATCAATCACTTCTCCTACTCATCCAAATTAGAAAATGTGTTTGGATACAAAGACGACAAAAGGTGCCAATTGATAACGGCACACATCGTAAAAAGACGAAAGAATTGAACGATATCTTTCATGTTTGTATCGATACTTGAAAACTGCGAGTGAAGTTTTATGATATTTTCATCAATTTCGACATCATTATTCATTTCTTGTGTTGGTCACCTTCTCTCGAATGTTTATTTGTTTGTTTGTTTAAAATAACAATAAAAACAACAATAAAATCAGTTCTTTTCTCGTCTTCACGCTTCCTTTGATGCCATATGACGTAGAAGACTTGCCATAAATTTTTCCGCTTTTTTCACATCTTGCGCGAATTTCGTTTTGAATTGCAGACAAGTTCGATTATCAGTCAAACGAAGTATCAATCTTTCATTCCGATATTTCAAACAAAGACGACAACCCATTGGATCATTGAGGTACAATCGCTCTGCCTGCTTAGCAAATTCTTCCCACGATTGGATGAACATCTGAAGAATGTGAATGCATTTATATATTCATGTATCGAGAGAATCAGGTAGATACAGATCCTCCATATAATCCTTATTTTCTTTTCGTGTGTGTGTATTTTTACTGTTACGAACACAAGACAAAAAAAAGGAGAAAGAGAAAAAGAAGAAGACGCTGTTAGGAAGAAGAGTTCTCATTCTGATATACCGATCTGAATGGATGAAACTAAAATAACTACAGAGAAGAATTTATCTGAGAATAAACAAGTACAAGATAGTAATATAATTACTTTATTTCCAACAAAAGACAGACTGAGAAAGAAGAGAGAGAGAGAAAAAGCGAAATCAACCACACACACACACACGCACAAAATACACGCTGATGATAATAATCGTATATTGACAATTAGACAAACTGAGATTGTGTACTAATAGTAGTGTAAGAAAAAAAAGAAAAAAAGCTTTGTTTGCAAATGAATGTATGACAGATAAGACAGTATTGACGAGGGAAGATGTTCATGATGGCTTGAATTTAAAGTAATTGTAAATCGGAGAAACAACGTTCCATTTCATTTTGAAGATTTTTACAACGATCACGTTCGGTTTGTAATTCTTCTACAAAAAGCAAAAGAAATTTGTTTTAGAAATCATTCTTTTCGAAAAATTTCGTTTCGTCATGCATGGGCAACCCAATCCAGCTCATTTTTCGTCACAAACCTTCAAGTGTATCCACTTCACGCTGTAGTCGTTGAACTTGTTTGGTAGAATATTCGGCGCGGGTTTCAGCCTAGACATGCAAACACAGCAATAGAGAAAACCATGCAGGTGGGAAACAAAACATACACATGAACATGAAAACTCGAGAGAATCTAGACTATAAAGTACCTGCAATGCGTTCTACAACTTCTTGTAAATTATATCGTTCATCAAAAGCGAGATCTACTCGTCGTTCAGCCTAGTGGGATTCATTTTGTGGTTCAGAAGACAGACAACTCTCAGAGGAGATCAATTTTTTACTTACATCTTTCAGATGTTGGGTAAGACGACGAACTTGATCTTCATAGCTTTGTTCTTTATTTTGTGCCTAGAAGTGCAAGGATTGGAATGGAATGGAGGAAAAAAATCTATAACTGACTTACATCTTCAATACGAGCTAGAAAGGATTTCAATTGATGATGAAGATTTTTCATTTCTTGTTCTAATTCAAGACATTTGCTGCAAGAAATCGAGGAAATAATTCGTTTTGGAATTTCAACGTTTTACTTACACTTCTGCTCGTTTAGCACGCTCTTCGGCTTTTTCTAATTCACTTTCTTGAACTAATAATTTTCGTGCAACTTCGTCGTACTTCTTATCAGACTCTGCTGCAAGTGCTCGTGCTTCTTTCAATTGCACTTCAAGGATTTCTGTACGATCACTACCAAGATTTAGTTGGTTCTCCAACATTTTTCTTGATCTATACGAAAAGACATCGTCTATTTTCTTTATTTTAAATGCAACAACATACCGTTCTCGCTCATCAGCAGTATGGGATGCTTCATCGAGCTTGCTCGTTGTTTGTACTAAACGTTCTTCTGTTCGTTCAAGTTGTTCTTCGAATGAATGAAGTTTACGTGTAAGTTGACTAACTTCAGCTTCTGCCTGAAGAATAAAAAGAAGCAACAAATTATATTTAATTTCCCTAAAAGGTCAATTGTTCAACTTACAACTTCTCGACCGTGCCGTTCCTTTTCCAATTCCTTACGCGCGCTCTCTAAACTGTCTTTAACCTGTTCGAGTTCATCACGTAATTGTTGCATTTTCTTTCGTAATGCATCAGCTGCCGCATTGTTCACTGTCGAACGTTGCAATGTGCCAATGCCGGTACCTGCATTGGCTTGTGATGATGGTGACGTGGGAAGAAAACTTGACATGATTAATATTGTTTCGTATGACTAATATTCAATCTATTTATTATGCATCTAGAAGAATGCGTGTATGATATGAATGTGTGAAATCGAATTTTTTTTCTTTTCAAAAAATAAACAAACAAAATTAGCCAATCGGCCATTGGAATGCTAGCGACATCACTAGAGTGCGGAGTCATTCGTAAAAAGTAATGTGCGGTTTGTAGAAAGACAAATGGACATCGTGTTTGGTTTTAATCAGGAGAAAATATGTTGATATCGCGCAGATGGTGACGCTTGTAATGAAAAAAAAGACCTTTTGTCTATGTTCTTGAAAAAAGAAATGATCATTGATGATGTAAGGGTGAATTCAAAAGGAAAAAATGTTTTAATAGAAAAAAAAGTCAACTTACTTAATTCACGTGTAATTGATTGAGAATTCTCGACAAATACACGTTGTCTAGTTGAATAGAAAAGAACAATAACGGAAAGAAGAAGAAGAAGAGTCAAGTTGTGTTTGACTTGGAATCATCATCATCACCCATCCATCATCGTTCTGTCTCAACGAACGAAGAGAAAAAGAAAGACTGAACCAAACGATCTACTACTCATAATCATTGTTGTATCGATAAAAGCAGAGGGGGCAAGCAAGCAACTTACTCTTCGCCATACGCACACCGATAACGGCTTGTTTTGGTCGTTGTCCTTCCGTTCGTTCTTCTTTCTGTCTTATTCTCTTCTTTTCCTCTCTCTCTCTCTCTCTCTCTCTCCCTTGTACTACCATTATGACTACGCAAGAAATAAAGAGCTTGCAACAGCATATACATAGATTAGCTTCTTTTTTTTATCATCGATAATAGAAGAAAAGAAGAAAAAAAGGAGACGCTAGCGTGAGTCAATGACCGGCCACTGGTACTAAACAATCGTGTTATACGCGTTCTTTTTTTTTTTTACTTCTGTTCAATTGACGAAAAGGCTCAGAAAAGAAAAAAAGCAGCTTACAAGCAAGTAAATTGAACACATATGAAATAACTCACTCAGTTTGTTGACGCACACATGCGTAATCATAATATATGGGAGAAAAAAAGAGAAACGAAGGCAACATAAGTGAGGAGAGAAAAAAAGTTACATATGAAGTCGTATTTCATCTATGTATGTATATATACACGAACACATTCGGCACTATCGCATTGCTGATACATAGATACTGAAAGAATTCAATGTTGGCAATATTACTCTTACGCACTCCTACTTTTATTTTCATTATTCAGCCTACGTATAAAAACGTGTTGCTATTCGTTGCGTTATCAGAACGTGACATTTGACGAAGTAAATGAAATTTCAGTGCCTCTCTCTCGCTCTCGCTCTGCCTCTTTTACATCTGTATACACATGATCATGACATCGTCGGACTTTTTTTTTAACATATATACATATACTATTAAACGAAAATGTACATTTATAATCGAAACAACGCGATGTACATAATTCAAGGATGGTTATAAATATGATAGGACTGACCTCCGTGCACTGATGTGATTATTTGCATAAATATTTTCATCATCAATTGAATGTGTCAATACTTGAATAAATGAATGACGAGCGAAGAGACAGAAGCCAGATCAAGATCGAGTGACGCACAACTGGTAAAAGTAATGCTTACTTGGCGACATCGAACAAAAAGAATCCGTATTGGACTTGTTCTTGTCTGTTAAATGAAAATGATTTTGATGTTAATATGTCTAGTCGAGAAAATCGAGTCACTAGTAAATAAAAACAAGAAATCTTATTGATTTTAATCAAGGTTTTCAAAATAAGACATTCGATGAAGATATATCAGACGAAGATGAGACCTTCCGTTTCGTTTTTTGCGTCGATGTACATCGATTACATTTACATGGCGCATTCGTTTTTAAGGTTAAATTAGAAATACTTTTTCTCATTGAAGGAAACGAAAGAAAAAGAACGAGACGAGAGATAAAACTGACAATACATTGTTGCTGCAAGTCTAGAAATGATAATAAGAACAAAAACAATACAACTAAGTCTCGATCATTGACAGCAAAATGATTGTTCGATTGCCCGGTGGTAAAATCATTGATTAGAGACGTTTTTACGTGTTTTTCTCTCCGGATATTTAGGCAAGAGCGCTGCACTACTTGTAATCATTTTAATAAATTCGCTACCAAGTATTGTCGTAGCTGATTGCCCATTATTACGTAGTTTTATCAATGATACTGGCATTCTTTCCGTGAATAAACTGACATTAACACAGTCAGAACCATCGATTCATTGCCAATGGTTGATAGTTGGTTCATCACATCAGGTTATACAATTTCTCCTTGCCAGTTTTTATTTTATGAAAAAAAACTCTTTCATTCTGTAGCGCATTGTTGTCGAATTCGATTATATACTGATTCCTATGCCAATCGAAGAATATTTAACAGCAGGTTGTCAACGTGCTTCGATTAACTTATGGACACCCGGATTAGAACGCGAAAAAGTTCAGTTATGCGGTGATCGACGTCGTGTTAAAATAGGTGGAGTAGGACAAACATTGATGGTGGAATTACGTCTTAATGATAAAAAACTTAATGTTAGCTTTGAAATGCATTATCAACTTATACAAATAGAACGTAATGTTGTTTTGTGTTTTTATCACTCCATTGCCTATAAAAATTGATTTATTTTATGATATTTAGAAGCATTAAGTACACCTTCTCATCTGATTAGCTCGTCGACATTATCAACAGAGAATCACGCCGGTAACGAAGAGAACTTTAATGTCCATTAGTGAGAGTTTTGTTGTTGTTGTTGTGATTTTATGATTAGAATGTGGGTTGACTTCGATAAAAGGTTCTGCGGCTCTTCGTCGAGTTTCCGGTCGTATCATTGGCGGTCACCAAGCGATACCACATAGTCATCCGTGGCAAGTTCTTCTGAATATCTATGGCAAATTTTGTGGAGGTTAAATCTTAATTCCGCGCATTCTTCTGATCTCTTCTATTTTTTTCTTCAGCTGCTATTTTGAGTACAAACTGGATCGTGACAGCAGCACACTGCGTCAATGGGTACGTTCGCATTCGTTGAAAATAAACTAAACTAGATTGTTCTTTGTTGATTGTAGCACAAATCCAGGGAATGTCTCCGCAGAATTCGGTATTCATGATCGATATAATATCGAGAAATCCCGGGTCTCAAGAAACATCAAAAGAATTGTTGTTGTATGTGTTCAATTAGATATTCTCTTTTTTTTCTCACAACATATTTCAATTAAGTATCCTTCGTACTATGGCAAATCGACTCGTTGGATGCATGATATTGCTCTACTTGAATTATCCGAACCACTTGTGTTCAATTCGTTCATTCGTGCAATCTGTATCTCATCACTTCGTGACATTGTTCGTGTTGGTGATCGAACATTAGTAACGGGTTGGGGAGAAACCCAGGGCACCGGGAATTTTCGATATCTACGTGAAGTTCAAGTGCCCATTCAATCGAACGATCAATGTGGCCTGGAAGATGTTCTTCGAACTACAACTTTCTGTGCAGGGTTATGTACGAATTCCACGTGTGATGCATGTCAAGTAAGCACTGGCTTCGGAAAAAATCACATTTTCAAATGGAACATTTAGGGTGATTCGGGCGGACCTATGATTATTTTGCATAAGGATCGTTGGCATCTGGTTGGATTGATATCATGGGGATTCAGCTGTGCTGGTCTCGGTGTGTACACAAAAATATCTTATTATACCGATTGGATTACAAAGATTGTCTATGCTTCAAAGATTTAATGTGATATACTATTTAAATAAATGTATTTTTTAATGTAAATAAAAAGAATGCGAATGAGAATCTAAGTTCGTTTTGAAAGAGATTGCGAGATTAAAAGGTAGCTACGTGCATGTAACTATCACATCTTATGTGGTAGCTTTGATTGCGACATCAACATTATTGCGTGTTGCATCTAAATACACAAATAAATGGGTTATGAAATATTTTGTCTGTGTAATTAGACCTACGAGAATAGGGACAGATTTGATGTGCAGCTTTAACAATAGCATCGGCATCAGCTTGACTGGCACCTGGCAGTTTTGCCGTTAAATCAACTTTTAAACCTAGATTGCCATTGGTGTGTTTACCGATACTAACAGCTGCACTGACAGTTGTTGAGCTTGGTAAGTTTTTCTTCAAATTTTTAGCAGCTAGACCCATAGCGCCTAAGAAACAAGCACTGTAACCAGCAGCAAATAATTCCTCGGGATTTGTTCCATCACCACCAGAACCACCTAGTTCTTTTGGTTTAGTTAATTTCACATTTAAATGCGATGGATTATCATCACATTTAGCTTGGCCATCTCGACCGCCGGTTGATGTACAACGCGCGGTGTACAGGACTGAGTAAGTGCGTATTGATCCACTGAGTGAATTAACTGCACGAGAAGATAATAAAGGGCGAAAAAGATTAAAAGACATCTGAAAAAAGAGATTCGAAAGAATCGATATGATTTGCTTTTATACTCGTAGAGAAAATTTGATTGTAGAAAGACAAGGTAATAAAGATCCAAATTCTTAAGTGTAAATAAATCTATCAGAAGTATAATCGAGAAAATTTATATATGGATGTTGATTCAATCGTTGCACAATTTGATCAGGCGATGGTTCTTTTATATCAGCTCTAATAAAACAGTTTCAGCATTGAAAATGATCTCTATTTACTACATACCGGTATATATCATACATATTAGAAACAATCAACTCTTCCTGTTGATCAGCTCGTTTCTTTTTTGCATCATGTATCTAAACAAAATCATGAATAACAAGTAGGTCAACATTGCAGGTTGATCAATACACCGACTTACATCCCCACTCAATGCTAGACAAATATTCAGTCCAATATTGGTCACAAACAGATACCAAAAGATAAAATACAGTTCACTCCATCTACAGTATACATGTGAATTCATGCATGAAATAGAACAGACGTTGCTGTATACTTTGAATTGGTCGCTTCGCGAAATCCATTGACAAAGACAAACCATTGATTGACGACCATTATATGATACAATGTTACCATGGATGACTATTAGAGTACTCTATTTCACAATGAATATAATGCATTTAGGCACACTCACATAAAAATCATCAAATCCGTTGGACCAATATTCTAGCTGTTGATAACTTCCGCATACTCTGTAAAGATTTCACATAGATCATAGCAATAATAGATCATTGACCTACGTTTGATTTGAAATATTGGAGCGTTTGTAAAGTTCTCCAATCGCACCGCCAAATAGTTCCATTCCAAGTAACGAATATGCGTAGTAGCAGCTCTGAAAGATAAACTCTATATGAATTTCTCGGAATGCGACATGTTGTGCTTACGAATAAGACACCGAAGAAGGCGCCACCATTCCGAACTTCATCGAAAACAGTTCCAACAATAATTCGAATGTTTTTTGACGCTGGTAGAAAGCGAATCAGTCGATAAATGAACAGCATATTGCACGTTTTGATCGCTGCCCAAAGCGTAAAAACCGATCGTTCTTGTTGTATGAAATCGGTGTACCTATTCAAAGAAAAACAAGTTCAGATTAGAATCGATGAGTTCATATCAATTTCATACACTAATAAAACCAACGGTGTCTTATACAAACCCATGTAAACAGCTTGTAGAATCTATGTACATAGGAACATGTCCGGTGAATATATTACCTTGTATATTAACTTACCAGACAAGACAAAGCAACGGTTGCTTCGAGAACATGAATTGTTGATGAACGAAAGAAATGACCTGGGCCGTACGCCCATGCTTTAATGAGAATTTCCAGGACGAAATAGATCATAAAACTTAAATTGACATATGCCAATGGTACGAGGTACGTCACAACATCTCTATAATTCGTGTTCAAATGTCGGTGACCAACTTCAATCTTTAAAAAAAATGAAGGACACTTCTGGTCGTCACTCGAAATTAGGTGTTTTTGTTACCGTGACAAGTAGAACGCTCAAAATAGCAAATATAGTTCCGATTAAATCAAATGCTTTCGATCGTCCAACAGCTTTCAATCGATCTAGAAGATTTTCATTTGATCTTTGAATTTGAACATCAGGTGCTAGCCGTGGATTGAGATCTAATAATCGCATGATGTTAGAATATTGCTCCAAATTAATCGCTTCGTTGACACGTTGCAATTCATTTAAATTCTACATTTACAAATGTTCATCGCAATCGGCTTTTTCTTTTTTATCCTATACTAACATGATTGATGAGATCAAAGTGCCATTTTGTTATTAATACTGATTCTAACACTGCTTGTACAAGTGAAATTGGTATAGTATCCCTAGACGAAAGTCAACTTTCATCTAATAGCATTTTTACTTTGATGCACTTACTTCGTTTCGATTGAACCATTCGATAAGACGCGTTTCTTTAGAATTTCGAATGATCCTTGTACTGCAGTGCGTCGTCGTAATAAAGAATTGATAATTGCGTTCAAAAAATATCCTCGGAATGCTCGATACACAACTGCGGTGATGATATTTTGCAACCAATAGATGCCTGAATGAAGTAAAACAAAAGAAGAAATATTTACAATTCTGATCAGTAGTTCTGTCCTACATGTTTACCAATAATGACAAAGACGATGAAGAATAACGAATTCAGACGTCGATCAGAATACGCTAGAAAGGTCAAGAAGGTACCGAGCAGTTAGTAACTAGAAGATGTTTGTACCTGGCATCATAATATCCGGATTGTTTGCAGTGGAATACAATACAAGTAGTTCAAAGACAGAATTATGCAAAGTATCAAAATAAGTTGTATTTTGTGAGTCGGGTCGGATCTAAAAAACCATAAGCATAATGTTACTGTGAACGAAAGCAAGAATTTACATCTGATTTTGGAAATAGATACATAGCCATGACAGCAAAAAAGAGGACATGAATGAATGTCAGCGTGATACATCTACGATAAGATAATCAACGAATAGTTTTGTATTTAAGATTTTTCTATACGCTATGATAGTTAATGATTGTTGATGTACAGCTTTGAATACTTTTTTCATCAATTGTGATGATTCGATCATAAATATCGGGCGAAAGATCCGCCGAAGACGAAACTAAACATTCATGATTATCTAGCAAAAGAAAAGAATCTCCTGAATTATTTTCTACATACACCTCGATACATCGGACTGACAAATATCAACAATCCAAACCATTCACACAGTGAATAAATGACAGTAATCGTTGATAAGAGGATCCAAAATCGTTTTCGAGTATGTATGACACCAATACACATGATCTATTCATACCTTTCTTGTTATTGATCGAAAAAGATCCTTACAGCTTACTTTTGTACATATGTACGCTAGAAACCACAGAAGTGTCACACCTTCAACAGCGAGAAGTCCGTAGTACGGAAAGGTAATGCGATTTGGTTGGTCACGAACATCAGATGTAATACTAAATGACGATGGCGGTTCGAATAATGCTAAGCAGAGATTCATCCAGAGAATGATTTGATGCAATCTGTAGTAAATTGACATGAACGGAATCGAATTTCGGTATTATTTCCTGCAAATTACTTTTTAATCAACGGACTTGCGAACCATCGGTAGATCGATAGATAGTTTCGTGTAACTTTATGTGAGATGGATTGATAATTGATTGCATCTTCGAGAAAAACAGTCGCACAGAGAAGAATATTCGAAGCTAGAAGACAAATGACATGGAATCTTTTCTAGGCTCCAGTGTAGATGACGTACGCCATACACATTGTTCATTATCAGTATAGTCTCCGTGGATTGTTTTGGGCAAACCGAGACATTTCTTTAGACGATCTTTGAATGTTTGAGAAGGCACACGAATCATCAGATTCGTTTGACTAGAATTCATCGTTTCCTCGCTATCCATATCTACAAACGAGAAATTGACGAAAAATTATTGAAAAAACTGAAATTATATTTAAAAAAACCGAAAAGCAACAAAAAAAGACAGAGGGATTATTATTCAACATTTTCTTGTGGAATTTACATAATGTTTAGCAAGATCTTCTCGAAACTGATCAAATAACAGCATGGACGTGTCGTCATCGATCAACTCCGTGTTTGGCAATTGACTTTTATCGAGAAAACCTAATCGATATAGATAAATATTGTTCAATACCACAAAATCATAACCAGCCACATAACTTTCACAGCACTAAAAAGAACGAAGACGAAATTAACGAGAACTTCATCAGATCTCTCTTACTTGACTGATACGAGCGTGTGCATGTGCCTTGAACCGTGCATCGTATGTAGGCGCATCTTTGGGTCCAACATAGTACGGTTGCCACGGCTGTGCATAGTGTGGCCGAAAGAGAGGAACAATCTTGTCATTACTTGCTTCTTGTTTCCATGCTTGATAATTTGTTAGAAATTGACAAGTTGGACAGACATCAGCTTGAAATGGTTGCAAATGTTGATCATTCCATAATAGAATCAATTCATTCTTATTCTGTGGTAGTGGAGCAGAGTTTTTCACCGCATCGAGATGGATTTCAAAAGAGGGAATGACATAGAGTGTGCGGTTGAATTCTTCCGTCGTTTTTATCTGTGTATAAAATGAAACAAGATGGTGAAATAGATCGGGAGCAGGATAGATATCAATATCAAGTGTAAGGATATATTGAACAGTCGTTGGTGTTGTACCAGTACGAGCAACATTACGAAGAAGATTCGATGGATATATAGTAGAATCTGTTTCATCAGTATGATTGATGTACTTGATATTTTGACAACTAACAGCATATTTGACACTATGTGTATTGTGCTGATTAGAAATTGAACCTAAACAACAAGAACAGCAGAAAGGAAACTTGAATTCGATGTCGAATAGAATATCTTACGTTCATAAGCTTTTGCTGACATAATTAAATGTACGTTGAGTACTTTAAATAATCTTCGATTACATCGAAGCCAAATCGATGCGTAGTCAATATCATCACTAGCCCGAGCACCTTTAATATATAAACTTAATGAGATAGGACCATCCCAAACTTTCGTGTGATTTAGTAATGAATGAAGATTTTGAATGTTTGTATGTAAGTTTAACGCTAGTAGGTGAGCATTTTTAGTTAGATTGCTTTGAAATTGGACAAAATTTTGGACGATTAGGTAGTTGCCCGAGCTATCGAAACGCTTTTTCAATTCGATTGTCTTATAGTATGGACGTGTGTCAAGATCATAATCAGGCTCGTGAATATCTTCTTGGAAAAATAGGATTGTGGTGAAAAGTACACCGTTGATAATATTAATAATTAAAAAACCAGCAATAAGAATGAGAAAAATTCTTGAAATTTGACGCAATTTCGGTCGTTTGTGGAAGAGTAGTTGATATCGACGAAAATACCGACGAAGACGTGTGCTATAACGTTGAACAGCGAACATGTTTGAACTTGATCAATGTTATTTATTTAAATGCCGGTCGATCTGTACGTGCGTATGGTGTAAGTAATTGATTCAATCCAAAATCCGACCACTTATTTTGAGTTTCGTCAATGATTTCCGATAGTAACGTTAACTCGCTATCAAATTCGTCAGGATTATACGATAGACTATGACTAGTTGCTGCAGCTTGAGGATTCACTCCCGCGTTTCCGGTAGCACCTGCACTGTCTCCACCAGTCGTGTGTGCAGTTGTTCCGTGTGCTGAACTGCTTCCACTGCCAACACCTGATATAGTTCGACCTGTCGAACTTCCTCCTCCAACACCTAGGCCACTATGAGCAGCTGCGGCTGATGCAAGTAGATAATTCGCGTCTGAGTTTGGATCGGGATTTCCTAGATGTGGTAGCTCGTCGAGAATCCAATCGCGGTCAATTAATGCAAGTTGTCGCCCGTCAGGCAAGTAAATGCCATCCATTTCGAAAACATATAGTAAGGAATCTAGAAAAGAATAGAATGAACATTTTGTCAGTGTAAGATTTATTAAAATACAGAAGATAAAAAACATCAAGATAAAATACAATACGAAGATCTATTTTCAACGGTTTAGTTAGATAAATAGAGAAAACAACAGTGAAAATCTTGGATGAATGTCTAAAACTTGTCTCCGGAAGTGACTAGGATAGAATGTAAATATATAAAATAGGCGATAACCTCATAGTGCTATGTCTTATGATGGAAGATTCTTTTCATAGGCCATCGGGGATGTTTTCAAACGTCGGTCAACTGCAGCTACTAGTGCAGAACCTTTCGATGATCCGTCTTCGGAAAGAACAAGGCGATGCTACAAAAGATTCATTGAAGTAAGCAGCATCAACACGATAAAAGAAGAACTTACTGCTCGTAGAACAAGTCGGCCTAGAGTTCGGCTGAGATTCTGTTTGAACTGTTCGTGATGACGAAAGAGTGTGCCGTCAACAGCGACTGTAACTGACGACATATTGAGACGATTGATTAACACGGCAATAGCTAAAAGTATATAGAACAAAACAACGTGATTGTTTAAATTTGATTGACTACGATGGATAGAATTGCACCTGCTGCAGCTAATTTCGCTGCTCGGAGTGACACAGTTTTGCACACTTCTCGGATAATAAAGCAATCATCATAGGATGGATCGTGAATACCAATAGACGTGAGAATTGTTGCAGTAGTTGATAAATCATCCGCTGAAATGTATAATCTACTTTTCGTTCTCAGCGATTTCTTTTCTTACTTGTATCATTTTCGATATCTGCGACATGTTTTGCATAGAAACTACCTGAAAGATTTCTATTCGTACTTCAAAAGCAATTGTTCAGCGACTTTTACCTCTTAGAATGAGAAATATATTGTAATCAGGTCGAATGCTAGGTGATTTTTGCATACGTCCAGGAAAAAGAATTGAGCGTTGTACTAAATCAACAATGATCAGACGGACAATTTCACCAAGATATAAGGCTGCAAGAGGTTGAGACGTTTTATTAAAGTAAGAACGACCTTCAGCGAAGGAAAAATAAAGTTTACCTGAGATCATTTTCTCGAAAACTTGTTGATGTGGCGTCAAACTCGACTCATCAAGTTCTCGATCGATATCTGTTCGAATAAAGTCCAGACAACCGTTCTATATCCAACAAAAATACATATTAATATCCAACATTTATATCAAATACGAACTCTGCCCAATGCACCCCATTCGGTATTGATAATCACTTGTTTCGTTTGATTATCGCGGGTTCCCTTCCATTTTGGTATATTATCAAGAGTTTCAAAGTAACACGCATTCATTCCTAACGATTATAATTCCGCATAAGTTCAAAATACGACTTTTCTGGGCGATTTACCCGTGCCGAGGATAACACCTGCTTTACAATCACGATAATTCGAACTACAAGCCATCAACGTTCCAACAGTATCGTTAACCAAGGCAACAACTTGAATTGGAAGATTCTGATAATAAACAAACTACCGTTACTTTTCTCTATTTATTCTTACTTCATACCTTTCGTCGATCGATGGCTTGTTGCAACATAAGTACGACATCGTTTCCAACAACACTGGTACAACTGAAACCTTTTGTCCATGACACCAACGTTGCTTCTCGAAGACTCTTTTGTTGGCAAGGAAAACTGAATGTAAAAGCTAAAAAACCAGCAAAATGATAATTATTCAATCATGAACAGATATTTCATGGCCAGACGTTATCAACAATGAATGTCGAATGCAAGAACAACACTTTCTGCTAACAACAATGTACTCTATTCTTACCTAAATCAAATCTATAATCTGCAGCTTTGAGAACCGATAATTTGTTATCATCAATGAATCTTTGTAAACATTCGGCAATATAATCAAATAATTTCTCTCCTTCGCCTAACAATAACGAATGCGGAATGAGGAAGATTTTATTATTTAAACGCATTCGATTTCTTCCTTCGATAAACACATGTGAAACACGAAAATTCGAACCACCTAAATCGACAACCAGATATTCTCCCGATTCTTTTCCACTCGGTCCATGATGTACATAAGTCGGGAACATTGCCAAATCGTTCTCCGTCGAATCATCCACTTTCAATGCATTGGTCATTTCAGTGTTCAGGTTCGCCATAACACGACGAAGTTGCTCCTCGGTCAATTGAAACGGCCGAAGAATATTTCTTACTTCATCACGTAGAATAACTCGTTTGGAAGTCTGTGAACGTCGATGAATGTAATACGCGCCAAGGCCAATTGCGGTTAGCAATCCTGTACTTATCCCAGCGATTTTCAATGTTTTAATAACATCTATTTTGAATTCAATGACATAATTTGATGATAATGACGCCATCTGAAATATACTTTTAGACGTGAGATACATTGATTCTTTCATCTTTCATCTTTTATTTTTTAAATAGGACACACACACACGCAAGAATTAAGAAAATCCTTTTGTTTAAGTTATAAATAAAAAATAATGATATCAGAGTTAGTACGCGTACGTATTACGAGAATTCCCTCAAAAGAATATATCACATGAAAATTGAATCGAACCAAGAAAAGAAAAAGCAAAAGCAGATAAAACGATCAATTTTAATCATTCATTCAAGCTTCTTCCATTTGAACACCAAATGCTTCTTGATTTGGAGTTTGATGAAAAAGTGCATGGAGAAAGATAACGAATACTGATGCGCCTATATAAAACCGAATAAACATTCAGAATATTTGCAAAGCATTTCTAATATTTACCTAAAATCCAGAATATTGCCGAGCCGGCACCGACCATCAAAAGCAGTGGGATGCAAAGGCAGAACACAGCTAAATATTGATGTGTCAAAGCGACCTGTTTACCCATGATCGTCAATTGACTTTCACGATTCTTCAAGCTAACTAAATAGCAACCTGCACCAGTGGCTAACAGGACAAATAGTAAAGCCGGTGTGGTAATTCTATTTGTAAATTTGTATTATTATTGTTTAGAGAAAATACGATGTATTATCTTACATGCAATAGATTGATAAGATGATGATTACAATGAAATAATTTGTTTGAAAATGTTCAACATTCAGAACGAGACGGCGGGCACCTGAAACAGTTGAACAATAGTCTTTTATTTAACATAGGAGTCTTATTCGCCATACCAGCTTTGACATTCGCCGGCGGTTTGAATTGATTGGTATTGAAAAAATCCATCCATGGACGTAAACTTTGACGTTGTCGACTGTACAAATCACTAACATTGAGCTTTTGTAAACCAGCTAACGCCCAAGTTGACCTGATGAATCAGAGAGACAAAGAAAGAAATAAGTTAAGAATAACCATTCGAAATCTGCTCATAGTTACATATTATTAGTCGGTGGACTAGCATTGGTATCTGTTGGGGCACCAAGCAGTACTTCTGTGTGTTGGGGCGGAGGAGAAATTATATCACCCGTGAGTTGTTTGGTTGCTGACATGTCACTACTCATTTGAAAAAGAAATGTGAATGACTAACGAGAATGAATGAAGTGTCCAGAATAAACTTGATGACACAGTCTTGAAAAAAGAACAACATAAATATGCATACATACAAATAGTAATTATGAGAATAGGCCAATCGAAGTAGAGATATAGATGGCGTTGGTGTAAAATGACACGTATGCTGTACAAGTTTGCAAAAGAAAGGGTGCATAGTGTATTGACTATGAGTTTGCTAAGTCGCAGACACAGCCGACAGCTGACTAGTCTTTCTTTATTTGATTTTGAAAAGAAGGAAGAAGAAAATCATGAATAGCAAACGGATAAGCAACATCGATTCCCTTGCCACCAGCATCAGGTGTTGTCCAAAAACTTAAGCGATTCAAACGCGTGTGAACTAATGCTTCGGATGCAAATGCTTGTCCATATTCTCTTCTCTGTGTCGCATTGACAAAATAGTATGTTTCTGCCACAGCATATAGATCAGGCACTCCGAGAACAGATAGAGACAACGAGGCGTCATTGAAAATATGATTTGTCAAATTGAGGTATGTCGCATTTTGACGATCGATATAGCAGGAAAAATCAATACGCGATGGTAGTGGCAATTGATGAGTTTTCAAAAAATTTAAACCCCGATAAATCCAATACATTGATCGGTGCCCGTTCAATGCAGGAAATTGAGGATCGATGTAATCGTATTGAAGTACATGTTCTTCAAGTCCATCAACTATGAAATAGATTGATGGAGTGAATTGACTATTCGAAACGAGTTTAATAAAATATGGATAGTTCGTTTCAAGGAACCAATCTTGATTCGCTTTTGCACCGATCATCACCTCTCCATCAAGATATATTGTTTGCACTAGAAGAACCCCATCAGGACGTTTAACTTCACTCACCGCTCGAACAACACTTTCTATCGTCGTTTGAACACGTGATGTAAAATCACTGGCATTTAAACGATAGTATCCAAGACCATCAATTGGATTACCAATAGTATAGTCGGCAGCGCCTAACCATAACAGGCAAATATCTAGATGCAGGCGATGACCATCGATTGTACTCTGAATTGATGCAACGTCTTGTACATATTGATGTAAGTTTGCCGTTTCCTGTTCAGTTATCGGAAATGTCGCTCGCCAAGTTTGATCAGGTGTTGTACCAGGCTCATTAACGAACCAGATACGTAGAGAAACAAATGTGGCACCTTGATCAACCATTCCTTGGAGCTGTTTCAAAACTGTGAAGCGAATGTCTGGCCGGTGAAATTGCGTTATAAAAACAGTATCTGTAAAATTAGTTCCGATCGCATGATAGTCAACGCCAACGTCATAACTCGATGTACAACGAAGTATACAGAATAGTAGAGATATAATAACCATTCTAGAGTTTTACTGATATACCACAAATGATATACTTTATTCAATCCTTTCCTTTTCGTATGTTATGATATACACAATACCATATGGAGTTATCTCTCAAAGCAAAACGATATTACAACGAAAATAGTATGTGTATGATTTTAATGGACGCATGATGTCAGTGGTTTGAAAATGGTAGGCACAGGGTGAGGCCGTGCCGAAATTGCGAATGCAATGATTTCTACATTAAATACAAAACAGACAACACCTGCTAATATTGAGCTCATAGGACATATCACTTCCTCATGATACTCGTTGACAATCATGTAATATAACAAAGCAAACATTTGCTCAGCAAGATGATGAAAGTATCTGAGAAACACTTCCTTTTAGTTATTTGATATATTGTTTCTACATATGATTAAATGGAGATCCGATAACATAATGAGTTTTTTATGTCTCTGTGACAGTTTCTTAGAATTTACCGAGTTGGAAGACGAACATTTTATAATGTCAATATTCGCCGGATATGTGAGACAAAAGCAACATATTTCACTTCAGTTTATTTCAGAAATATTATATTCATGTTTTATTACCGTCATTCATTACACAGGATAATGAAACGAAAACATCCTAGACGAATTGTGAGGTGGTCTCGATTTCTGTTCTATGATCAACTTTAGAATATTGAGGCGAGCACTATATATAGCGCTGCTGAATACCACAAACAGAAATATTTTTTCTCTGCATGAGTCTTACGATGCAAATGAATCCAAAACTATTATTGACCGTCTTCGTGTAAGTTTTGTACCGATTGAAAGTAATGTAGCACCATAATCTTTTTTTTTCAGGTCTATATCATTACTGCTAACAGGTAAGTTCACAAACACTGAGACTAAATGGAATAATTATCGCTCAATTTCGATGATTAGGCATAAATGCAGAAGCTGCATCAACGTTCGGGTGTGGATGTTGCCCTTCGGCCAAATGTTCAGCTGAACCGGTCTACTGCTCATCGAATGTTGATTGCGAATGTTTGTGGATGACCGTGACTGGCGGTGGCATGTGCGCTAGTACAGCTATATCCTGTTCAAGCTTGACTCGTTGTGAAAATGATAATCAGACTTGTTCAGTGCCAAATACTGTCTGCGTCAATAATACACGTTGTGATGCACCTGTCTGCTATCCACTCGACCAAGCAAAGATAAGTGTTTGTCCGCCAGTCGGTTCCAAGACCACTACAATCTCGAGTGAGTTCGAGGAATTCGCGCCAGTGCGCGAAGAATAACCTCAACTCCCTGCTGTTTTCTTTTCTATTATCAGCCACAACACCAACCACAACGACTACATCAGTGACAACAACTACACCAACCACAACGACTACATCAGTGACAACAGCTACACCAACCACAACGACTACATCAGTGACAACAACTACACCAACCACAACGACTACATCAGTGACAACAACTACACCAACCACAACGACTACATCAGTGACAACAGCTACACCAACCACAACGACTACATCAGTGACAACAACTACACCAACCACAACGACTACATCAGTCACAACAACCATAACTGTGCGCACTATCGACCCTTGTTCGAATGGGACTGTATGTTTAAACAATGTAAGTTTGTGAAATAACTGCTTTTTCCGTAAACTACAGCACCTCTCCTCTATGATTAGAACGGAAGACTGATAGATACTTGCCCCTATTCGTAGACTATACTATGAATTCCATACACTTGTTGAAGTCTCATGTTGTTTTATTAACAGGGAACTTGTCTCCCGTCTGGTGATAGCTTTATCTGCCTATGTCCTGGACGATATTATGGCTCACGTTGCGAACAATACGGAAAACCCGACTTAGGTATTGATGGAATTCTGAATGGAACGCAGAATAGCAGTGATCCTACAGTCGAAAATGTACTCAATCGGAATAATTGGACAAATATCGTTGCTGTCGTTGATGTCACTGGGTCGATGAAATCTTGTGCAGCGGCTGTTTATAAATGGATGACATTATCTCATGAACGACTGTATAAAATCCAATACTATGTTTTCTTCAATGATGGCGATAAGAAACCTGACGCAAGTAAGGTAATTGGTAGTACAGGCGGTGTGTATGGTGTCAATACCGGTAATTTGGAAACCGTGGTACGTGTTATGAAAACAGCTATGTACAATGGTAATGGTGGTGACACTCCTGAAAATGACATTGAAGCACTGTTGTATGGTATCGAACAGTGCCCAAATTGTACCAATACGATTCTTATTGCTGATAATCAAGCAACACCACGAGATCTGGTGCTATTAGCCAACGTGACAAGACCTGTGAAAGTTATCGTTTGCCAAATGAATAATAATGCATTAAATCCAAAACTGATGGATATCGCCTTGAAAACACATGGTTCTATTCATACTCTCAAAGAGGATATTTTCAAAGTAGCGGACATCCCAATAGGTAGAACTATTACCGTCGGCTCTAGATCATACAGAAGAACGAATTCGGGCTATGTGCTAATTTAATATCGAAAGCCAGCTCTAAAACATTGGACTTTTCCTCATCATTTTTGTGCTATGCTTTGCTCTTTCGCAAAATAAAATTTCGCTTAACACTTTCAAATAATCAAAAGTTTACTATTGGTGAACCAATACTACTCAGCTAAACACATATTGCCAATGAATCTAACAGATGGCGCTGTAACCACTAGTTCATCTTATCAATTCAATTATTTTATGTGAACTATCTCAGTACAGAACAAATCTATTTACTTCTTTTCTTCAAGAAATCACATTACAATATCGACAGACAGCAAAAGCTTCTTACCTGTAGCTTTTTTCATTTTTCATTCTATGATTGATCGTCAGCTGCTCTGAATGAGTCATATATCGGCTCACCCCCATGAAGCATGATATTCTTTTACTTATGATTCGACCCATGTACTCTCATTTTCCGAATTTTAATTATATTTTACAGATGTGTTGATGTCTTTGCCGACACATTTGACCAATAGTGCTTCTCCATTACCATTCTTCTGTTCATCGAATTCTTTCGTTTTCTATCTCGGTAAGATCACTATTGAACACTTCTTACCGAAATTTATTCATCTTTCTCAAGATGATTCCAACACCTATTCTCAAATATTAACACTCTACAACCCGTACGATTTTGCTGTGCGATACAAAGGTTACCAAAGATGTCTCCTTTTCTTTTACATGTTATCTCCTAACAAAAAAATCTTATCTTCTAGTGCTATGCACAGCTCCTCGAATATACTCTATTGCCGAACCACAAGGTGAAATTCGCCCTCAACATTCAGTTGATACGTAAGAACAGTCAACACGGAAGATCATTCGAAATTTCTCATTTCTTCTTCCTAGGATTATTCGTCTTCTCGACACATCATCTTCATCGTCAAATCAAAACGTTGTACATAAAATTCGCATCCAATATTTCGATCGACGAAAACCGCAAGATCTTATTGGCAAACGAGATATCACCTGTACTATTCTATCTTATAAACCATCTGAAGAGAATTTCGATGAAGACAATAATCATTCACCGAATAGAAGCAAAGCATCGACCACACCCCTACCAACAGCAATAAAACCATCAACCAATTCACCTCTACAAGAAACTCGTAAATCCTCCATCATATCAAAGCATATTCAGGCGTTCTACTTTTATTTGCTTTTCCAGGAGATCCACTAGTTGTAACCATCCTCAGTATTCTTGGTATAATCTGTGCGATAATACTCGTTCTACCAGATAATGAAAATAATACGAATACACATTTACCATCATATTTGCATATGACAACCAACTCGAAAGTGATAGCTAGTTATATTCTTGGTATGTTGTACTTAGTCGAACAATGATTAATGATTGGTTTTGGATTTTTAGGTCTTTTAACAGTAGTCTTCATTCGACGATAGATTTCTCTATTGTTCTCTTTTCTTGTGTACATACGGTTCCTTTTTCTCATTATATTTTTGGTGCTGATATGCAAAGATTTCTGTGCCTTTTTTCATCAAAAGAAGATCGAAGTTTTGGCTATTTGTAGATTAAAGAAAAACCTTCTCAAAATGTCTACTCAAAGGCAAAAACCTGCTGAAGCATCATTTTCACAAAGTGTAAGTTAATGTTCAATTGTTACTGGTTCGAGATGACAATCGAATTTTTTCAACTAGACTGGTATGATCTATGTTTTTAATATTATTGTTGGCACGGGTGCATTAACTCTTCCAAACGCTTTTCATGAAGGCGGTTACGTGCTGAGCACTTTGATATTACTAATTCTGGGCTTCTTCAGGTAAACTTTCGTAACGAAACTTCTCTTAAAATGAACTTAGATTCTGTTATAGTTATGTCACAGCCACCTACATGGTTGAAGCGATGGCCATTGCAAATTTTATACGAAGAAAAACATTCAATCGGGTAGGTTGAGCGTGATCTTAGTTGAATGTAATCGAGTCCATTTATAATTTAGCGTCTTGGTACGATAATTCCACCGACTAGTGATGAAGAAGAAAATGTTGATCAATCAGATCGTGCTGCATTATTACCACCCGCTATTAATAGTGAAGGTAAATATTTTATAGTAAATTAATCATTAAATGATGATATTCTTCTATCTAGATGTGTACATGTCAAGGGGAGCTGATGAGCGACATAGCTTTGATATTGTTGAAAAAGTTGAAATGGTTTGTATTGATGGACATTAATGATTTGATAATGTGAATGAGATGAGTTTTGAACGAAGACATTAGTTCCCAAGGTACTAAATTTTGAGGCGTAATGAGTAATTTCCTTGGGAAAAGAGAACTGTTGTTTGTGACAGAGAATTATAAGCTATGGAGGATAATTAGTCATTTATCTATTTGGAATTCTTTAGGGTGAAATGGCCAGCATGTTTTTGAACAAATGTAAGTTTGACTTTTTTTTTTAGTGAGATAGTCTTAATGATGAGTTGAAATTTCAGTGGGTTTGATTATCTTCTACGTGTGTATATCATTATATCTCTTCGGAGATTTGACCATCTACGGATCAGCTGTTCCCAAATCGATTCGTGATGCTATCTGGTATATTGGGATATTGCTTTGAATGATATTCATTCTTTCACATTTTAGTACATACGAACCAATGAATTGTACGAAGTTGGAAATGTATGATTTGTGTTGGGAGAGTTCAAGGCTAACGCGTCACCATGTTTATCAAATCTTTGTGGTAAGAATATATTGAAAAGCAGAATGTGAAACAACTCTCTCTATCTTTCGAATATTCAAGGCTGTTTTTTTCTGTACATTGGGTTTATTTGTATTTGGTAATGCACAGAAAACCAAATTACTTCAATTATTTACAACTCTATGTCGCTGGACCGGTAACTCACAGTTCTTTAAACAACCAGAATGAATAAATTAATCGCTTTTCCATTTAGCTTTTCTGTCCATGATCATTCTTTGTGTCATCCACCTTGCCAAAAGGCCAAGCAGCGAAAAACCCATCCGTCCAGCTATATTCAACTTCCGTGGTCTTCCATCACTCTTTGGTACCTGCGTGTATAGTTTCGTATGTATCCTCATTCTGTCGACTTTCTTCTTCATTGTCTATTTTCTCCAGATGTGCCATCACTCCATTCCTAGTATAGTAGCACCAATTCGTTCGAAAAACAAACTTAAAAAACTTTTCGCCTATGATTATATATGCATCGCTCTGTTCTATTTATTGTTGGCATTAACCGCTGTCTTCACCTTCGAAACATTCAAAGATCTTTACACATTGAATTTTTCTCCCAAAACGAGCTGTTCTGAATCAAAAGTGAATGTACCTACAGTGTTAGCATATTTCATCATGTTATTTCCTGTGTTTACACTGAGCTCAAGTTTTCCGATTATCGGCATCACATTACGAAACAATTTAGAAACAATCTTAAAGTCCTGTGTGAAAGTCGGACGTCGACAACGAATTTTACTCGTTATTTTTGTTCTGCTCCTGCCTTGTGCCGTTAGCATAGTCACAGAAGATATTGGCTTTCTTGTAGGTTTTACCGGTTCATATGCAGGTGTTGCTGTTCAGTATGTCATACCAGCATTATTAGTTTACAATGCTCGACGACAAGCTCAGTTGAAACTTCGCCGACCGATATTCTTTGCTAATCAATCGGTTTTTCAAAGTAAATATTGGGTATTTGCTGTTCTTCTATGGGCATGGCTAGCAGTTATTGTGAATACAATTTATAACATTCTTAAAGCGAGAGGGTCAGTCTAATCAAATGTTACTCTCCATATTCGATGATAATTTTACATATATTCGGTGATTTTTTTAATGTAATTGAGATAATATTTGCATTTCTGCTCGGGTACTGTATTCATCCAGATAACAATCGATTGACTATGATTGATACAAAATAGTCATATGTAAGCTTATGCTTTGTTATTATTGTTAACTGTTTTTTTGTTGTTGTTATTCATTTTGTTCAACTTCTGTCTTTCCTACAACGAATAAAATCTGATAGATAATATCTTGAGCTGCATAAAACATGATTCCATTACATTCTGTAACGTTATTTTTAAACTTTAATACGGATTTACATTCATCCGAGCTTTTCCTCAAAATTTTGTTATCGCCAAGTAACAAAGGCTATCTCACGGAGGTTATCACGTATAATTTGGTCAAACGTGTCTTATCAGTAAAAAAACAAGAAGACGTTGCATAAGAAAACAATGTCTGAAAGTCGTAATTTGATGAAAAAAAAGACTGACTGAATGCCTAGATTATTTGCTAATTGTAGTATTTATTCAACAAGCATCGAATATCACATTTTCTTTAAACTATGTACTTCATCATTACGCAGCAACGGGATAAATGTTGACAAAATGCGTAGTTCTCTTCAAAGACGCGATAGAATCTCGAAACTACGTCTAGAGTCAAAAAACATACAAATAACAACGATAATATCGTTCACAATCAACATATGACAATTGTTTTTTGATACTCTGAAAAACGGTAGAGATCTGCACTCACCAATACACTCAAAGCACATTCGCTGGCTTCTTCGTATTCTATTTGTACGTACGAATCACTTTTCTTAAAACGTGTAGCTTTCATTTTTATGTGATCAGAGCATCATGAGAGTGCAAATGCGTTAGTCTCATGACTCGCTTGCTGTTTAGGTTAGTTTCTCTTTCTTTTTTTTATCGCTTTCTATATACTTTTTTTATCAAGTGCGTAGAATATGCTCGTCATCGCAGGCTGTTCTTTTCCTTTCGGGAAACCATGCCTATGCTGCGTGATGAGAATATATGGCTGGGAGAAAATAAAAACTGCTAGTTGTTTTTTTTCTCCCTTTTTGCTTTCTGTTCCTATATAAACACGTAGTTACTTCTTATTTTTCTTCATTCAGTTAGTCGATTTGTTTTGCAGCAGCAGTGACTGTTCGTTACAAATCGTGTTCTCGTATAAAACAAGTTCAATTATCATCAAAACTATTTCAACCATGTCAGCAGACAAAAAAAGTGACTCGCAACAACTTGATCGTCAACAAGCTCCCGTAGCAGCCAACCAACCACGGGAAAACCTTGTTCGATTGTATGCATTTGCACCTTTGCAAAAGAAAAACAACTTATTCAAACTTGATCTTTGTTTTTAGCAATTATCATGAAGATAATGAAGGTTTAGTCAATCGACAGATCAATTTGGAATTGTATGCTAGCTATGCATATACAGCTATGGCCCATCATTTTGATCGACACGATGTGGCTTTAAAAGGTAAAATGGCGCTATTTAAAGTTTGTTTGTGCATCGAACTTGATGTTGGACGCTTTTTAGGTCATCATAAATACTTCAAGAAAATGGCTGAAGAAGAATACGAACATGCAAACAAGTTCATGGAATACCAAAACAAACGTGGTGGTACAATTGTTCTTTTGGATATCAAAGTATGTGTATAGTGTTGTTTATTTGAGTGATAACGAGTTTTCTGTGCTAGAAACCAACCCAACAAAGTTGGAGCTCACCACTCGAAGCCCATGAAACGGCATTACAATTGGAAAAGGATGTTTATAAAGCATTACTTGAATTGCATAGCTATGCTAATCAACATAAGTAAGTTGCAATCGATTTCATTTGAACTGTGATTAAGAAAGACATTTCCGTTTTATTCAGTGATCCTCATCTGACAAACTATCTTGAAGAAGAGTTTCTTGATGAACAGGTAAGACAAGCTGATTACCCATGATTTCATTGTCATCTGTCTCTTTTCACGTATATCTAGGTTAAATCAATCAAAGAATATTCGGATTACATCACCAACTTACGCCGTGTTGGACCTGGTCTTGGTGAATATATCTTCGATAAAGAAGAACTTGGAGATTAGAATGCCGTTCTTGAAATTTCATCATAAAAGAAAAACATTTCATCGCTTTTTTTTCTTTTTCTTGATTTTGCATGTTCATTTACATCATTAACAAAAAACAAATCAAATTTTCATTAACCTCTGTATTACTCATTCTAATTATTTACTCATCTCACTTTATCGCGACATACAAATTTTCCTCTTTTGATAAAATTTGACAGTAATTATGCATACAAAATGAATGCACTTTTTCTATGCTGGTACAGGGTGCATAGGTTTCACCTAAATTTGCGAATCATCATTAAGAGTCGAACAAGGACGACAAGTGTAAGCATCAGTAAATACAACATGTCCTTGCGTATGCGCTTGCGCCTTCCTTGTTGAATTGGAAGGACTATTGAAATATAGAAAACGACATTGCATACGGCAGATTTTCATTGCTCGTCAGACTACGATGGTAGAAATGTGGGTTGTCTATTATTTTATTTTTTTCAATACAATCAATCAACGAATGACAAAGAAATCCCATTTGATATCCTCAGAACAAACACAAAACGAGACTGATATCAACTAATGTTTTATCTGGATTTATTTGTTAGTTTAATGAAGAAGGTTTTTTTTTCTTGAGTATATGTCTATCTAAATTGCACACGAGTGTTGTTGGAAACTGAAACAGAAATGAAAACAAATCGATTAGTTTAGAATTAGTTGAGAATATCTTCTTCCGAGCGACACGAATAGAACATAAAAACAACATACATACCACCTATTATAGATATAAAATAATAAAATCAAGCCTTCTTCTTCATCTTCTTCAGAGTTAAAATATTTGAAACTTCAACTTCAGCCTTCTTCTTCTTCTTCCGAAAGACTTGTTCAATGGTTTCTTTTTCCTTCGAATTCTTTTCTCATTGAACTTCATTCTTCAGTTATCTGTTTAGATAAACACACAGGAATACTTCTATTTTACCTAGATGGTAGGATAGACGTTTAGGACAACAAGAAAAAAAAATAGATCCAAGGATGGCATGTCAAGAGAGGAGAACTAACGAAATCTCGCGGCAAAACAACCATTCGAAATGTGGGTAAATAAATCTTTGAGTTACTTACGTTCATCTTTTGCTGATTATGAACGGGAACGAGAATGACGACCTAGAAAAGATATGAATAGATACGGTTTAATACCACATGTGTTACTTACGTGGTGAACGCGAACGTGATCGTGTTCGGGATCGACCCCGACGTACACCACGTGAACTTTGTTGTTCACTAAAAAGAAAACTTGTGTAAGATGACGCGAACAAAAGCAAATGTTCACTTACGGTGCACCCATATAAATTCCAGGTGTTCGATCATGTGGCTTATCAGTAACTGAAAAGTCAACTCGAACTTTTTGGCCATCGATATCCATGCCATGGGTTTCTTTTTTCGCCTGATGAAAAGAAAAGTCAAACTATGATTGCGGTTGAAAAGAAAATTCATTTACTTCTTTTGCATCTTCTATGCGTTCGTAATAAATGAAACCAAAACCACGAGATCGGCCTGTCTAAAATGGAAAAACGATGACATTCATTTGTATCAGTCGAAATTTTTCGAGCTCGAACTTACTCCTCGGTCGTAGACAATATGAACGTTGCTGATACGTCCATATTTAGAGAAGATACGCCGAATATCACGTTCCTCTGTGCGTGATGATAAACCAAAAACCCCTAAGACTTTGCTTGGCGTTGGATTAAGTCGTTCAATGTCATCCTTAGCGTCCGCTCCTCCACTGCGACTTCGGCGACGACGCGATGAAACTGGTGATCGACGATAGTGACGCCGACGATGCTCACGGTACGGTGATCTACAAGAACATTATTGGATAGATATTGCTCAATTACGAGAAATATACAATACCTTGATCGAGATCGAGATCGTGATGTTGATCGACGAGGCTGAATTAATAGAAAAAGACGATGTTATTCTTAATAAATATCATTCAAACGGATCATTACCATAGTTGTTAACAGATTAAATTGTGTAACCGACTGACTGACTGACTGACAGACAAAATATAACAGTGAGCTGACTAATGTTAAAAGTCGGTTGCCAATAGAGATTAAGTTCTCAAATATTATAATGAATATTTTATGAGAATGCTGACGCTGGCAAGATATTTATTTTTCGTGATAAAATTAATAAAATTTGTTAAAGCAAACACTCTTTACTCTATTCCTTTGTTGTCTGATTTATAGCGACAACTATCGATTAGCTCTCGCTAGAACGTCTGTATCGATAGTCTGACAAAATCTTGATAGTGTAAAAGTGCGACAGGTTAGTCACAAGTATATCTAGAAAGAAAAACAGCCTATTCGTTCATCGATCATTTCAATGTCAATACATAGCTAAGGGACCGACACACATATAGATGTGTATGATTACACTTCACTCGATCGTTATTTTGCTGGTAACTTTAGCGACTTTTTCTGAAGTTTTGTACAGATGACGCTTGACTTCTTATCTTTGTTTGACTTTTAGTTTCCAGATTGGGTTTTGTGAGATTCAATTGACAAATCTGCTTATCACTGACCTCTATGGTTAACCTGTACGTGTATTGAAAAAGTTGAACCAATAAAATTCAAGACTGAAACAATGATATAGTTTCGTTCTTACTCACTTACTATTCAGCTATCAAACGTGGTCAAATTTCTTGTCAAAGACAATACTATGTATCCAAATCCCATGCAACAATCTCAGCAATCGCCATTAATGCAACGGCCAACGATGATGATCAATCAATCGGCTGTACCACAACAAAATCCTGCTGTTGGTGTTCCAACAATGAGACCAATGGTTGCCTCATCGCCGATGCAAGCATCAATGCTTCAGCAATCACCTCAACCACAGATGATGGTACGCCCCGTAGGCAGTCCTTACGGAGTTGTGAATCGTACACCAATGTACGATAAAAACAAACGTTCTGTTTATTCCAATGATATTCGCCAACAGCCGATGGTTCCACCAGGACAACAGCCTGGTATGAGTTATGGAAATGTAATGGCTCCAAATCAATCAATGATGCACAATACAATACCACCGAATGCTGGTGGAGGTCCAATTCGACAGTAAGCAACACGGTGCTGCTTTTCGATACACACCTATAGCTATTCTCATGTAGGAAGAAACGAAAGCGTCTAACAGAAAAAATAATTCACAAACAAATTCGTTCACTTGTACCTGAATCACAAGCATATATTGAATTATTACGCCTGGAACAAAAATTGGATTCTGTTTTAATGCGCAAACGTCTAGATATTCAAGAAACACTGAAACGACCTCAAAAAGTAGATCGCATCATATGTTTTCATCTCGAATATTTACTTCGCCGTTTATTTAGATAAAAAAGAAACTACGTATCTTTATCAGCCATCAATATCCCGTTCGTTTCGATACCGATACAACGGGGATTGATGATGAGCAGGTGCAATATTGGGAAATGCGTGTAGAAGGTCGTCTACTTGATGATGTAAGTTATCCTTTCTAGCCATAACAAAATATAAATTGACACTTATAATATTTTCTAGCCGAATACAAATAAATACGATCAAGGAAAAGCCAAACGTAAATTCTCCTCATTTTTTCGTAGTCTAGTCATCGAGTTAGATAAAGATCTGTATGGACCTGATAATCATCTTGTTGAAGTAAGTAGACTTGGATTTGGAGAATAAAGAGTTATAAAGAAAACACATTCAACATTTGCAGTGGCATCGTACGAATGCAACAGCTGAGACCGATGGTTTTCAAGTCCGTCGACCGGGTGATCAAAATGTGAAATGCACTATTTTAATGGTTCTTGATCATTCAGTGAGGAGCACTATGAATGAAATATTTTAGGAACAAGTTCTTCTTCTATTTTCAGCCACCACAATTTCGACTTGAATCTCGTCTAGCTCGTTTACTTTCATTGACGAATGGTACACGGCAAACAATTATCCATGCCGTGTGGCAATATATTAAAACGCATAAATTACAAGATTCTGAAGAACGTGAATTCATCAATTGTGATTCTCATTTACAAGCAGTCAGTATCATAATATTTGAAAGTTCGAAACTCTTCTTAAACGTTTGCTTTCTCTCATTCAGATATTCGACTGTACTCGTCTTCGTTTTTCTGAACTTCCAGCTAAACTCAATAAATTCATTCTCCCATCTGAACCTATTATCATTAATCACACATTGTGGTAACATACGGTTTTTGTTGCTCATGATTTTCTAAGATGATTCCATTGTAGTCTTGGAACAGATCCAAAGAAACATGCTTGTTACGATATAGACGTTGAAATTGATGATCCCGTACGCGATTCGATGCGTACGTTTCTAGGACCTCAAAGTACAAGTGAATTAGAAGAATTAGATGGCAAAGTAAGAATAAAATTTACCATGCCTTGCAGAAAAATTACAATGAATTGGAAATTCTTATAGATTTTACAATATATTGATAGCATAAATCAATTGAAACAAAGTCGTGAATTTTATCTCTCATTTGCTGATGATCCTCAAGGTTTTATTTGTAAATGGTTGGCGTCCCAATCGCGTGACTTGAAGGTGATCACTGATTCAACGACAGGAAATGCTGAAGAAGAGCGACGGGCTGATTATTATACAGAACAATGGTCTTATGAAGCTGTTAGTCGATATTTTTACAATAAAGTTCAACAAAAACGAGTTGAACTAGAACAAGCACTTGGTATTCGCAATGCTTAAACTAGAATCAAATGAACAATTCATTCCTTTTTTTGTTCCCTGTTTATATGCGTGTGTCTAGTTAAACTCAATGTATAAACATGAAGTCTGCAATCCTTTCTCTTTGTTTACAGATAGTCAAGCTTTTATTCTAATGGAACAGATGAACGTCAAATTGAATAATTTCTTATCTAAGAGACTGACAAAAGCTGATCATTCTGATGATCGTTATTTGTCTAAATCATATCATTTAAGTGTCTTCATGGCAATTTACAAGTCTTTGCTTTTTCAATTTTTTTGACTAGAAAAGACATCCACACGCATCCTTTCTCAATTTCATTCTAGATGACACTCTATATTGAAAGTGAACTTCTCCTCGATAGCCATTGTCGAGACTTAAACATATGTGATCCCGGCATTGACAATGATTATTTGATAATATCATCGAATGATCGATGCTCTTGTCCGAAACGACGAGCAATTCTGTGTAAATCTGCCCATGACTCATGTCGAACTTCTTGTTCGTCCGAGCAAATTTTGTACATAAAACAACAGAATCAGCAAAATGAAATTTCAATTAATAACTCTCCAGTAAATGTTGTTCTATTAAACAAGGACGAATTAGCACATAATTCGGAAATTGTCTACATCTGTCAAAACAAGAACTTACCGAAAATAATGCATGAACACTTGAACAACAAACTGTCATATACTAATAATTGCCCAATTGATTTATCACTGACTAAGGTATGACTAGTTTGCAGTTAAAACGAAGTTGTATAATGATGCTGTTTTAGACACCAATCGGTAGTTTCCTATTGAGACATAGTGTTTTAGCACAAAGCATCTATGGAATGTATTTAACTATGCAACAGATCAAAGGCAATTGTTTTCAATTAAGGTACCTTTTTCCAATCTTCTCTAATCTTCAAATCGTACTAGTAAAGATCAATATGGTTTAGACGACGTGCTAATCTGGGCTATTTGTTGGCGAATATAGTTGTTGGATTTCTCTGTTCATTTCTTCTCTTTCAAAACTTTGAATTCAATGATTCAATATCCAGTGAGATCTCGTCACAAACCAAGGTAAATCACTTCTTCTTTCCTAACCCTATTCTCATTGTTTATGAAAATAGCAATTGACTATATGGATCAAGTCCATCATTGAATGGCTTATGCATGCACCTGCTGGTTTGAAACTAAATCAACCGTTAGTAGACTTCCTCGCACGATTTTATTTCTATCATATTTATCTCTGGTCGGGTTATCTCGAAGCTTTGCTTATTACTGTCTTACCACATCTATTTCAATTATTGTTCGTACTGTGTTTCTTCGGTTTATCGATTGCAATTGGCGCTATCTGTGATTTTATGCGTTTGTTAACTATTCATTTGTATTGTTTTTACATCTATGCAGCAAGGTATGTTGATTTATGATTGTAATGAGACTAGTTGATTGATTGTGAATGCGTTTAGGTTATTCAATTGGCAAATTCATTTATTGATTAGTCTCTTTCGTTTGTTTTGTGGTAAAAAACAAAATCCATTGAGAAATAATCGACTTGACTCTCATCTCTGTGATATTGATCAATTATTTATTGTGACTTTATCATTTACAATTCTTCTCTTTCTCTTACCATCCATTTTTATGTACTATGCAGTTTTTACTTTGGTAGGGTAAACACATCAACACTACTCGAACGATTGTCCTTTCGTTTGAACTGATTTAGATCTATACCGTAGCAATTTTGACTGTTAAAATTATTCAATATTTCAATGAATTTCTTTTGCAAATTCCTGTTTATGAACTCTATCTGTGGTTCACAGGATCTGGAGTTACGCGAGGTGAGTTCTCTATTCGTTGATTATCGCTTCCTTAAAATCGAAAATTCCCCTGCTAGGCACACCAAAACTATCGATCAATTACACATATTCAAATCAATCTACTGTCTGTTTTAACTTTCATTTCGATCGTGTTTCATTTGTGACTTTATATCGTGTTTGTAACATTCGTCCATCGTTATCGTCTTTATCTTTGACAAAATTTCTCCTTGCAATTCTGCGTGGTCGTCCAACATTCTAATAGAAATTCCACTTCGGTCGCTTTCTTTTTCAGATTAGAATGAGTAATGGTTCATTAACTTTATTTGATCGATATGATGTTGGTTGCGAACTAGGGAAAGGCACTTACGGTATCGTTCGGAAAGCTTTTGATACCCGTCAGAAGCATCATGTGGCGATTAAATGTGTCTGTCTTGGCGAAGAGGGCATTCCCAGCACTGCTCTACGTGAAATAAGCTTACTGCGATCTTTAAAACATCCGAATATCATTCGTTTATATGATATTCAGGTACATCAACCAACTGGAGAACTATTTCTCTTTTACGAATGTATGGAAATGGATCTGTATGAATATATGAAATTATATCAGAGATCTCTGCCGGAAGATTTATCGAAAAGTTATCTAAAGCAAATGCTGTTAGGTATTGATTATATACATTCAAATTCGATGTTACACCGAGATTTAAAGCCTCAAAATAGTAAGATTTGAAAATACAAATAGAAAACCAAGCAAATATTTTTTTCCTTTTGTGTAGTTCTGATTGATTGGATTGGATCGTTGAAACTAGCTGATTTTGGACTTGGAAGACATTTTCAAATGCCTATGAGGATGTACACACATGAAGTAAAGACGAATAGGAGTGCTCGTTTGCCATTTTTGATGTAAAACTATTTGCATTTTTAGGTTGTAACACTTTGGTATCGTTCACCTGAAATTTTACTCGGTGCAAAAACGTACACTACTAGTGTAGATCTATGGAGTATAGGCACAATATTTGCGGAAATTACACACAATCGAGCTTTATTTGCTGGTGAATGCGAAATCGATCAACTCTTTCGAATCTTTCGAACACTTGGTGATTATTCTGCGAATTCCGAATGAACTTTCATTTCTGATGTTGTTTATTTAGGTACGCCTGACGATACCATTTGGCCAGGATTTTCCTCAATGCCCGATCATAAAAAAACATTTCCTCAATGGAAAACGCAAGACATGTCTCAACTATTATCAAATTTTACTTCGGATGCTCTTCAATTGACACTTCAAATGCTTGTTTATGATCCAGATCGACGCCTCACAGCGAAAGCAGCACTCGAAACTGCTTACATTCAATCAATTCCATCACAACTAGTCATTCCACCAGCAATCAAAACTCCTAAATCATCTACAAATCAATCCAATAGTTAATCAAAGCGCTATATTCTGTCTTTCTCTTTACGATGTCAGATGATATTCTCGCTCTATCATGTCAAATAAATATGCACTATTTTTGTTGATAAATCACACTCAATCGATGTTAATCATCAATTCATTAACTAGACATGATCATATTAAACTGACATTTTTCTCAGGTACATTACGAGAAGTAACTGATTTGAATATGAACTGTTGATCGATTCAATTACACTCTTATTGTGTAACAATCTACGCATACAAACACCTACGAAAAAAAAACAATCGCTCTCGAAAGTCATGTGTTATGAAGTCTATTTGTACAACGATCGTACATGATTAATAAAACCAAAACAATCATTACTAGGGTCATCATATAAAGACACTCTTCCTCAAAAAGATCCGTTCACCTTTCGAGTAAATCTTCAACGAAATTAAGAATTTCAATATGCTCAAAATGCAAATATCTATTTGTTGTACTGTTTGCCAATATTGATCGCTTTAAACAAATAAATCTGTTCGTCATTATATTTGCATTTATTCAATAAATGGCTACGTAAAAGACGCGTTTGTATTTGTTCTACGAAAAGATATTTTCTTCTATGAATAACAACAAGCGTTCGATATGTGATAGTGGGTTTTTAGACAACGAACTTCATTCTAACATTTGTTGTTAAATTGCTAGACGTATAACCAGATCACCTGATCTAATAAGTGTCACCTAGAAATGCTCATTGACACTCGCGCATCTTGTGTTAAATGTTACTTTTTACTACGAGATCGAAATGTCAATTGAAGAGGTCAACATTCTTTTTCTCTTATTTCATAGATTCAGATAGGAAGAGAACAAATCTCTCTCCTTCTCTTCTCGTAAGCTTGCATATTTGTTCATCGATTTGTCTTACATAATTCATGTTGAAAAAGAAAGATGACACAAATTCATTTTCTTCTTCTTCTTCTCTTTATCTATTTCTTCGACATGCATTGAATATTTATTGACTCATTATCTGATCGAACAGGAATGGTTCGACTACTCGGTCGGTGCCTCCCGATAATATGTCTGTCCAGAAAAAAACGACAATCTCTACCGATTTGCGAACAGAACAATGGCGGAACGAAACATCATCAAGACGAAATCAATAAACTCTTCGTAAGACGCGTGGAAAGTATTCGGGTTACTCAACAAGGAGCTATATTCAAACGCTTACCGTGTCAAACGTTAGCTGAACGTCAACAGCAGAAGAAAATGTAGGTTTCTGTTGAACAGTTTTTCTTTTCATTATTTTGTCTGTTTGTTTAGGAGAACTAAAGAAAGAATTCATCGGCACGAGAAAGTGATCAAACCTGATGATACTGAGTTTGATTGCGAAACTCATATCTCCGACCGACAATCAAAACAAAAAGCACGAGTCAAATCCAAGAAGAAATCTAAAGACAATGACAAAACGACAACTTCATCACATCCGGGTACACCTGCCGAAAAGCCTTCTCATCTCAAAACAAAAGGATCCAAATCACGGTCACCTTCACCATCCAGTATCGATGATATTCTCGAAGAAGACAAGTCCGAGAGTACGAACAGTAGTTTATCTTCGACATCATCAATATCATCGGACTGGTCAACAACAACGTACCCTGATTCACAGAATAGTGAAAAAAGCGAAGAACTAATCATGAATCCTATCCAGCGTCGTCAATCGATGCCATTAGCGAATGGTACAAATCGAAATGATCCACTGAAGCATCGATCATGTGTGGAAAGCTTTTACCTTGGTAGAGAACATGTCCGAGCATCGTCGTCGCCATCACAAACGAAAGCATCATCAAGAGCCGTCAAAGAAGAGCGTTCGAAAGCGGATCGACGAAATCAAATGAAATCGCCTGGAAAAAGCAAACAAGTTTTACAAAACGTTCGAAAAATGATTAAAGATCAAAGTATCCAAGAGCAACATTTCAATGATACACAACAACGAGAATCAGTTCGATTATAAAAGCAATTTTCAAACATTTTTAGGCATAACTTCACTCTTTTTTTCCTTCATTTTGCCTTTCTTTTTATTTGTGTGTAGTCGAAGATGCGCTAATTAAACCGAAAGAAATCTAGATTGATCACTGATGGTATTTGTCTTTACTTATGAGGAAGAAATTATTGAGGATTATACGAACGTGCTCTAACGGTTACTTGGTAATCGTATTAGATTCTCTAGAAATAAGCAAAAGTTCACGACGACAATCAGTGGACGCGATCATGTTCTCTTCTTCACTTAACACGTGTAATAAAATACGACATTTTCATGATTATTTCTCTCAAAAAAAACACACACACAATTCATCGTACAAATGTTTAAATTCGACTTTTCGATGTAATTAGTTGATGCAATACATTGGCTTCGATAATCAGTTCTGAAGGTATGTTATCGATCAATGTGACGTCATTATTTCCTAAGTACTCTTCAATTTTCTTCTCGATTCCGATTTGTGCTTTGACTAATTCTGAAATCGGTTTGGTTTCGTTCTGTCTGTATTTTTCGTCGTAGAGACTTTTGTTTTGCATGATCAAGATTGGATATTCACCATAACATCGCCGTTTCAGTTCGTTTCGAATGGCGTCGCTCTGTAAGTGATTCTGGGCTGCTTCGGCAACAGTATACATTGATAGAAGCTCGGAATTAGCGTATAGTTGAAGATCTGCTGCATCGAAACTCGTGCTTGTCGAACATATTGACGAAGGTTTGCGTACACTAGACGAATGTATATTGAATGGTATTACATCAGGCTTCGGTGAGCAATCATCTGACAGAACTATATGTTCTTGGTTAGATGGGAAATGATTGTGTGAGTTGTGTAGATACGGTGGCGGTCCAGGCATTGAAATGTGTTCTTGATGATTGATGAATACTCCTGCATTTTGAATTATCGGGGAATAATATGATGGTAGAGCTGGCATTGGTGATGGATCATTTTCGGATGGATAAGGAGGTGCATTTAAATGAGAAAATCCGATGGATGTTTTCGTTAGACTAGATACTTTCTTTTCTGTTGACTTGAGTTCAGTATCTGGAATAGGAAGTGGACCCTTTGGTTGTGAGGGTATAGATCGAGTAGGTGGCGGAAGGGACAAATTCAACGGCGGGGGTAGTTGAGGAAATAGGGAACCAGTAGTCGGATAGGGCGATGAAGAAGAATTGATTGTAGAAGGAGGAAGTGTTTGTTCAGGATCAGTTTCATTTTTCTCTTTTGTGTCCAGTAATGTTTGAACAATGAAATTTTCGATTAGAAGCTCCGCATTGACATGAACAATCTTCAAAATATCTGCGTCAATGATCCTTTGAATTTGTTTTTGCAATTGTCGATACACATAACTCAATTCTTGAACAGATTTCTGACTGTACTTTTCTAGGCTTTTTTGAATGAAGATCATCTCGTCGGAAGTTAACAGCGGACTTGTTGATTTGCCCTGTAGACGTTGATGAAGCTCACTTAAAATCAATGTAATGACATGTGGATCGATTGTATTATGATAGAGTTTGATTAAATCATCAGTCTTTTGTGATTTGATATCAATGGATTTCTCTTTCATTGGCTGCTCTCGATCGATGATTTGCATCGGCGAACGTCTCTGTCGGTTTTTCTCTTGATTTTCTTCGACTAAACGCGTAAAGTTCATTAACTTTCGAATCAAACTATCCGTTTGTTTCTTGATTTCCTGATTTTTCAAAAGATTGACATCTGTATTCAACTGCCGAATCAAATATTGAAATTCTTTCGCTAGATTAAACGACGAACACAACTGACACAGTTGCACCGATTTCATTTTCATTTCTCGGATCTTTTCTTTCAAAGCTTTCTCTAAGAATGCCTTCGTTTCCGAAATCGTCATGATTTGTTCTTGATAATTGGTTCGGTCCGCTTGCGCTTGGCCATATTTCTGTTTCACATCATTCAGAGCGTCATGCAATTTCTCTTTTCTGATACGAATAGCTTTCTTCGCGTGATAATGATGAATATAAGAACAATGGTTCGGACATTGTTGACATTTGCCGTTGAACATCACGACACACTGCGCAAAGATTTGTGCACCGACCACTGTCGTTTCATCCAACCGGCAGTTATTATGACAAACTTGATTACATTTAGCACACAGCGTGCTATGATAATTAGCATCGACAATTTCGATTTTTTCGATCGTTTGTTCTTGAAGGTGAATTTGATAGGTTTGTTGAACTGCTTGTTCCAATTGAGATAATTCGTCTTGTATTTTTTGTATTTGAATCAGCTCGAGACGCGCTTGGTGCATGACGGATCGTATGTCATTACGTGTTTGCTTTAGCTGAATAAAAGAATCAATTGAAATTTGTTTGAATGAGTCAACTGTTTGTAGTATAGACTTGATTTGGTGCATCGAATGTTCCCAATTGGATTGGAGCTCTTCGCGGGTCGAACCTTTCCACATGCGAGAATCGGATGCGAATGCGCCATTTTGCATATAGAATGGATAGACATTTCCGTGTAAATTCAAGACACTCAAATCGAATGATGATTCGTGTTTTTTAACATTTGTTAAGATGACAAGAACATTTTCTAAGATAACATCTGGAATATTTCCAATCAAAAGATCAATAAATCGCCGAAATTGACGTGTTAATCGACATATCGATCCATTAACAACAATAATAATCGAAGTTAAATTACCGAGATCGGTAATGGCATCGATCATGTGGTTGATGTTCATTTCATTTTGTTCATGACCACGTGTATCGGAAAGACCGGGAGTATCGAGGAAAAGATATTGTTTATTCGTGTTGGAATCAGTGAATATATATTGAGTACACGAGCTCGTTTTCGATTGTGTATTATCATGAATGTTTGATTCGCTGTGTGAGAAATGCTCGGTCGGGTGTGGATGATATTTGCATGGAACGGCTATGTTGAGATTGTTTAAAGTTCCATTGTGAAAATAGTTTGCTAAATAGTTAATGATGGTCGATTTTCCCGAACCAGTCTCACCAATCAGCAAAACTTTGGAGATATTTTCGAAATTTGACCGTTGTTGAATGAGAAACAACGCGGGATCGACAGAGTCCGGATACGACATTACTCAATATATCAAACAGCAATCAATCTAAAAAAAAAATCCTCAACTGACTTTTTATGACGGAAAAAAGCCCGTACACTGATGTGTTACTCCTCATAATAAATACGTCATCGTGTGCATAACGACGTCATCGTTCTATTTCTCGAAAGTCGAGACTGATAAGAGACTTTTCTGGTATCTGATCGATGATAACTCAATGAACAGATTTCTTTGAGTTTCGACTGTTCAAATGCATTCTGTTCCGATTCTAAAAACATCTTACCTTCACTTCAAACTAATGTGCGCATTATGACAAACATCAAACGTACATAAAAAAAGGTAAATTTATGCTTTTCTTCGATATGCTCGAACAGAAACCAATAAATAAACTAAGTGTATCGGTCATTATGCATCTCTTTCGTTTTGCCTGTTTGTAGTTGATTTCCTCCCGAAAAACAAACGTCACTATCGGAATTTTCCAACTTGGATTCAAACAGTCATAAAAACTTTCGAGTATTGATTTTACTCGTACGAAATTCAGAAATTTCTCTCGCTGCCAAGTTGTACTTTTCTGTTCGTACATCATTTCGAATCTTTTCATGCTGGTAAATCGATCACATGGTTGACATTCACAAATTGTTGTAAAATTTATTTTAAATCTGAACATTTCTCGTTCTGTAAAAAAAACGAGACAGCATTCATTCTTTCTTCCATCCATCCATGGACATACAATTTTTGTCTGTCTGAATGAAAGAAACAAGTCGCCTGATAGATGTCACTTCGAATTACTCTTTTATTGATTAAATTGAAAACAAAATGTAATTAAATTTCGATCCGAATCGAAAAAGCTGGTTATTCAATATGACTCAAGTCGTACAAACAGATCGTTTTCATGATGAACAATTTCGAGGTCGTTACCTTGAAAACGTTCTTTTCAAAATATTGACCGATGGAAGAACATAATGCAGCACATTTTCTCTCTATATAAATAGCATTCGATACAAAAAAAGTACACCGAAATAGAAAAAGAAATCGCTTCCGACTCGATCACCAGACATATTTTTCGTTTCAGAATCATATTCCATTCGAAAAAAAGTATGAATAGCGAACAAATGCTCTTTTAATTTACATATACATGCGTATTCATCAGTCGATGAGAGTCGATTCAGTATCGTAAGTCATCGGTCATGTTAAGACTTTTTAGAGAAGATCATCATTACCATAAGAATGTTCACATCAGTCAACACTTGTGTTTTGTTTAAGCAAACATTGACTTGATACAAAGCCGTAGAAGTATCGATTGGTAGGACTCAGTATTGTTATTTGAATATACTTTCAGATAATAAATCGATGGCTCTGAAACGTAAAACACGTAACTTACCTGATTTGAACGACGTTGACAAACGCAATCAAGTAAACCGATTTGTTTTGAAATGAATCTTTTTCTAATCTTTTTTCTTCAAGATGTCTTTTTTCGATCCGGTTTACCAGAATGATGGTGAAAGCGATGGCGAATTATCAAGAACGAGCCTGTCTCGTCAAACATATCGAGAACAAAATGCCGATGAATCAACCGAAACATTGAATGCTAATACAGCAGCACAAGATGACGAGGATGAAGAGCTTCCTGACGATCAATCTGCAGAAGTCGAATAAACCATCAAGAGAAATGAGTTTGGATCAGAATGATTTTCTCTTTAGGCATCAACAGCACGAATCGTCGCACGAGTCAAACAAATTCAACATTCGATCGAACAAGCGCAGACAATGTTAGATTCAATGGACAAATACAAACATTTGGTTGTAAGTTGATCGAATTTGCGATTTCATTCAGAGATAATGAGTGTCGATTTTTTATTCATAGCCCGGAAGTGAGGACCAATGTGACAAGCTTCGCGTAATTATATCGAGCCTTGAAGAACAACAAGCGGGTTATATGAATCTACTCAATTTGATTACAGTAAATATCAGACTAAATCAGAGATTTTGTACTTGAAAAAAGACGCTCGAATCATGACCTTTGAATCGAGCGTATTCACATTTTTTCAAAACGATTCCTTCAGGGTATTAATTGTTTACTCTTTTCATCTCTCAATGACATTTACCTGTGGGATATCTTCTTATGCACAGAGCTATTTTTTCGAACCAGTATCAATTCACTACTGTTTAGTTAACGAATGAAGAAAGATCAATGCTAATCAGTAAAATTTCGGCACTTGATCGCTCGGCTCCTACAAATAACAACGATCAATTAGACGAAGACGATGAAGAAGAGGCAGGAGGAGAAAAGAATGTATGTATTTATAGAGCTTTTTGACACGAAAACTCGAGTTTTCTTTTGGTTATCGATCAGGCCAAACTGGCGATTCAACGAAAAGTTCAATTTCCCAACAATTCTCGACTTGAGAGTAGAGTTGGTTTCAATATCTCGACGACATCCAATCAGCCAGCTATAAACACGTCTGATAACGAACAAAATACTCGTAATGATAATTCCAATTACGACTCGCTTGTCGGTAGTCTCAAAAGTGATACAATCAATTGGAAAGATCAACAGTCAACAGTATGCTTTGCGACAATATCATTTTTCTTTTCATATCATTGAGGTTTTAACTCTTCTAGTCTGGCGATGAGGCGAGTGATGTTGAAAGTGAAAAAGAAATCGAAAGAAGTTTAATGCATCAAAAAGAACAAGTAAAAGAAACGTTTTATTTGATATCGACTTAGATCAACTTTCATTTCTTTTCTTCTTATCATAAGCTGAGGGCACTGCAAGGTCAAAAACGTGCTCTACTAGCGTTGAAGAAACGTTCAGAACAACGTTTACTCGAACAACAACAAGAGTTGCTCAACCAGACATCGACTGTGCAAAGCGAAGATCCAACAGAAAAAAATCTTCTGTCGGATATAAACAATCTTCGAGATCGGTATGAATGAATCTTCTGATATTGATTGACTTGAATTGAATTCTTTTAGATTACAACTACTTCGAAGTCTTTATGAACAAAAACATGAAGTGGAAGTTCAACAGCTGACAAAGTAAAAGAAGTTTTATAGATAATCGAATTTAAAATGTCAAAATTTCAGTTCAACGAAAAAACCAAGGAAACCGGCTGAAAATCGTCAAGAGAATCTACATCATGTTCGTCAACAGTTGGATGAGTTAGAGAAAATCATCACCTATTATCAATTCGATCTAATGGATCCACCCGAAGAAGAAACAACAGTTTTTGAAGAAGATCCTATTCGACCAGACGATGTTCAACGTCTTAAATCGCTTTTGGATCAACAAAAGCTGCAAGCATCACCACCTAAGCCCAAACAGCCACTGGATAAACTATCCAATGAATTAGCAGCAAAACGATTGTAAGTCGATTTCGTTACGAATCCTTCTGTTTCAAGTCTAAAAAAATCTCTCTATAGAGAACTCGAACAAGCAAAATCGGCTCTTACTCGGCTTCAACAAATGGTCAAAACAATCGAACCAGACCAACCTTCAACTTCCAATAAACCAACGAAAAGCAATGAACAAAACGCTTCATCTCTTCCAACTGCCAGAACATCACTACAAGCGAGTGGTCAAACAACTGATAAAACTAGTTCTATTCTGACGACAAATACTTATGCAGATGTTCAAATGGCAGCACAACATCGAGAAATCGAACGTCTAGTTGAATCGCGTCAACGATTACAGACACTGAAAGATCAGATTGCGTCACTGCATCAAAGTGTGGCAACATCACCTACACCTTCGAAAAGAGGTTCGGGAAAAGAGAGAGAGAGGAAAGATCAGTTATTTATTCATCTATATTCTTTAGATACAATACAACTTGAGAAACAACGTCCGAAATCAGCGTATGGGAATCAAATAGCTTCATCACAACGCCGACAAAACAATGATGATGAGTTGGAGTTCGATCAGCTAGAATGCGAATCAGGCGACGGTGAAGAAACAGATGAAGATACCGGTATTTCAATTACGTGAAAAATTGTATAAAATATGTTATTTGCCGTTTCTAGATGAAGAAGTTCAGCGAACCCCGATCAAGCAAGAAGTCAGTTTCATATTTCACTCTTTCCGATTCAACTGACATATTTTTCTAGAATTTTCGTACACCCGAAGACATTGTTGCTGAACATGAACGCAGTTTGTTGTCAAACAAAAGATCCGCTGAAAGCGAAGATTTAAGCGGTCAGATGCGGGAAATTTGTCGTTGTTTATCAACATTCATTCAAGAGCAAAAATCTTTCAACCGTCACATCGAAGAACATTTAACTGCAGCAACAAGCAATTCCTCACGAGCATCTATACCCTCCACAACCAATGTCAGTGGAGACATGCTCTTCAATCAATTACAACAACAAGTTCTTACACAAGGATTAATCGTTAATTTAAACACCGCTTATCGAGAAATAGCCGTCCTACAATCAGAAATCAACGCACTACAATCGGAAAACAATCGCTTATCATCATCATTATCCTCCTATGAGAACGAAGCACAATTGAATTCAAAGGAATCGATTTATAACTCAGCTCGAGCTAAACCAATGCCTCCGCCAGTGCGACCAAAGTTGAATGAATACGTTCAACCAATGAAACCGTCTTTATTAGGAGATTACAATCGATTCGAGAATTCAAGTAAAACATCATTCAATAGCCAAAGCACGGGAAAACGAACGGCGATCAATTTCGATAGAAATCAAATGGAAACAACACCGACTAAGCATGATAAAAATGGTAATGCCAACTATCGGTTAAATTTTGTACGCTTAAACTTTTTCCATTATTTCAGGAATATTCTCTACTCACAGTTTAGCATCACCGAAACCGACTTACTTAAATTCGAAGCAGTTATCCGATGAATATGAAATCACTTCGAGTCAATACCATCGTTCATCTAAAGGTGTACCCTCGAAATCGTTCATCATCCGTCGTCGACCAATAACAAATGACGATGACAACACTCTGGCAAAACCGCCCTCGGCTGATTATAATCAACGCTTACAACAGAATACATTCGATGATGACGACGATGACGACGACGACGACGAAAGCGATGATGAAGAAGAAAAAGATAATCTTTCGCGAACGATTTTCAATACACAATTAACATCTTGTCTTTCCCCGTCATCTCAAGTATGGTAGATTAGTTAAAAATAAAACTGCACTTCCTTCTTTTAGGATTTCGATAATGTCGATATTCAAACACTGAACTTACAAGTAAAAGCGATTATGGTCCAGTTGATTCCGTATGTATATCAATAGATGAAATATATTTCCGAAAAGAATACCTTTGTTGTAGATTTATGCGTCTACAAATTAACGAAACATTCAATCGTTCACTTTTGAACAACATTCGCGATCGTCTTATCTTTCTGTTCAAACGACAACCGGATACGGTTGACCTGGTTACTCAATTTCAGGATCAATTTTCTGAGTCACTTGAAAAAATGATTGATAAATATTGTGGAACGATGTAAGTCATATAAAAAACTTCATTGTTGAATCAAATCTGTCTTCATTCAAGGATTCGTGATTGTGCTGCTGATCTCATTCGTGACATATCGGATGTTGTCTTCGACGAGTTAGTAAAATACAAAGTCATCAAAGACACTACCGACGCAACTCAAACAATAAATGCTGATGAACAAATGACAACGACAGAAATCAAACAACGTGATGATTATTCCAATATCGTACGTGTTGTTTCGAACAGACGGAGAAACATTTATGATTTGGTTGTTTTAGTTTACTTCAGCCGCGTTGGAATCAACACGAGAAACTTCATTACTGGATGACGGTGAAAATGAAACGAAATATCAAATCGAACTAGCAGAATCTGAAAGTCGACCATTGACATTGTACGTAAAGATAGTGGGGAGTTTTTATTTAAAAAAAAAGAAACATTTCCTTTTCAAATAGAGTCGGAAGTGATGAAGAGGATAATGAATCTGATCAAGAAGAGAATCAAGATAGTGAACTGGAAACTGCTGTGTCTCGCCAAGAAGTACTTCCAAATCATAATGAAAATACGTCATCGAGCGAATCGAATTCTAATGGACTTGGATATGTTATCGTCAATCGCACTAGAAGTGATGATACCGTTAACGAAAGTGTACCAGATGACGACGAGAAAAAAGTTTCACCTGAATCTAATTTAGATTTATAGAATGAAGCAATCGCTCATCTTTTCTTTTGTATAAAACACATTATTGCTTTTATATGCGCGCGTTTTTCATATACTTCGCACTTTGATTTACTCGCGCTCCTGGAAATATCTTGAAACCTATTCATTCGTTTTGATACCGAAGCATTTTTTCTATTATGAATAACTAACATTTTCGTTGATGTCATCATAAATACGAATGATACATTTGTTTGCACTTTTCATTTGAAAATAAATAAAATAATTCTGAGAAAATAGATAATGTCTGTCTGGTTTCCATCATTCTGAGTCTTCATCTCAACGTTTGACCTGTGATATCAGTAGTATCGTCGTAAAACTGATTGACGGTGAATACGTCTGTTGCCCGCTCTCAGCCAACACTCTAGATATCACAGAATTAATGTACATCGTTGAAGTAGTTCGTATTCTCGATAAATTTATATCTATACGATGACTCTTGTTCTCTATCATACACTCATACATACACAACGAACACTAACTCTACTTGATCTACCGTTGATTACGCGGTCTATCTACATTTGACCCAGCCGTTCAAGATTAAAGTGCATTGGTACGTTTATAAAGTCGAACAGCAGTCTATTGCGAAAACAAAAATTTCGATTTATGATTGATATGTCGAGCAATATATTCACCGCAGATAACAAATAGCTGCCGTGTATGCGCTATGAGAGCGATAGTGGAACACTTAAGATTGACACCGCTCCTTTCTCATTCTTTCTCCTGTATTAGTTGATTGCTCTCGTTAGTACGCAACTGATGTAGATCTTATCAGCTACCAGATTGGATCACAACAGGCGAAGAATAAGTAAAGAAGCGATCGTACGTATATATACAGAAAGAGAAAGTTGAATTTTAATCAGTGACTGTCTTATTTTTACACGCATTAGAACATATATCAGACAGTATATCATTATCTATTTGATCGTAACGAAGAATACTGCAAGTATTGATCGAATAGACGCAGAAGTCGAATGATGGCAGCGTCTATAAATCTTCGTTATATTCTAGCCTTGCTGTTTGGTAAGTAAACGCTTAGTAGTACGTGAAGAGTTTGAAGTTGTCTTGCACATTTCACTGCAGTCAGTCGAACTTTCACCGCACCAGTCGCGTCGAATAACCCTGATCCGATATGTTCATTTGGTATGTATTATTAAAGAGCTTCGTCTATAACTTGGTATCTTTTATTCTTTCCATTTATGTAAAGCTCAACTTGTCGCACCCGGTCAAGGTTCGTTGGTATACAAATACAAAACCGAAGTGAAGTTGTCCGTTGCCAATGGACAATATGATTTGAAAAACGAAATTACCGCTGATGTACACATTAAAAGTCTTCCTGATTGTAATTATGCACTTCAGGTGAGCATTTACTTGAAATCATTCTTCAGCTTACTCATTCAATGTTTTTCTTAGCTTCGCAATGTTAAAGTCACTGAAACGGAAGATGAAAATGAATCAACATTGGGCTCATCATCTGCTCAGAGAGAGCTTGAAAATCTTGTTGTTAATTTTCGTTCAGTTGACGGATTTGTTCTTGCTGTTGTAGTTGATGCATCGGCAAATGTCGATCACGTTAATTTCATCAAAGGTATTCTCAGTGCACTTCAAGTTTATTCACCCGTTTCAAACGATGGTGAAAACACTGTTCGCGAAGAAGATGTACTTGGTGTATGTACAACTCGGTACACATACTCACAAAAAGGTGCGGCGACAGAGGTGACTAAAATTAAAGATTTATCAACATGTTCAAGAGATAAATTGCACATGAGCTCCAGTCCGGTATTGACTTCACTTCTTGGACCATTGGTGAGTAGTCGAATAGGATTGACAGAACACGAGCATTACTGACTTGAAATGATTTAGATGGAGGAAGCTTTCTCGATTAAAGCACGATACGTATGTCGAACAGATATTCGTGATAAAAAAATTCAATCGGTTAAGTGTAAAACGATCGAAGTGGATCCTGATTCCGCACGAAAATCCTCCAAGAAGGGCGATGATCACGACCATGCTCATGGAAGTGATTCGAGTTCTGAAGAAGAAGACGATGAAATCGATTTCGATGTGAAAGATGAGGATGAGGAAATCTCTTCGAAACTTGTATCAATCAAACAAGAATTGAAATTACAAACAACTGGAGGCATAAATGTTGACGCAGGTAAAGAGCTTTTTTCTGATTAAAATTTCGAATTGCATCCTCTGCAACTGTCGCATAGGTACATTGAAAAATCCCGTTCGTCAAACATTACAATTCATTCCGACCGCATCGTTTGATAAATCAAATGAAGTTGTATCAGGATTAGTGACAAAAATCCAAGGACTTCTTAAATCAAAAGACTGGGATCCTTTTACGGCCTCTCGTTTTATCGAAATCACAAATGAATTGCGACGCATGGAAAAAGCCGATTTGAACAATTTTCAAGCGAATGCAGATATCAAGTAAACTATTATTGACGTATAGAAGGTATCACATCGACTTTTTCTTTATAGAAACATCGTACCCACGTTTCTTAGTACAATCTATGCGCACGATCCGATTGCTGCTTCATTTAATTTCGATCCAAAAACTTTAAAATTCGCCAATCCATTAGCAGTTGCTTATTTGAGTAATCCATCGAAAGATTTAGTTGACCAAATTGTCGAAAGTGCCAGTCGATTAACAGCGGAGCAAGTACCTGACTTTGTCGGACTAGCTGCCACTATTCTCAAAGCTTACAAAGCTCGAGAAGATAATCATAAGGAGTCGCATGATGTAAGCATTTTCGCTTAATTCCTTTCTCCTCAAAATTTCTCTGTTTTAGAAAATCAAAGAATTTCAAAAAGCAATCTCCAAATTTGTAAAGAATGATAAGGCTGCCAAAGAAGCCACAACTGCTGTCTTAGCTGCATATGCACAACTAGGTCTCTATGATGATAATGTCAAAGCTCTTGCTGCTGATGATAAAGCACCATTGGAAGTTCAATATCAAGCTTTGAATGTTATTCGCCATATTTGTGATGGTTTTATCGATGATAAAAATGAAGTGAAAATTCGAACTGAACTTCAAAATCTTCTTTTGAAAAAACTTCAAAATGAAGCGAACAAAAATGCAGTACGCGTATGGGCATTCGAAGCATTGTATACATCATTCATTTACAATCCTGAAGAAGATGACTCAACATTAGGAGATAATTTGGAAAAAGCTCTCTCAGAGATTCTCGATCAACCACTTAATCAAGTAAGATTTATATGAAATGAACAATTTCGTTTATCGATGTAATTTGTAGGTGAATGGTTTTATCTGGTCAGTATTGAAATATTCAGTTCTCGACCGTTTATGCCCTTTACGTGGCCTTGCTGCTCGTCTTCGATCTCATCACAGCAATAAGAAACAATTTCTTGAACAAGCGACATTATCCTCACGTCAGATACAAGTAGAAGTGCCCCTTCGTCAAAACTACCGAGCGGTTGTTCACTTATCAGCTGTTTTCGAGAATGATCGTGCTGTTCCATCGTTCATCGGTGGTCAATTAGCATTCGATGGTATTCGTCGCGAAACTCTTCGTTTGCCATGGGTTGAAGCTGCATTTATTATTGAAAATTTGGACTGGAATGTTGCCGATTACTTCTTACGATTGGATCCATTGAATAAAAACAAGAATGTCAATGATGAATACAAAGAAAATACCAAAAGTAAACTACCAGCTGGTTTAAAAAAACTTCAAGAAGTAAAACAATATATTTGTCTTGTTATGATCTATAAAATGCTTTTATTCGATTGTTTTTCATAGACACACGATGAGAAGGAAGAAGATCCTGATCCGTCTGTACACCTCTATTTGAAATTATTCGGTGTTGATGTTCGTTCACGCGATGTTACTGACAAAGTTCAAGATATCCTCCGTAGTAACCTGCGAACGTTCGTTCGAAATCAAATTTTGAATAAATTCAAGGATCTCGCGGGAAAAGGCCCCATTTATCGCATACCATTAGAAATTGGTGCTGCATCAGCAGCTGCCAATGGTCTGACGTTGTACAAATCAGCACAGGTTGGTATTGTAGCTGATTTATCATCTGATTTTAAAAATACTCGCGACAATGATGGCATCGGCACGTTTAAAATAACCAGTCAATCAGCGTGAGTATCTGTCATTGGCCAGACGAAAAGAGAACAATATGTGCTTCATTTTAGACTAAGTTTCTCATTAACACTTCAACGCGAAGTTGCATCACCGTTAGTATCAGTTGGTGAAACGATTCAAATTGGTGCCATATCTAATGTTCCATTTGATTACACTGCTGTAGCAAACAAAGAAGGACGTACACGGGAATTCAATCTACTGAATGCTCAATCAACAGTTTTAGCACTAGAGTAACTATTTCTACTAATAACAATTCCTGTTCGAACTTTTCTAATTCGCTGAATAGCTTTAAATACGGATTACGCACATCGAAAGGCTTTAAAAGTCTTCCCAATCCCAAGTCGGCAAGTATCGATCCATCGTGTTCACCAACCAATGTGTATCGTGCATTGGGTATTCGGGCATGTTTGGAACTTAATCCATTCCGTTCAATACAACTCGGCTCACGGCCATCATATCCTATTACGGTGAGTGCTTGTTTCATTTGGTAAATCAGTGCCATCTGGAAGATCGCAGACAACTTCTATAAATAAATTCAATTTCACATAGATTACCTTAAACAAAGATCCATCGATTAAAAATTGGCGTATCGGCTGGCGTTTCAATGCTCAAGATGCTCCACAATATGAAGTTGCTGTAGAGAGTGTTGGCGCAACTACTGCTTATCCCGGTAAATCCAATTGAATCGAAACACTTCTTTTGCATTCGTTGATTCACTCGGTGTCGTAGGTCTCGGTATATCCGCAACAAAAACGGGCAATAATTTCAACATCCGAGTTCTAACTGGCATGAAATCGTTTGCAGTGAAAGGTAATGTTAAACATTCTACTAAACTGTGCGTTTTCTATCTCATTTTTCTGTCAATAGGAACACAAAACGGTAATAAATTTGATGGAACAGTTGTCTCCAGTGACGGTAAAGAAGTCATGACCACATCCGGAACGTTAACTATAAACAATGATGGATTTAAATTGGACAGCAAACTCGTTGATATTTCAAGTAAAAAGGAAGTTCTTTCATTAAAGACTGATATCATACCAAATCGCGGCCAAGGCCTAACCGCAGATATCAGTTTAACAACACCGGACAAAGCACGTTCATTCAAAGTTCATTGTAAGTTTTTCTCATAGAAAAATAGCTGCGATTTTCCTCTATTGTCATTAGTTCATGGAGATATTTATCAACCGAACAAAAAATTAATTCACATCGATTCAAGTTTCGTACTTGGCGATATGAATTACCAAGGCAAAGCACACTTGGAAAACAATGCTGATCAAACACGTATTGAATTGCGTCGCGCCATACAATTAGGTAAAACTTCGCCCCGAAGTGGCTATGACTTTGTCTACGAGCGGAAAAACAATCATGACAAGAGTCAACATACGTGCAATGTGGCAACACATTTAGCATTACGAACACCGGCTCGTGATGAACCATTGAAAATTTTTGATCTCAAAACTGATTTTGCTCGCACTAATGATTTATCGAATGCAACACTTCATGGTTCGGTCGACTTTGTGCTTATTACACGCAATCCGCCTGTGCCAGAACGTCTCGAGCTCGATTACGTTCGACGATCAGTCAGAGCCAGCAGTCAAGCAAAACGTTTGATATCACCAGAAGCAAATTTGAAAATACAAGTGAAAACGAAATCGAATGTTTTCAATTTTCTTCTGGATCATCGACATCGAAAGAGTTCCGAAGCATCGAAAAAAGGTTTGTCATATTGTCCAAACTAAGCATGCAATTTTCCCATTTGCTTTCCGTAGGTCCAGTCACCGTTTCACCAACTCTAGATATTGCCAATAAAATCCATATTGCGGCTGACACCGACAAACTACTTCCAGACATTCCACGACCATTCGCATTCGATGTTCTATCCGATCTTGATTTTGAATTACTGAACAAGGTTGATTACAAATTCCAGTACGATCTTCGCCGTCGCCAACGCTCAGCTGTCTTCACTTATCACAGTCAAGTTGACAAAGTTACCGACGGTCATCTCTTCTCCGGTACAAGTAAATCTGAATTGCAATGGGAGAACAAAGAGAAGAAGGCAACGGCAACCGGCAATTTTGTTATCTGTACACGATCACGTTCATTAAAAACACATTGGGATATTGATACGAGTCTTGTTCCAGACAAAAATGATATAACACTGGATTTAAATGTTCGTTTCGATCGACAACCAAAAAAAGAATCAGTGAAATCGGTCATTGCTGCATACAATGTAACAGTCAAAGCACCTAAACACGAGAGATTCCAGTTAATTGATCTCAATGGTAATCTTACGAAACAAACGAGCCGGTTCGAAACATTCAATTCAATTTCTTATCGTGTGGATAAAAATTTAAAAGAAATCAATTTGAATGCTGTAGTCAGTCGTAATCAAACTGGTGATGGTTCATTACAAACTCATCTGGTCATTTCGTTACCATTTAAATATTTGCCATACATTACTCATGATTTAACTGCCCTTCGAGCTTCACCTAATGGACGCATCAGCTATATTCGATCAAATCTTCTTGCTAAACCAGTTCTTTCACATTTTGCACAAATTAAAATCGATCGCTCGAATACCAAACGTCCGCCATGTGTTGAAGTTGAAAATGGCATCGAATACTTACGAGCAAATGGAGATAATTTACATGGTTACTCGAAAGTCAACGTGCATCGTTGGTCAACGTTACATTCATTCGGTTTATTGAAACGAAACAACGATGTATTACATCGACATTCCATTGGTTACATATTTTCGAATAAAACACGCAAAGTAGCCTTAACATTGGAAAGTCCACAAATATCCGGCAATCCATTGAGTTTTCTGGTTGATTTAACAATCGATCGTGAAAATCGCATCGGAAAATTGAAATGGCCACAAGAATTTGGTGTTCATGTCGAATTCGGTACACCAGTAACGAATCTAACCGCTCTTCATGTCTTCTACAATCTTCCCATGTTCGGAAAAGATGCAGATAGAAAAGTTGATGCTAGCGTTGGTTTTCGATTAGCATCACCAGTAAGTGAACGCTAACAGCTCATTCCCTCTATCTAACTCTCTTTTTTTTCTCCGATAGAAAGTCACACCGATTAGTATGTACTTCCATGCTAAAGGGTCACTGAACACCACCTTACATATCGTTGATTCTGTCAATATTGGAGATGATGTATCGTTGGGTGGAACATTAACTGCTCAATACAACCCTCAATCGATCAGCCAAATGAGCATTTCAACATCGGCGAAGTTTTATGATAAAGAATTTCAAAACTCGATCTATGCACTTTTCAAACAACATCAGATCATTGTACGCGGCATTGTCAATACGACATCCGACGAAGATTATAACTATGAAATGGACATTGGTTTCGACGATGAATCACTGACCGGACACACAGAAAGAACCGATGGACAACAAACAGTTGTGTCTGATATTGACGCAAAGAAATGCACACCCACAGGCAAATATTCTCGTTGTTACAAAGGTGACATTACCATTCGTACGAATAACAATGCCGCTGGAAGAAAAGGTACATTTGATGCTAGCTTTGGTCAAGGAACAGCGAAATTAGATGTGAAAGTCCCTGAACAAATTGAATTGAAATTCGATCACGCACACACTGGTCGAATTCGTGACGAGGACTTCAGTTCGAAAACAACAATCGAAGGAAAATCTCTACGACCAGATAACAAAGCTTCATTCAGCTATTCTGGTTCGGTAGACAAAGAAGATGGTAAATGGAACAATGTACAAGTGAAGAGTTCTGTATCGGATAAAAAGACCGGACAGAAGATATTAGTTGGTGATCTTCAAGTGAATCAAAAAGTGACAGACAAGCTTTCTGCACAATATCAACGTAAGATCGATTTTAATCTTGAACGAGCTGGTAAGAAAACTATCAGAATAAATAAAAGAAAAGAAAGCTTATCTCCTGTTAATTTTAAGGTCATAGCATTGTTGGTTGGTCGAGTGAATCTGTTAGTTGCAAAGATAATCCATCAAATGTTGTCAAAGGCATCTGTCAAACAGCTACATTCAATTTAAAAGCCAACAATAACTTGGTACAACGTCTTCGACAACGTTTAGATCTTCCTGCCGATCCAAAATTGTCCAATCCAGCCGGTCAGGTGACTTATGATGGTAAACTAAAGCTGGATCTCAAATTCGATCCTAAAACCGGCCCACATACTGTAAATCTCGATCTCAATCGTCTGAAAGAGGATGCTATTGACCTCGATGCCTCCTATCAAGCACGATATGAGAATGAACCAATGAATCTTCGTTTGAAAGCAAATCTTCCTCGACAAGATCCCATCTCCGTCAAGTATGATGAAACCCGAAATTCACCGACAAACTTTCAAGGCATATTAAAATATTCCTTCAATGCTAATGATGGTTCAGCGGAGAAGACTTATAAATGTGACGTCGATCGACCCGATGCCAGCGATGTTTCAGTGAATTGTAAAGGCGAACGAACCACATTAACAATTGACATCGATCGTAAAGTTGGCAAGTCGAAAGCGTATATTGACTTAAATCGATTTGAAGGCGAACGTGTTGGATACGAGGGTGTACGAAATCCAGAAACCAACGAAGTTGATGCAACAGTATATACTCTAGTTACTGCGTGGAATATTAAACGTCAGCCTGGCAAATCAACGACCATCACAGTTAAACAAAAGAACAAGGAAGTGTTACGTGTCGAAGGTACAAAAGTAAATGATCGTGAAATTCAAGTGAAATTCTCACCGTCCAATGTCAATCTCAAGTAAGATTTCGAAATTATTTGTTACAGTAGGATGAAATATTTCATTTTATTAGACTCGAATGGGACAATTCCACAGTAATCAATCTTCAACAGACACAGCCTCAACAACGAGACCTCGCAAAAATCACCATTGACCGAGCTCAAATTCGACCTTATTTGCCATCGTTACGCAATCAAAACCGGCCATCACGTGACATTGACGATCCTTTGTCAAAATCAAAGAAACCTCTAATTGAAATTGCATTTGATTCTCACGTATTTCTGTCACTTTCTCAAGCATTGGCAAAGTTAGGTTCTCACAATGGTATTTACGGCTTAGATACAGTAAAAAAAGCGTTTAAATTGCAAATCGGCGATGCACCATTGACAATTTACAATACTCAACATTGGAAAACCCATCGCGAATATAGTCAATTGCCCGAGAGTTATTCAGTTCGTGTTGTCAACGACGCTAACGGAAATTTCATCCAGATAGCAACGAATAAATGGAACGAAGATCGATTGATTTCTAAATTGAGTCATTCATTTGACGGTGGCAAAACGCTTACAACTGATTTGGAGCTCAATCGAAATTATGGTCATCAAGTTGGCTCGGTCTACTTTTTCCATAGCACCGGTTCGCGAAATATCCAAGGAGCGAAACAACTTCGAGTAAGAATTGATTTCTTTGGAATTCGTCTACCTGACGATATGATATGTTTTCTCATAGAATTATACACGAAATTTTGTTCGAAGTCATTTACAACAAGATTTAAACAAGACAAACATTGCCGAATTAAGTCGAGGTCTTCGTAAACGATTGCGTAGCATATTGGAAGTCGACTATGAAGCACTCAAAGCAATTGTTGATACATGGAATACCAAAGAGCCCGAAAAAAGCTTTCTCCGTCAATGGTCGTAAGTATCAATTTTGTAATCATTTCGAAAAAATTATTCTTTCTTCTAGTGCCCGTCTTGGTTTAGCTGAATTCTTTGCTAAATATCCAACCTATAGTCAAGCATCTGACCGTACCTTTGCGATTCTCCGTGAACGTAGCCAGGAACGTGAAGAATATTGGCGCAACCGTTTCGAAGCTATTCTCAATGACAACCGTCTGCAAGGTTTAACTGAACGCTTTCAAGCTAAACGCACAGCACTGATCAAACGTCTATTGGAGCGTGCCGAGAAGGTACTCGATCGATTGCTGCCAAAAGTGGATCAAGCTAATGTTGAAAAACGTATTACAGACTATGTCAGCAAACTAATTGCTGCATTTGAACAAATCTCTCGACGAAATACTGAACAATGGAAAGCAACATTTCGAGCTATTGATGAAGCAACAAAAGGAGAAGAAAATAAATGGTTTCGAACCTTAGTTGCTGATATCGATTCAAATGCCTTCGCAACAGCAGCCGATGCGGAATTAAATAAAGTGTTGAGTAAATTACGTGATTCATCGAAATTGTTCACTAGTAATCTTCATCAATTCTCACGACGAATTACTAAACGACGAGAATCGATTCGCGAACGAGTGAAAAATGCTATTAGACATATTCCGAAGGTACATGACAAATATCCATACTGATTCTCATGTGACATCTTGTTTCTTTTTTCAATTTTAGGTTTATTTGAATAATACAAGCTTTGAATTATTAGTACCAGTAGGCCGTCAACCAGGTACTTACGCAGGTACCAGTGAATTAATACTTGGTCTCGGCAGTTTACTTCGAAATCGTGACCAAGCATTTGATACAATTCGTTCAATCTTAGAAAGTCGTTTAACAGCGCGTTCAGAAACATTACAGAATTATTGGAAAGCATTACGTACATTCGCCAGACGTATTTTCAAACGTAATCCATCGTTAACACCCGAATTTCAAGCAATCGTTGCTCAAACAGGTGATGCGATAGACGTTCATGGAAATTATGTATATTTGAATCCTGCATGTGATCATGTTCTTCTTCATGATTTCGCTGATTTACAATTCTCATTCCGTTTAATCAATGGTAAAGTTCACTCATTAGTTCCCAATCAAGGCGAAATCAAAGATCATGAATGTTCTGACACTGGTCGAGTTCAATTCTGTAATCATGGTGACTTTTATACAGTTAATGTGCCAATGTATTATGGTGAGTTGATATCGAAACATTTCCTTCGTTGAAACTCGTGTTTTTAAACATAGGTGGTCGAGTTGATGGTGCACTTGGTGATGTACGTAAACGAGGTCGCCAAGGACAAGAGAAAGTCAATCGATGGCTGTTACGAGAATGTCCTGCTGCAACTCGAGATCAGCCGAAGAAAGATGAACAAACTATTGCCGAATGTGCTAGTGAGGACGATGTAAGTTTTTCTTTAATCTAAATTTCCTCTTTTGAAAAAGCTGTTTTTCTTTTCTCAACTAGGACAAACAGAGCTTTTGTGAGCATTTCGTTCGACGAGGTTTGAAAGAGGGTAAAGATCGACGGGAACTAATTGCACATGCTTTACAAGCACGCCAAGTATCCATATAAATTGTACGATTACGATGTGACAAACAAACTAAATTTCAATTACTTCCTCTTTTTAGTTTCTATCTTTTCATTTGTTTACTCTTCTTCGTGGTTTCTGTAGTTTGATTACTCTTTTCTTACTATTGGTTATCGTTTGCGTGTTATTCATGCTAATCTTTATCGGTTGACATTACCGTAAAATTCAATAAAATGCTTATGAACTAGAAATATTTGAACCTTCGCTTCTATTACGAACTCTATTCTGAGAAGAAAACATTAACATTTTTTTACACAAGGATCAGTCACGTTTTTTCGACGAACATGCCCATATTTACAAATACATCCCTCTGTACACGGATCGAGACATAGCGGCAAAGTGGTATTGTAAATACGATTCTCGCAATTCTCTTGTCGACAGGGATTTGCACACGAACCAAAAATTTCATTCACTGATGCATCACAAACTAGAAAAACGATAATAATAATTCCAAGTATATACAGAATGTTCTTTCGTTACGCTTTCGTCGTCGACGGGCTAGTATTATATCACAGCTGATCAGAAGAACAAAGATGAAATAACGGAGATACGTTCGTGAAACTTTCATTATGTTTCACCCGATAACGTCAATTTTCTAATACAAGCGATGATTACACTTATTTGAAAATATAGTTCTTTTTCACCAAGTGCACTCATGCATACGAGAGCCTTAGGTAGGAACATTCGTCTCGAAGGTGAGTATTCAGCTAGAGATAATTGAAGCAGAACAGTGAAACTAGTTTATTCATTCGCAACATAATTCATCATGATATCAAAATCTCGATAACTGACTCGTCCGTCACCGTCGACATCGAGTTGCCTAAAACGAAAGGATGCTTTTCATGGTGAAAATAGGTTTTATTTCGATCAAATTACTTGAAAGCAGAATCGATTACTTCCGGATTCATTTTGATATTCATTCGTTCAAATGCATGAAGAAAATCATCCTTGTTTAGAAAACCTTTACCTATAAATAACAACCTAAGTTTAATCTGTATGTAAACAATGAAAGTATTCTTACATGTTCGATCGAATATGAGAAATGTTTCACGATTTTCATCTTCTTGATCAATCTGATGCTTGTAACTATGAACAAAGTCGACAAATTGTTCCAGTGTTAATCCTAAATTGACTGTTGCGATCAAATAAAATGTGTTTTGCAGACATCGTTACCTGGATGAACTCGATCAGGAATGTTGGAGAGTAATCGCTCGATTTTATACTAACGAAAAACAGGCGAATGAGTGAACAAGAGAATTTTTTGTTGTTCAAATATACTTTATCCATTTTTAATCCGTACAGTCGAATTGACGCTACTTTAATATCTTCGCGGTCAAGATATCCTTTTCCTTTTCGATCGCATTCACGAAATAACTAGAATATAAAAGATTATCTTCGCCAACTGATCAACATAACAAATTTCATACTTTCTCTATATCGTTTCTATTCATTCTTCTAGACGGCTTTAATCTACAATAATAAAACAACATGATGCATAGATGTATTCTATAGAGCTAACAAGTAAAAGTGATCATAAATCATCATCGGGCTAATTGCACTTGAAGATCAATCAAAAATATGAAATCAAATATTGAAAAATCACGGGGAAACATCTATGATTGACAGTATTTACTCATACGTTTACGACTATCAATCTCAGCTTTTTGCAATAAACGGTAAATTTCATATTTATCCTTATGAAAGTCCGTCATTTTCACATCGGGCATATATGTTTCTATTGGACATGCGATATCATTAAGTAAATCTTGCACTTGTTGAGCGGTTTCAGCAATCAGCTGACCACTTATAGCTGAACCCAACAGGACACAATCTAAACCTGGATCGGAGACATACACAGGCATTTGAATAACATCAGCAAGGATTTGTGTGAATAAAGGCAAACGCGCTAATCCTCCACAAATTTGTACGACACGAAAATGATGTCCAGCTTTGGTCATCACTTCAATTATATGTCGACTGTCATAAGCAACTGCTTGTATAACAGCTAAGTATTGAATAGCTAAGTTATTTAATGATGTATCGAAACGAAGGCCGGTGATCGCGGCGCCCAATTCGGGATCAGCTAATGGCGAACGATTACCATGAAAATCGATTGTCATGTGTAGATCACCGCTTAGAAATGAAATATTTCCAACCTTATACTTCTTTTGTAAATTGTGTAAAATCTCATTCAACACATCGAAGGTACTTTTATTTTCTTTGGTTGCCAATTCTTTTAACTCAGCATAAGCTGGATGACTTTGAACGACATGATCGATGGATTTACCGGCGGCTGATTGACCGCCTTCACTGAGCCAAAGATTTGGAATTAAGACATTATAATGTGGACCCCAAACTCCCGGAACAAAAACAGCATTTTCACTACAGGCCATAAAACAGCTCGATGTTCTAGAAGAAACTCTGTTAGAAAATATTCTTTCTTTCGCTTTTTTTTTCTTACCCAGCTACGATGACCAATCGTTCGGACAGGCTAGTATCAGGAATCGGTGATTTGCACGCTAATCCACCTAGTGCTCCTGCATAGGCATCAATCAATGGCGCACCAACATGAATACCCTGAGGTAGACCAAGTTCATCTGCTGCTTGTTGACTGAGAACATCCGTTGTTGAATTGGAAAATGGCTTTCGAACGATCTGACCCAGTTTTTCGCATTTATTTTCCATTAAATCATCGAGATCAAATTTTGCCCAGAATTTTTCGTCCCACCCATGCTTACTTTCCGATGATCGGTAACATAGTTTACATACGGACGAGCAAAACGATCGATCCAATTGTTCGGTTGCACGGAAATGTAAATAATCAGGTAGATCGAAAAAGTGTCGTGCGCGTGTCCACTGTTCTTGGGGTAGATGACGTTTCAACCACATTAATTTGCCTGGTTGCATTTCCAGACTGATCTTGCCACCAAAATTCTTCAAAACTTCATCTGAACTACTATTAATAATAGCTGCTTCAGCATGTGCACGATGATCAAGCCACATGATAATATTTTGTTCGTCATTACCGGAGAGAGACACACTAACTGGTTGATACTTTTCATCAACAACAACAAGTGAACATGTTGCATCGAAGCCAATTGAACGGATGCGTGCGGTCTGCTCTGAAGTAAATGCTTTTTCTTCAAGACATTTGCGAACACAATAACAAATTGCTTGCCAAATGTCTTCCGATGATTGTTCATATTCGAGTGGAGCTGATGATGAATGAAATGTCTAAAAAAGACAAAACACAACTTTTCCTTATTGTAAGTAATCAATTGACACTATGATCAGAAACAAGGGTGAAAGTTATAGAGTAAGATCTATCAAAGCATGCGATTTAAAAACAAAGTCACAAAGGTCTTCTTACACGAATTGCTTTTTGACATTGCGCGATGGGTGTCCATTTTTCATCGAAGATCATGCAACGAACACTTCCCGTTCCAACATCGATTCCAATTGCATACGATGCTGATGTTGTCATCTGAAAATATTCATCAAAATAAAGTGGTTTACGTGAGTTATGTTAGAGAATGAATTAACAAACAACAATTATTTTTATCGAATAAAGAACAAAAAAAAAACAAATAATGCTCGTAGACGCACAAATTCACATCTTATCACAATTTGTTGATAGGAAAAGTCAGTAGAATTGTTATTAATTATTTAATTTATTTGGATATTTTGCGAATATATTTGAAATATGAATAAAGCAGTACTCCAAGCATTGTAAAACATAAACCAAATACTTGTCGTTGATTCAACGGTTCGCGGAATATAAACGAGCCGATGAAAATGATTAATAAAGTCTTTGAATGGCCAATCATATTGTACGCCACAGCAGACAGATTTCCAATCACCCAAAACACGGAAAAGTTGACGAAGAAAGCCACAAGACCACAGAGTAATACCAATGCAATTATATCGATATTTATGAATTTGCCTAAGTTGGAGATCGGTTCGAAAAATGGAAGGATTAGTAAAAGTAAGAGACCAGATAGTGGAGCTTGATAAAATAATAACTGTAAAGAATCACAGTTGTACGATTTTTGATAATGCTCGACCAGTATTTGATAGATAGCCGTAAACAGCATCGACATCACCGCGCCTAGATCAACAAAACACTGTCAAAATCGAGACACTAAGCGAATACTTACAGAATAGACCGAAACTATTGAATTGTAAATCATAATAAGTACTAATTAGTGTTCCGATGAATACTGGCAAGAATGATAAGACGATTGGAAGTGGATAATGCGCTTTGAAAAACATCCAACTGATTAACATGACAGCTAAAAGAAGAAAGTGAACATATAATTCGGAGTGAGCTCTTCGAGAATCTCTATTCTCGGCAAAGTATAAATACTCATCAATACATAGGAAGACGAAGAATCTATTAGAATGTACTTTCTATATGAGAAGATAGTCACGCGAGCTAAAGCTTCTAGCTTTTTCTATTAATACGTGTGATACATTTGTTTATATAAAAAAATCATGAGAGTGCAATCGATGATGGTTGTTTTCGCTCGAAGCAAAACTCGCAATGATTCCATCATGTTGTATCGATGAGTGTACAAGATAATAATTTTCAAGTATTTACCTTCCGAATGAATAGATTTCATCTTTGTCGTTCTTTACGAGTACTTCGCCATACAGATCATGATAATCTACTCAATTATCTATCGATTTTCATTGTAGAATAGTCGATTGAGCGAAGAATCTACACGGATGTTATTTTCATCCGACCAAGCATTACAAGTCATCTATTCTGCATGTTCTAACGAACAGGAAAGCTATAATTATGATGTTGACAGACAACTGATACAACTATCTGTTTTCAGCCATCTGTTAGTCGTGTATTTTTTTTTCAGCTCTTCGCTATCTCAATCATCACTCTGATAACACGAATGTTATTCTCTCGAGAAAGACAAAAAATCAAGTTTTGAAAAAACGAATTGAAGTAGTACGTTCGCTCGCTAATGATTATCGTTCGATTTGTTTATTTTATTAAATCAGATGGAATTACTCACTCGGTGTGACTTGTAATTTGATAAGTTGATATGTGCCAACAGTGTTATACTGAAGCGAGAGATTGCTAAATGCAATGAATCCGCCGAAACATGCAGACACAGGAATCATACTCAAAATTGGTAATTTAATATAAGAAAATAATTTGAATTGTAAACAAATGATTAAAAATAAAGATGTGATAAAGAAATTGATCGTTGTCAACGTTAGATTTGGAAAATGATGTTTAACATAGATCCTAAAAGAAAGCAATTGAAGAGATTTTCACTGTAGGACGCATTCGTACCATTTGGCTAGATTAATAACGAGAATTGATGATGTAAAATTGATTGAAAATATAGTTGTTGACCAGAAACATGACTTCACCATTCGACGATTGGATACCATATTTTGAGTAGAGTCACTTGAGTTCGGTAGTAAAGATCCAGATGATGAAGACTTCGTAGATGATAGTGATGAAGCGTTCAAAGACAGTTCTCGTTTATCTGAGTCCTGTAGGATTTTCGAGGAGTAAGCATGAGACATTCGTAAATGTTTGGTTTTTCAATAAAACGGAAAACACGAAGTGTTGGGCCAAGAACAAGACAGTATTTATTTGTGTGTTTATCACTTTCAAATGTATGCAATTATTTGGGACCTTTACCTATACATCTAGTTATAAAAAAAAGAAGCAAAAAGCAATTGAATTGTTCTTATCACTTATCAGGTTGTCAATATTTGAAAAAAGAACAAATATCCAATCGATCTTGTCAGATATGAAAAAGCCTACACTATTCAAATTGTGTGATATTTTATATTGCAAAGTGCTAGGAACAAAATGTTTGACTACCGACAGTTTCTCATCATCGAATCGTATCATTCATCCGGAAAATGTGCAGTTGTACAGAGAAAAAAAACGCATCGCACATGCTTCATTCGATTCTCTTTCGACGGCGTAGTAAAGTGGAGGTAAGGGGACTGTCATAGGAACGAGCAGAAGCATACACGAGTGAGAGTGAGATGAAGAAGAGCGAAGAAAATACACAGTAAAGAAAAGAAAAGAAAAAAGAGAAGCAAAAAGTTGTGCGTCAAGGTCTACGCACGGCCAATCGGGTCATGAGCGCAGCCGTTGATTCTAAACCATGTCGTCGTCCTTCCCAATAGCTAGATAGAATAGCCGCACTTGTTGCAAGCAGTTGGCCAACAATCATGAAATAGTATGAATAACAAAACTGTGCAGTCACACGCGAAAATGCAATACAACTCATGGTAAAAAAGAAACTACCTAATGCAAATGAGCATACTGATATTAAAGTGATGAAGCGCATCGACGGTAAATAGTTGCAGTCGATAACGTTAAACACCAATGTCGATAATAAGCCAATAACAAGTAGAATGAGACCAGTTAGTGACAAACCAGCTGGCGAACGTGTTATTGAAATGTAACATTTCAGAGGTTTGAGCTGACAGATCTGCCATAAGCCAGCTGTGATACGTGTTGTATGAAGCCAATGTGTCGTGCTCAGAGAGAGAATGACAAATAGAACCGCACACAGAATGAGTGTGATGATGATGTAGGTAAGAAAATTTTTTAGATTCGGACGAGCTAGTGGCATTGTCGAGAGAGAGAAAATGATTGTTTGATGTTCTTTGTTTCTTGAAAGATGGAAGCTGCGAAGAGATAACGGTGTAATTAAAGAACACGAAGAAGAGAAAGATGAAAACATTTCGCAGAAATTTTAACAATCGATGTAAATGAGGATCAATTCGTTATTTAATCATGGTGTAATTTAAACAGAAAAGAAGGATTTTTTCCTAAGATTTTATTCTAAAATACAAAACTACAAACAATCTAGCTTCATAAAATCGAGGATTTTGACTAAATATTGGCATCAGAATTGTCTGCATTGAGATTCATGGTGCTAGCATTCATATCAACTGAGAGGAGTGACACACGATCACTGTCGTAGTAGGATTCAACAGGAGTGTTTCCGTCAGGATGGAGCGATACACAACTACGTTTTCGCATGATTTCGCCAATTAAATTATGTGTTTGTTCTTCGGCATCGAGCGCAGCTGCTTCTTCACGTGATGATTCCAATAACACGGTTGGACATGTATCTTTTGTTAATGAACGATTGAGAACTGGGCTCGATGATCTCCACTCGTGATGATTTGTGTTGATCGCTAGAAAATGAAAAAACAATATATGATTTCTATTCGAACAAAATCTCGGTGGGCAAAACCATCAGTGATGGATGTATATTCGTTGGATTGTACGCGAGTTATATTGGCATCGTCATCGGTTAGCGAACTTAGCCGATGAATTGTTGATCGTCGTTCGAGTTCATTCGGCTTCTTCGAAATCGATAATTGATGAGTTAATGTTGCTGACTTCGGAATTGACTTCGATGAATTCAAATCATGACCTATCGCTGATGAACCTCGGCGTTGTCGATGACGAACCTCATCCTCAAATATCGATGATGAATAGCGGAAACTATCAGAATTGTCTCTCAGATCAGGTGACTGATTTAGCAGTAGTTTCTGCATCATGTCACACATATTCATATTGATATCTTCGAGTCGTTGTAAACGCCAGTCAAGATTTTGAAGAACAGTTCGATTCTGAGTTTCACGTTGATAGATATCATCGACGCGTAAAACGGTTGTATCAACCCTAAATTAGTCTGAAATAGATGAATTAGTTGAAATTATACTCTAGTTACCGTTCCGATGTAACTGCAATTTGTTCGGCAGTTGTATTCCTTTTTTCTCTTTCCTTCATAGCAAAATATTCATCGATTTGTTCTTCTTCGAAATCATGAATTTCAGCCACTTCTTTTTCGCTTAAGAACAGTTCTATAAGAAGTCAAACATGTAAATACAAATTGATCGTGTCAATTCGATGATACGAACTTAATCCATGATCCACTTTGAACTTTTTTCCGTGACAGTACCGTCGAATCACTTTTACCAGAAGATATATATGTGAGATGAGTATGAACGGAGGTGGCAACATTGGCTTGGCTTCATATTTAAGAACAATGTAGTATCGATGATACTTCCAAACTTGATCTGATGATTTCGATATTCGAATATACGTATTATTGAACGTTGCAATAAGTATCGAAAGAAGTAAAATGTTACAGAAGATAAGATACGCTGTCATTGTTATCGGTGTCACCCAATGAAATGGCATACACTGGGGCGCATTCGGTTCGCTCTCTAAACATGGAGGGTCGATGGATCCAGCATAAACTTCACCATAAATCTAAATTAAATCGTTTTTTTATCGAATGATCTCTTTTTATTGATTGTGAAGTGTTTTACCATAAAATAAGGTTCGAGAAAGATTTCCTTGACTGATCGCCACGACCATAGTTCATTCGGATATTTAATTGCTTGTCGAGACACACCAAATGAGACCATTACGACCAATATAATAATGATAAATTTTAACAGATCGAGTAGCTAATAAAGAGAAATAAACTCTAGTTGAATAGTAAATAAACTTTGACTTACATTCTGTGCAGCAATATGTATATACGGACCTACAGATTTATGTACGGAGATGTAGGTTAGTAAATGTATCCACCAGTAGGATACATCGAGACAATAGAGCAAGCGTGCAATGTAGAGCGTTTTGGGATGAAATCGTAAGATAAATCCGATACCGTACGAAAGAATCGCTAATGAATCGCATATGTTAACAAAATTAGAAAAATATAACTAAAAAAAAGAACAAAGAGACCAGAGAATGTACAGAGAGTATTTCGAATTTTCTTACAGTTAATCTTCGACGAAATCGTGGCGAAGAGCTTGTACAGATCTAAAGATAGAAAATAAACCCTTCAAGACTGTCTATTCTCATTGATTAAATTAACCTCTCTCGCATTATCGATTGCCGACGACGCCAGATAAATCGTTACAATATATTCTAAAAATATTTTAGGGTCTTTTTTTTTAAATTTTGTCTTTGAAATTCTCCTACCGGCAACACTAGGTTTAGGTGGCGTTCGAACAAGCACCATGTACGTGAAAAGAAATAGAAAACACACGTAAAAGATAGTATTATACCAGAATTTGGTTATAGGTGCATTGTAAAATTCATAAAATCGTTGTGTCAGTGAAAGTGATGAAGATGAGGATATTTTGATTGGCATTGCTTCGTTCAAAATAGCTAATTCATCAGTTTTTTTCGATACTTCAGTACTTATATCATTGAGGTCATCGGCTACTGGTAGCGGAGTTGAAAGTGATTGTTTTAAATTCGAAATCGATGGATCCTTGTGAGCAGTTTCTTTTCTATTCAATGTTACCATTTCCACTGCTTGATTCTCGACGTGCGCATTTTCGATAATAAATTCAATCGAAGTATCGCGATTCATTATCGAACTTTTTCTCCCATGATGATGATCATCAGCTGAGTATCTATGCGAGAATTCATTTGAATTTGTTCCCGAGTTATAATCATCGCTATTATAATCATCGTCATCATCGTCATTACCCATGCGGTCATTTTGTTCAGCTAAGTGTTCTTCGTGAGTTTTCGGTTGTAGTTTTAATTCTTCGGCACTTTTGAAATCAATTCGAAGTACTAATGGGAAAAATAGAATCGACGCAATCACTTTCCAATTGAGATAACGTCGAATTGACATGCCACCCATCCATAGATCATTTAAAATCATTTGACAGCATTTGTGTGCAACGAATTCCTGATGATGAGAAATGACAGCTAATGATAAACATGTCCAGTCCGACCAATTTTTCAACTCATATGTTAATAATTGACATGTTTTATCATCATTTTCGCGATAACATTGTTCAAGAACGCCAAGTGCTAATTCATGAAATTGACTACAAATTCAAGTGAAACTTATGAACTTTCTCGCTTGTTGAACTTACTCAGCGTAATTGGCTAGATCAGTTGAAACTTCGATTTCTAGCTCATCGTCATGTGCTTCATGTGCCAAAGCTTTGTCTAACTTATAGGCAATCAGTGCTAAACAGACAGAATCCGGTGAATGCAAATCAAAATATATGTGATGATTCTACCTTTGGCCATAGCTTCTTCACCTAGAGAAAAGGCAACAAATCAAATTAGATTGTATAATTTTTGGTTTGGTCCATACCTCGTTCCCAGAAGAATAAGGCCATCTGATGTCGTTTGGTTAAAACTGCCCATATGAGTAATTCATTATATGGATATTGAAATGTATCGTCGACTGGCTTCGTTATGGAACTGACTGCTTTTCGATGCAACTGTTTAGGAAAATATTAGATGAGATTTTGATCGATCTCGGTGATATTCGTTTACTTACTGATCGTAAAGCATTTGGCTGATTAAACGTTGTCGCATAACGAGTACGAAAACGTCGCCGAGTGTAGTTCGAACGGTACCCGTGACCCATGAGTTTCTCGAAAATCAGACCTACATCAACTAATGTATATGTGCCAGTCATAGCAGACTAGAAAAGATCGATCAAAGTAGCAGAAATATTCCATTGAGTAATAATATTAACCTTCCGAATTTTTCGAATATCTTTTGCGATATAATGAAGCGTATTGGGTGGTCCATCGCGCTAAAACACAAATCGATTTTGTGATACAGTAGATTCCTATTTCGACATATCTTTGTCGGTTTTTCATGTAGATATCTTATTTCGAATTTGATGTTTTTACGTTTTTGTTGCCAGTATAGATTATGAAGAAAGGAAGCGAACATGACTGCGTCGGATTAATTTATCATTGCTCTATCTACATGAATATATTAGTTATGACAGATGAAAAGAAAGAAAATCCATCTCCGACTGTAACCATGACTATTATTTCTGCCTGAGAAAAACTTAATGGAACATCGAGATTTATTTGCGATCTTGAGAATGTATTTGAATATGAACGGATGTTGAAGAGGAAAAAGAAAAAAGCTTCCGACACGCGGAATTCATCGAAGTATGATACTTTTCAAAATAAGATCTTATAGTTAATTTTCTCCGAACTGGAAATATTTTAGTTCTATAATTATAATCATACCGTGTTGTAAAGTTCTTCTAATCGATGAATTGTCAAGAATTTTTGCATGGAAATACCATTTTCAAGTAATAGTCGGCAAAAATCCACTTTGTCTGTTGTCAAAGCAGCCATCATAATTTCTTCTAACGCATCTTCCTAATGAAATAAGCAAAACTCGTTTCGCATAGAAAACAAATTCCTTCGGCTTTTCTTACGGGCCATTGATGAGCACTAGACAGGATGTAATTTCGTGCGATATCAACACGATTCCATGTCAATGCAAGTTTTAACTGATCAATCGATGACGCACATGTACTTCGAAGTAGAGCAATGAGTATTGCTAAATCAATATCTTGTGAAGACTCTTCACCCATACGAAATATGGTTATCTATTCAATAATTCGAACGTGCTTTCGAACTAATTTAATATTTCGTTCTTTACCAAATCTCGTCTTTTCACACACGCCATTAATTCTTTGAAAAGACTGTGCGCTTGTTTTTTCGTGTAAGTAAATGTTTTCATTATCGTGTGAATCAATTGTTCTCGAATGTCTGCTGGCATAGTTCTAGAATAAATCATAGATTCGAGCCGTGCGACATGATCATTTGAAGAGTTCTTCAGAAATTTCATTAAATTGAATTTTTTCTCCTAATGGATACAGGCTAGCGGGCCGAGAAAAATCGAGTATTTCTTATTTGTTTTGCTACTCCTATGTCGTCGCAAAAACAATCTGTCCTCGTTCGAATCGTTGTCTAATCGTACAATCTATCGTGTAATCAAATTACAGATACGACTGAGTTTATTCTTTTGTTAGTTATTTTATTTTCAATAAATGTCTTTCTTTGTTCTATTCTCGTATCTTCTTCACATACCCGTCATCTCTAGCATATCGATGTGTAAATGAAATCAGGTCTGCAGCCCGACCACTTCCATCACAAACGACAACTGGCACCGGTGGATTGTCTGTCACATGTTCCAGAACCATACGGATCGTATTGACTCCGCCTTCAACAACAACACAAACAACAGGAATATTCGAATGTTCAGCTAGCAAGGTAGAAATTCATGAGACGTCATAGTAGAAAACAAACAACTGAACTTACATGTATGAACATTTGTCTGCTTCAATAAGAACCTTTCGAAACGTTTTCGTAATAAAATTTCTCCGCCATATTTGCCCGTCGTACCATTGTCAACCAGTAAGAAATAATAATGGTTACTATTCAGTGTAGCATTGTTTTTCGTTGCAATGGCTTTTGAATGGTATGAAACAAGTTTCTACGATGGCAACGGAAACATTCGTATGTGATATAATGTCATGGAAATCTATCCTTACATTGACACCAATTAGGTTCTCTCGTCCCTCGATGACACCCCATGGAGAAAAACCGATGCAAACAATATCAGATTTTGCCTTTGGTGACTTAGAAAACAAAGCATCTCCGACATGTTTCACCACACCTAATCAATTCTTTCGTACAAAACATCATCAAGTAAATTGTCTTTTCCTACCTTGTTGACAGCCATTAGTTATTATCCAAGCACCAGTTGTTTTAGCTGCTCGAAAGAGTCCTTTTTTCAAGACACGCTTTAATTTTGGTTGTAACTCGAAATTAGCAATGCCTCCATCAATTGATATGACTAATCGTGGCAATTTCAAATTCCATACACGTAGAAACAACTTTAAGACTAAATCAGGTCGTGTGTCATGTGAGAGTCGTAGATACTTGAAAAATTTAAAGAAGAAAAATTATCTTTTGTTTTCACCTATCAAGTAATCCTCTTACTTGAGCTTTTGTCGGATGCGCCATACCATCGAATTCGATGACACCAAATGCGTCAGTTGGCTCACAACGTGTATGTTTCTGTACGGACCATCGTTCATCTTTATTAACAGATAATAAATTCGTATTAGTCGATTCATTCTGAATAGCACTATCATGATCCGAGAGATATCTTCCACAAGAACATCGCCCCAGATCTTGCAGATTCTTTGATGGAACAAATCTGGCACATTCACGTTTTTTGAATGTTCGTTGTATCCACGAATTATTCATTTCGAACTAATAATGAAGAAAATTGAGAAACGGAGAAATAAGCTCGACTCTAATATCCTACCGATGTTGGCGTGACCATATTTTGTTCAAAAGAAAAAAGCTTCTTGGCTGTATTATCACATGAAAGTGACAGGATATGCTGCCGATGGTTATGATGATAATAAATAGGGAAGGAAAGAAAAAGAAAGACATCAGCATCGTCATGCACCGCTACTATTATTACTACATTTTTCCTCGTCTTCTCGTTTTTCCCTGCACAACAGATCCATAGGAAACAAGAGAGCGAGAGAGAGAGAGACAGACAGAGAGTGAGAAGAAAAGGGAAGAGACAAAAAAAAGATTGATGACGTCTATAATCCGATTATTGACATAGATGCATGGACATTGAGATATTGATGATGCTTAAAGAAACTTGACAAAAAGATTCTGTGAAAATTTTTCTTTCTTCAAATATACAATAAGACGAAAAAACAATTGAGGATTATCGACATACACGCAACACGCACACATATATATATGTGTGATTATATGTCTATGTGGAGACAAAGAGAAATGGAGTGATATCTTGAGGGTGAAAATCGATTTGAAATGATTTTGTTCATAATTCAATAAAGAATCTTTCGTGTGAGTGTCTGTATGTATGCTTTTCTTTGTTTTCATTTAACGAGACTATACAAGATACATTTAAAAAACCAAACAAGTTCCTATGATTTGAAAACTCGCACTACGCGAACAATGTTCGATCGACATATTGGACATTCGGCAAGTAATTTTCCACATTTGACACATGTCACCTAGATAGATAAGAAAAGTTTCAGGTTGACAATTACAGAACAGAAAGAAAAAAGAGAAATGAGATTTCCTTTGTCTCCTAAAACAGGCAATCCGGTCTCGTTTCTTCCTTCTTTCTAAGAACTTTTTAATCTTCGGTTTTCGAGCTAATTATCGCATACGAGGAAAGAACACCCGAAAGCTTACCATATGACCACAATCAAGAAATACACAATCAGCAATAGCATCCATGCATACTTTACATAATTCACTATCGCTGGCTGTTGCACTATCAAGTTCTTTAGCTACAAGAGATGCATGAAAGAAGGGTTTTATATTCTGAAATGAGTATGAATGAAACTTACCTTTGATTTTCTCGTTTTGTCGATCCCGATAAAGTCTTCGAACTTTTTCAACCAATTCATTTTTCTCTACACATCCTTTATAATCCACGAAATTTGCTACTAGGATTTCTTTCAGGTCACGGACACTTAAATCTTCAATATTTTGCTCATTATTTAATTCACTCAAAGATTTACGACGTGGTCGACAACTTGTCGTCGCTTGCTGTTGCTAAAAACAGACAAAATAGAAATATGTCATTAACACGATAAGGATTCATTCCATACGACTTACCGTATTCGAACTAGCAGTGCTTTCAGTAGTCGTCGTCGTTCTTCGTTGTTGTTGTGGACTAGTTGTTGTGGTATTGGTAGTGGTTGTATAAATAAAGTTACCCGGAGATGTAAAACTGTATGTAAATGGTCCATTAGCAGTTGTACCGAAATTGAATGTCGACGATGTGCCATTGCCATTGTTTGTTGTTGCGGTCGCCGTCGTTGTTTGTTGATGATCACCAAGTGCATGGTGCAAAACACCAGATACTGTATTTGTGACATAATCTTGTAAATTAGCGGCAAAGTGATTCATTTGACTAGCAAACGACGTCATTGTATGTTGAAAATTTGTAAAATTTCCATGTTTTGGTGTCTGAGGAGGCGTGGGTGGCGGAGGCGGCATTCCAGTAGTAGTTGTAGATGATGATGATGATGAAGACGAGGATGAAGCGCTTGTTGACGTTGAAAATTGATTGAACGTTGTATGAAACTGTTGTTGATTTGCATTTGTTGTGGATGTTGATGAAGATGATGGCGATGGTTGTTGAGAAGAAGTGGGATGCAGAGGAGGTGGCGGTGGTTGAGAGGAGGCTTGATTTTGTTGAATCAGTAAACGTGTAAAAGGTAAGTGTCGATTTCTCACAATCAAATCCACAAGTTCTTGTTTTTCTGTACATGTATGATACGCAATATTCTTCGCTTGTAAAAATGATCGCAAATTTTTGACTTTCAATGCTAATAGTTGTTCATCTGTTGTTGAATCACTTGATATCAATTGACAAATGAGACAGATCCGATGTGGATGGTTATAATGACGTTCGCGAGGTGCACAACTCGTACAATAGTATTGACGGCAGATTGCACAACTTTTCTGCAAGCAAACGGTTTGTTTAAGCAAATGAAGTACATGAGAACAAGGAATTTACTTTTCGTTTTACTATGCTGTATGTTGTATGACAATGATCGCATTGATCATTGGAAGTTGTTGGGTAAGATGATGACGATGATGGCATAATGTTTGACGAAATGATTTATCAAACAAAAGTACCAAAATTAGAATTTCGAAAAGTTACTATAAATTGCTGAATTAATTGAGTTTGATTTGGTATTGGAACTTCCCTAAAGATTATTGAACAAGTCGATTATTCATGAAAGATTCTTTTTCTCTATCGGTCAATCAATCAATCTGACATGTTGTTGTTGCCCCTTTTTTTCTAGCCAATCGATAAGACTTCATAGAATTAATTTGTAAATATTTCAAAGCTATTTTTTGTCCAACCATTTCGAAATTTTCTTTTCGAAAAACGTAAATTCGTCTACTTTGGAAAAATTATCTCTGCAGCGACATCTGTCGTTGTGTAAATGAATAAAGTAAATAAGTAAGTCGAGTTTTTAATCATTAGAAATAGAATCGTCATTCATTAAGGAATTTGGAATGGCAGCACGTGCGAAAGCGAAACAGCCGGCGAAGAAGCGTCAACAACGGGCTACGTCGAATATCTTTGCAATGTTTGATCAATCCCAAATCAAGGAATTTAAAGAAGCTTTCAATATTATTGATCACGATCGAGTTCGTTGCGAGAACTTCGAATTTTTTTCATTGTTTTCCTCATTCGAATACTTCTAGGACGGTTTTATTAGTAGCGATGATCTACGGGATATGTTTGCTTCGTTAGGAAAAGTTGTTCCCGATGCCGAAATCGAAGCTATGGTTCGTGAAGCACCAGGCGATTTAAATTTTACAAGTAAATTTCATTCTTTTCAACAAATCTGACATACTTTCGATTTCTCTTTGCTTTTTTCAGTGTTTTTAACTTTATTCGGTGAAAAATTAACTGGTTCTGATCCGGAAGATGTAATTCGTAATGCATTCCTTGCTTTAGATGAAGAACGCACAGGCAAAATTAGCGAAGATCGTCTACGTGAATTGTTGATGTCCATGGGCGATCGTTATACTGAAGATGAAGTCGATGAATTATTCAAAGATGCTCCGATCAAAAACGGTCTTTTCGATTATCAAGAATTTGTGAAAATTCTTAAACATGGTCGTAAAGATCAAGATTAAAATACAAATTGATTCCTCGGAAATGAACAGATATTTTTCGTTTTCGACCTTGATTGTTATTCTCTTATCTGCTTTTTTTAATGATTATCATTTATGCCTAAATTGAATCAATGAATAGCATTCCATTTTAATGATATGTATTTTTTGTAATTTTTAGATCAGAAAATGGATGACGCAGAACTTGATCAAGGTAATCCACACAAGAAACCGTTCGTTTTCATTCAATTGTATTTCGTTTTAGATTTCACATTTGACGATGGAAAGAAAGCGGCCAAATCGATGAAAAAGAAGAACAAATCAGGTGGTTTTCAATCATTCGGTATGTTTTCATGTGAAAGATTATTGCGAGTCGAGTTAGTCCTTTGTAAAGAGAAGAAGCGAAAACAAATGTTTATTTTGACATTTAAATATCAACAAACTAAAAGATTAAATTTTGATATTTTCGACATGACATCAAGGAGAAGTTGTGTGTTGATGGACTTCTTTGTTCAGGATTATCTGCACCGGTGTTCAAAGCGATCATGAAACGTGGTTATAAAGTTCCTACACCAATTCAACGTAAAGTATGCAATGAAACCTATCCAAGTGACTTGATTTATCTTGATGCATCTTTAGACAATTCCGGTAATCCTTAAAAATAAAGATGTGGTAGCTATGGCACGAACAGGAAGTGGAAAAACAGCTGCCTTTCTTATCCCGATGTTTGAGAAGTTGAAAGGACATGATCCTAATTCAGGACCTCGGGCATTGATTCTTTCACCTACGCGTGAATTAGCATTGCAAACATTGAAATTTACACAGCAGGTAAATACAAATAGAAACTACTTGCAGATTCCAGACAATTTCTTGTTTAGCTTGGAAAACTTACTGATCTCATTTCGACAGCTATTCTTGGCGGTGAAAGGTATAGAAATTCATCATGTCGAACTGGAGATCTCATATTTATTTTTTTTAGAATCGAAGAACAATTCAGTAATTTACATGCACATCCGGATATGTATGCTTGTTCATTTGCTGTTTTTCATTCACAATTCATCGTATATTTTTCAGAATCATAGCTACACCTGGTCGTTTCATGCATTTGTGTATTGAAATGGATTTGAAGTTGAATGACGTTAAATATGTTGTCTTCGACGAAGCTGATCGGTAAATTGAACATTCTTATTTTCATGTATTCATATATCAATCGATATTTAGCTTATTTGAAATGGGTTTTCAAGAACAATTAAACGACATTATCAAACGTTTGCCATCTCAGCGTCAAACATTATTATTTTCTGCTACACTATCGAAAATTCTCGCCGAATTTGCCAAAGCTGGTCTCTACGAACCGGAATTGATCCGTCTTGATATCGAAATGAAATTAAATGAAAATCTCAAACTGATTTTCTTCCATCTGCGTCACGATGATAAAACAGCGTTACTTCTTCATCTTCTCCGCTCAGTAATTCCATCCGATCAACAGATTGTCCTATTCGTTGGTACTCGTCATCACTGTGAATATCTCAAAGAACTCCTTGAACAACAACAACAGCAAGATCTTTTCTCAGCTGTGACTATCTATTCGACATTGGATCATTCGACACGAAAAATCAATTTAGCAAGATATCAATCGGGTAAAGCAAGAGTCCTAATCGTCACGGATATTGCAGCAAGAGGAATTGATATTCCCTCGTTGGACAACGTGATTAATTATCATTTTCCAGCAACACCAAAATTATTTCTCCATCGAGTCGGTCGAGTTGCACGTGCCGGACGATTGGGTACTGCGTACTCATTGCTATCCACCGATGAATTATCTTATCTATTCGATGTTCAGGAATTCATCGGTAAAACAATAGATTATGCGAAACTGGATGACGGCACAACCGATTATCATTTATTATTCGGTAATGTTCCACAAACAATCATTGATGAAGAATCAGAAACGATTCGAAAAATAACCGAAACCAATGTTGACTTAGTAAACTTATTTGCAGTTCAACAAAATGCCTACCAACATTACATTCGATCGCGACCAGCATCGACTTATGCGTCCGTGAAACAGATGAAACAATATCACAATCAAATTACAAACATGGGCATTCATCCGATTTTTCGAGATAGTTATACGGCGGATGAATTAGCGCCGAATGCGTTGATTCAACAATTGAAATCATTTCGTGCTAAGAGTGTAAGTCAAAAGCATATCGCGCACTTCGTATAATTTTTGCTTACGATTTAGACGATTTTCGAAGTGAATCCATCGTCGAGCAATGAAGCATGTGCGATTATGAGACGGAAACGAGCACATGATGGAAAATCAATCCTTAAGCATGAGAGAAAGGATCAACCATTGCCAGCAATCCAAGACGATAGTGATGATGAAGATCGACCAAAAACACTCGAAGTAGGTCGAACTATAGAGAGAATTTTATCGTATTAACGGCTATCGTCTTCCGAAGGTGGATAATATGACCATAACTGTCCGAGATAATGACGATACGGAATTGCCAGCAAAGAAGAAGAAAAAGAATCGACGTGAAGTTGATAAAGACTTTTTTATTCCATATCAACCACCGGATTATAAACGTGAACGAGGGTAAGGTTGAGCTAACAGGGAAAGATTTAGAGAATAGTCGATTGCTTGGTTTTTAGGTTAGAAATTCAATCGTTCGAACGACAAACAAATGATGCAGTCATGGATTTAGCGAACGATGATGGCACGTCGATGAAAGGTCCAATGATACAGAAAACGAAATGGTTTGTTCATTCTTCTCTTCAATGTTTTCTTTCAAAACAGTTTTCTTGTTTACAGGGATCGCAAGAAGAAGAAGTTTGTTACTGTTGGTCAGACTGATGCTAGGACGAAGAAAATCAAGACAGAAAGTGGCCAATGGATACAAGCTTCCTACAAAACTGATGTGTACGATTTCATTTCACGTACTTTCCATTTCAATATTCTCTCTTTTAGCTATAAGAAATGGTTAAACAAATCCAAAGTTCTTGACAAAGAACTACCCGATAGTCGTCGGAATCGATCCGAAGATCATGTTAACGATGATGAAAAGTCCAGTGCTCAACATAAACCACGTATGTAATGGAAATCTGTCTCGAATTCTTATTGTTAATTTTTTAGGACAATTCCAACAACGTGTTAATCAATTAATGAGCCGACAAAAGGCACAATTGAAAGCGAAAGGTCAACGTATGCCGAGTCATTCAGAATTGAAAAAACCCGAACAGATTGTTAAGAAACGTGCTGAAAAACGTCAACGACTCTCACTTCAACGTGCTCGTCAAATGCGCAAAGGCGGTCGAACGAACTATCGCAATAAACGTCATAGTAATAAAGCAAAACATACTCGACGTGTAACATCTTCGAACACAAATCAATCATCAAAAAGAACGAAAAAGAGATAAATCTTCTTGTTTTTTGTTTTTTTGTTTTGTTATAAAAAGAAAATAACTAACTTGTTACACAAAATATCACTTCACGACTCCATCTATCCCTAAAACCTTAATTTTCATTGATCATTAAGTAAATACTAGTACATAATGTAGATCAACAGAAATCCGATCGAAATCTTTCAGATAAAAATTCAAATCTTTTTTTCTTTTAGATTGATTTTCTTCCTTTTATTCAAAATGACAAGTGAAAATCCGGCAGAAAGTGTTACAACGACTGATGCAATAAATGCTGATTTTAAAGCTGCAGATCAACAAGAAGAACCAGAAGTAGAACAATCGGAAAGTGCACAAGTTGAGAAACCAAAACGTGGCGGACGAAAAAAACGAGAGATTACAGCAGCAATCTCGGACGTTAAAGCTGAACACGTGAATAATGAACACGTCGTGGATACGCAACCGCTATTCGAACAACCGGTTATACTTGAAGGAAAACGCTCACGCAAACCAACGTCACGTTTGGAATTATCGGATTTAGAAACACCTAAGAAAGAATTTTCTATTCCCCAGGTAAGCTTTACTCAATGACAAATATTTACAGACGTGAAATAAATTTTCATGCTGTTGAGTATTACATTATGTGCTTAAACTTCACTACCCCTTCATCTTCAACATCGCTATTCATTTGTGGTGTCAAATGATGTAATAATCATGATTCAACCTGAGAAAATGGAACATATGCTTTCTATTTGGAACAATTAGTTGATTGCAAAATGACTTGGTGGTCTTTTTTCCTCTTGTTCTCTTCTTTTAATATGATGTTTGCACTGCTCTCAATTATTGAATAATCTTTCTTTTTCTTTTTCGTCTTCTTTCAGGGTCACGGAAAGCCATTAGGAGACATTGAATATAGTATGTTGATATTATTTCTTTTTCTTCTTTTCGTATAAAACCTTGTTGTAACATTGATATCCTCTAGTTAATCATCAAATTACTCATGCGACAACCGATGCTTTGTCTCCCATGCGTGGTATATGTTTCGGTCGACGAGGAGTGAGTGAATACATCGAACGGTACAGGCAATTAAACTCTTGCCTTTAGAGCAAGGCAAATATGCGAGAAAGTCTTCGAGAATTCAATGGATTTGAATTCGATAAAGAGAGTGATGAATATCACCGACATTTAACCAGTTTGACGAAGTAAGGCTTCTTAATATCGAACGCAAACATGAGAAATGCAAATACCGTTTCATTTTTCGTAGATGGAAAAAAGATCAATTACAATCAACACTAGACATACTTGGTTTACCAGTAACTGGTCAGAATGATGAACAGGCTGAGCGAATTTTAACCTTCCTTATGAATCCAATTGATGAAGGAAAGCCAGTTCCAGAACAGAAAATGTCTATGCGACCAGTGAGAACATCACGTGTTTATTCAAAAGGGCCTATTCAGGTAGGAGGAAAAGAAACGATGTAAGAATATGAATGAGTGATCTATAACTTTCGTTGTAGGACGAAGATGATGACGAGGATGATGCTATTGTCAACGATGATGACGGCGATGAACTTTTTAATGAAGAAGAAGTCGAAGAAGAAGATGCAGAAGAAAATGAATCTGATGATGATTATATTGGCAGCGATGATGACAGTGTTTTGATGACAAAAGATGATCCTGATGATTTTGCTTATCAACCCGGCAAGAAAACTCCGAAGAAAAGAACATCATTGAAACGATCACGAAGTGCAAGTTCTTCAAAAAGAAAAAGAGGTTGGTTCCCTTTTTTTGAGTAATCTAAGCCATATATCAATATTCCCCTAATCGATGACTCCGATGAATCTCGTAGATCACCCTCACCCATTGTTACTAAGCGTCAGATGGTTGTAGATGTAAGCAAACAATACTCGACTTATTTATTTTAGTTACTCCCAAAGTAACAAAACGTGGCCGCAAAAGAACTAAAGTAACATCTGTTTCAAAGGCTGAGAATGAAGGAACAATTGTTCCTCCAGTTGCCGATGAATCAAAACAAAATAACGATAAAAAAGCCGACCAGGCGGACGAAGAAAATTCTTCTGCAGAGTCTAAAGTTTGTTCTACCCAGCTGCACACTTTCTTGACAACATTATCATTTCTTATAGAACAGTGATTTAACAATTGATCAATCCGAACAAAATGACACGAAACCAGCAAGCAATCCTACTTCAGATGTTAATGTATGAAATGGATGTTAAGCTCTCGCTCTTTTCCCATTGTTTTCCTTTAGGTATTTCCAACGACAAGTTAAACAAGCAACAAACACTAATAGATTGATCACACGTTAAATTTGTCTCCATACATTTGTTTGTTTGTTTGTGTGATATGTTCTCAGTTGTTCCGACTAATCTATGTATATAACTCTATGTCTCTGTATCATTTTTCTAGTAGTGATTGTGCTCTTGTGCTGGAAACAAAGCGATAAAACTAGGCGTGAACCGATCGTTTGTTTCTGTTTAGTGTACTAATCTGTATTTTAGTACGGATTTTCTGATCCGAAAACGAGGAGATATTCTTCTTGATTTAGTCGTTTATTATTTTTCTCTGAACATATATGTTGATTTCTAGGTATAGCCAAGCATATGTAAACTGTTGATTGTTTCAGTTTTTCTTGTCATTGCTAACAGTATTCATGTGAATGTCTGTTTTTCTTTTTCAAAAAAATATATACATAGATGCAGGAAAGACTAATTTTTTCAGTGTATGAACTTTTTTCCATATGATTTTCTTTTGTTTTTTAATTTCCGATCAACCAGTAAGAAGAATGGTCGACGAAAGAGTGAAACTGTGTGATGAATGTGCATTTCAATGTTCCATATGTTACAATGAGATCAATGATCAAAAGAATGTCTGTGAAATCGAATCCTGTCACTGTCAATTCTGTACAGAGGTATTCAAATCTTAATTTTATTTGAATAACTGCGTACGACATATCTCTTCTTACTTCTAGTGTGTTCGCCATTATTGTTCCAGTCAAGTAAATACCGCGTAAGAGTATCCCATTGCTTTTTCAAACATTGTGATAGGGTAAATTCTTTTTAGATTAGTGCCGATCCAATGTCCGAACAGTGAATGTGACCAACAGTTAACATTGAATGAGGTGTGACGTCCGGAGGAAAATTCTGTGAATAGATATGAAAAGAAATTTTTTCTTTAGCTCTGTACACTGTTAACCGATGCACAGTTTCAATTGTATAGAAAACTCTTACTCGATCACGGTATTGTTTTGGAAAACAAACTTATCCATCTATTCACGGAATGCATTATTTAGAAGTAACTAACGATCCGCATCGTCTGTTCTGTCCGCACGTCGATTGTGGTAACATAATAACGATAATCGACGAAAGAAAAATCAACAGAGAACATCCGACAACTTGTTCAAAAGTAATCAATGAATTCATTCTGTCGGAAATATCGAATCGATTGTTTTTCACATAGTGTAAGACAACATTTTGTTTAAAGTGTCGTTCTCAATGGCATCCAAACGAACATTGCTCGGATCTACTGTAAAAGTTTACCAAGAAACAAAAAAGTAGCATCGTTCTGATTTCACTTTTAGTACGCCATACGAAATGGAGCCTGATTCGAACATAAAACGTTGTCCACGCTGTCGTTTTCCATTAGAGTGGGTAGCTGGTTGTGCGCAGATCATGTGTGTCAACTGTAAACATATCTTTTGTTGGTATTGTTTAAAATCTCTTGATGTAATTATGAACAAGCCATTAATTTTCTTTCGAATATACAACGTATGCATTTGGCTTTTCTAGAACGATTTTTTCTTGTTACATTTCGAGCGAGGACCTTGTCGAAATCGGTAAACCATTCTTTTTTATTCTTCTCTACAGCGAAGAATCTTATCTGTTTGTCTAGACTTGGTCATTCTCGTGCATCACTATTCCTTCATCGGTTAACAATAGTTGGCATCTTCATTGGCTTAACGCTTCTCTTCCTTATCACTATACCATTCCTGATTTTAATTGCGCCTTGCTTGTTATGTTGCCGGTACAAACAAATAAAGAACCGTTTGAAAAATCTCACAAAGTTGGGACAACGTTTCCAACAACAACAATATACACCTACAATGCATCCTTCGCCGGCGTCGTCATTAAATCAATTGAATAGTTCCTCGCTGATCGACATCGAACAAGAATTAAACAAAAATCTGAAAAATCCGTTAGTATCATCGTCAACAACGACGACCAATGTTAATAAATCCAAGCCTGAACTCGCGTCCGTTTAATGTATAGCGACTTTATCTTTTTGTAATCCATTCTCTTTTTTTTGTGTTCTCCGTCAATTGTGAATTCTTTTTCTAAACAGTAATTAATCAGTTGCGTCTTTGTTGTAAAGCAAAAACTATTCAATTTTTTGTATGAAATCAAAGTGATGTCTCCGAAGATAAGTGTTTTTTTTTCTATTGAAATTCGAAGACAAAAAGAAATACAAAAAAATTATTTCAAAATGCAACTATTGACTTTGTAATTGACGAACTAGAGCGACGTATTCCTGTTGGGCAGTTGCTTGATCTTTGCCTTTGTTGCTGTTCCAAGCTTCCCATTTGGCTTTACCTTTAAGATCAAGCATACCAGGCTTGCTTGTGTTATTATCACCAGCAGTTGCTTCTGAAAATGTCACAAAACTAGATCGGCGAAGATTAGTTGCGCCACTTACGTTTAAAGAGACCGTAAAGCTTCAACAGTTGATCGTCAGATGGCTTTTTGGAAAGATTTTTGACATCGGCCGCGGCTTGATCGAATTCGGCTTGCGACATTGTTGACAATATGTAATAATGAAAGAAGAACTAGACGTAAAACACGAAACAAAATATGCCTTTATATACCCACAAGTAATAGCATAAGATAAGATATCTCCTTACAGCAAATAAATGAAGCCCATCATCTCTTATCATTATAGATACTTTTTTTTCTCCGATGAGCTCACGGACAAGTAATTGCAATGAGAACGAACCATATCTATATCGTCCGATGTAGGGTTATCAGAAACGAAAACGAGAACTGGTTTTTTTATGAAAATATTTACTTAGATCACATGTTTTAAACGACATTTTCTACTTCGGTAAAGTATCTTTCACGGAAAGATTCGTTGATTATACAGAAGTTTTTTATTCCATAGAAAATAAAAGACAAGAGCAGAACAATTTTCATTAACATAAGAGCTATAGAAAGATATCACCGAGCAATCAATAGTCTGTTTTCAGCATTTGTGGTAGCTGGTTCTTTTCATGGGTATGTTGCGTCAACTAAACAAACGAAATTATAGATAAATTCGAACAGTTCGTGCTGTTGAGCTCAAAAGAATCTCAATTATATACTTACGTGGTCATCATTAGGACCCATCTAGAACAAAAACAAGCATGTAAAGCAAGGAGCTGAATAAGAGTAGAAAGAAGATGAGCAAAGCAAGTTTAGATCTATGTTATACTTACGAAAAAAACAGTCACTTATCATAATAATAATAATAATCGTGATTACACTATAGTTTGATGATATGTTTTCTTTTAGTAGATTGTTAGTGCATACAAAAATTTACTTACATGTAGGTGCATAAAGAGTCGGCGACGGCGCGATCGCGAAGTAGTCTCATTGTGCAGTGTGTCGAGTGTTGTTTCAGGAGGATCAGTAACAAATTCACGGTATGCAAATTTTAGCACATGTCGTGGTAACGGTCTAAGCATGTTCTCGTCAATAGAAGCATGTTTTCTACTCTTAAGAGTTTACATACATTCGAATACGTTGAACTGGTGGTAGAATAGTCTTCTTGTGATCATCGCGATGTTGTTGATGCGATGCTAGCAGATGATTCGGTGCTGTATAATCGAAAAAGTTCGATGAATTCTCATCATCAAAAGTAGCTGCCGGTGTTCTTTGATAACTAGATTTGATCGATACATTTTCCGTTGGAGACTTTCCTTCCTTTGAATGAACGGAGATAGGTACTGTAGAATAAGCGTGGTGCCCGTTACTTGTTTAGCACTAATGACTGAAGCGATTTGTCTCATCACAGGATCGTTCCATATGACTGAAATTAGGTCTGGTGGTACACGGGAATGTAAAAGTGGTTTGAACTTAGGATACGTTCGACTGATCTGTTGAATGCAGTGATGAGGATTTGATGTACCTTGTGCTTTTAATACTGAAGAATAATAAGACAGTCGGTAGGATGGTGTCTAAAGACAAATACGATAAAATAGTTACATTGTTCAAGAACCATGGCATGTGTCAGTTCTTGGTGATCGGATGTAGTTGTTGTAGCATCAGGCGCGTAAGAGATGTTAATAGGATTCAGTCGAGATCGTCTATGTTCGCGATCGGCTCTGAGTAAACTCGATAGCGCATCTTCCATATCATTGACTTTTCGTAGATTGATACCTAAAATGATTTATCACACATTTAAGATAATTCTGTGAATATCTGAAAGTGTCTTTGAAAAATCAAGCTGTTTCAGTATTCACCTTCTCGCATGGCTTTTGTCTGAGCATCGGCTCGTATTCTAGCAATTTCTGATGCGGATCGTCTTGGTTTATAAATTGTTGGCAATTGAAGTGATGTCGTAGAATTTGTTTGTTGTGGATCAGTAAATGGATGTAAATGTACTTGCGATATTGTTAGTGGATTATTAAAATTATCCAATGAACTAGCATTCGATGTAAACGGCCCTGGAATTACTCGCTTATGTCTTCTATGAAGTTGAATTCCACGAATCATCAACGATGATAATAATTGAACGAATTCCACTTCATGTAGATGATGTTTATTACGATTTAGATCCGATAGATGCATGGTGGTCGTCGCTTCTGCCGTTGCTGTTGGTGGTGGCTGATTAGGTGTGGTTCTATCGAGAATAATGTGCAATTGATCACCGAAGACATCACCAAGCGTAACCTTATGGGGGACCAGTATCGGACGTTTTGGTATCATACGATAATAGCCATCATGACGTTTGTGATCATCAATAATAGATTGAATAGGATCAATTGTAGGCTCTGTATTGACTGGCAGGTTAGTATTGAATCCTATATCTTCATCATCGTCATCTACAAAAATGAGAAGGTAGTTGAAGCATGGGGAAAATAGGAAGATATGTCACTAACTATTTTGTTTTCCGTATGAGTTCCACATATCGACAGTATTTGGCAGAAGAGAAAATCTAAAGTTGAAATAATTAAAGAAACTTGTGGTACAAAAAGTCGAACCTACTTTCTATCCGGTGATGAATTTGAACCAGTAGTTTTAATTGGAACTCGATTGGACTGGTTAGTTGTGCCAACTGATTTTGTTCGTGGACGAGATGAATGTCGTGGCGGTGGCAATTCTCTTCGCCCTCGTGGTACATGTGGCTTCGACCGATCATGTATTTCAACGCGAATGCCCGGATCGGTGGTAGGTTTTACAGCTGGCACATTTTCAGTATGTAAATCAACATGAATGTCTGGTGACGGAGAACGAGAACGAACAAATGTAATAATATCATCAATTTCAGCGATGTTTTGGTTGGTCGCTGCTGGATATTGAGAATCATCAAGAAATGTATTCGATTGTTCATGATCATCTTCATCTTTCGGAAGGTTGTCGCGCTGCTCTTCTTCTTCTTCTTCTTTATCGTCTGCACCTTCATTTCTTTCTCCCTCTCCTCCTTCTTCTTGTTCATGAACTGGCGTAAGTTTTTGCTCATCGATTGTCGATTTTTCTGCTGTAGCTGCAGGGGCTCGTCGCACTTTTTCGTTCAAATAATTTTGAAGACTAAAATTTTCTTCTGGCAAACTCTAAAAAAATCAATAAAACATCACAAAAAAACGAAAAAGTCTTCTCGAGTTTTACTTGTAAATATTCAATATCATCCGCACAATCTTTCAAGACGGTATCTGATGTGATACCCGTTAGTTTTTTCAAAGCATCAATACATTCAGTTCGCACAAGAACCTATGCAAAGAAAAAATTGATGCTCACTTATCTACATTTCGAGTAGATACATACTCGAGTATCATTGACAAATGAATTGAGTAATGCAATATCAATGGCCTTTGTTTCTTGCCCAAGTTCAGCTAGAACCGATGCTGCTCGTAACCGATAGTCAGCATCAACATGAGATAGAAGTGAAATGACACCGTCAGCGACACGTTTAAACTGCTCTTTTGAATATCCAATGACACTAAATAAAAAGACAATTATCTATCATTCGTTCTATTGGAGAAGTTATCTACCGATGCAGTTGAATAAGGTAGTTTGTTAATGTTTTAAACATTGTTTTACTGGCATTAGGTAGTTTACTGAGAATAGCATCGATAATCGAATCAAGGGTAACTGGAAGATCAGCACGAGGAAACCAACGTTCTTCGGAAATCTTTTTCAATAATGGATGAATATTATCATCAGCCGTTTCCTCTTCTTCAGTAACTGAGTCAATCGCCGGTTTTTTCTGCTTATTTTTAATTCTTTCGATGATTGTTTTCAAGGAAAATGTATCTTCAGCTGCACTCTGCAAATACGGTATGTATAGAACAGCTTGTATCGATAGTTTCAATCTCAAACCATAACTTACGTAAACAGTAGGCATATTTTCAAAAACCAACTCAATATCTTCGGAATTGTTTACATCGGTAATAAATTTGATTGCATTGATTGTTTCTTGTCGAAGTTGACTTTCCTAAAAAGTGAAGAATGTAGAGGAAATATATACATCTTAATTATTTTAACATACGGCTTCGTGTTTTAGTGCAAAATTTAGCAGTGAGACGACAATATTCTTTGTTTCGATCATAAATTGAGATATCGTACGAACGGTATGAACATCTAAAGGATCATTTTCACTTTGAGCAAGATGATTAATTAGTATATCAAGGATTTGATCGACTAGTGCTGGTTCAATTCCATAAGTCCTATACGAATATTCACATGAGCGAAAATAGATGACTTCATTTTGATACGTACTTGAAGATCTCTGTGACATAATTGCAAGCCGGTTCATAAGAATTCTTCTGTTTTGCCTTTAATATTTCCAGTAGGTAGAGTAGCATAGATCGAGGGGAACTGTTCGTATCACCATCACTTGGTTTCCACCAGGGTTCTTTTTTCAATCGTTTGAATACATCAGGAACAGATTCCTAAACAAATATGTAATCATTTTCGTGATTACAAAGCGTGTTCTATACAGTCGATCGGGATGTTGGTGCATCAGATATTGGTTTGAGTTCTAAGTAAACGAAAGAAATGACGCGCTTTTGTGTGATTACTGAGCATTACTGCGAGGTTTTTGTATAGGCGTTGGTTTGGATGTAGTGCCTGCAATTACAACATCTGGATCGCTCAATTCTACCCATTCGTCATCATCATTTTGCCAATTAACACTTTTGTTTGTTTTATTCTAAACATAGACAAATTCGAATGAGAATTCCACAAAATAATTCAGAGATATTATTTCAAAACATTCAAGTTAATGGTGCTAACGAACAAAACAGTACACTACAGTGTTTGTATCCTTACAAACCTCTAAATTATCAAGGATATCCTAAAATAAAAAGGCAAAGATTAATATTCGCTTCCTCATGCTTACAATTTTATTTAACAGTTGAAAAATGGATTCATCAAAATTGTTTAGGACAGCAAATCGTTTTCTCTGTTCATCTAATTCCGTTGTTGCTGTATCTGCCGTGGATGGTGGAATCTATTGACGATGATTTGATTTTTCATTGGTGTCGTGAAACAGTCTCTGTGCGTCTATTCCTATCATATACATACCAATCTCAAACGAAAGATTTTTACGTCGACCGGTTCGAGATCTTTGATTTGGAACATCGAACGAATTGTCGAGTTTGGAATGTAGCCTGACGAAATGGAGATAAGAAAATAACAGGCGAAAGGGATTAAAAATGATGTTTACCATCGGGTGCGATTGGATACACTTTCTTCTGTGCGAGTAGTTTCGCTCGTTCAGCTTGGGCTTGGTCGTGTTCGATTTGCTCGAAAAAGCCCAATACATCCGTTTCTTCTACATCGGTTGGAACTAAAAGGGAAAGAATCAATATGAAAAGAAAAAATATATAGTAAGACAAGGCGATCAACTTTTCGGAACAGTTTGTGCATCAAGTTGTACTGCTTGTGCTGAATCTGGTAAAGTTCTAAATAGAAATATGAAAACGAACAAACACAAACGAAAATTTCCGATCTACCTTTTGCTACCCGGCTGTTTCTTTTTCGATTGACGCAGAAATGGAGGGGAGGGAGTTTTCGGGTGTATGATTTCTTTTCCTATCTCAACTAAATTCATTCTGAATGAACGAACTCAAAGTAAAGTCAAACTGACGGCTGTTTTTACTGAAGAAAAGAAAATATTTTCGACGTCTTCACTCGTTTGCTTTCTTCTCATGCACGTCGCAATTTCTGTCGAGTAGATGCAATTCAAATAAACGTGTGAATTAACTCTCCTTGTTTGCAATCGAAGAAGTGAAATGTAAAATTGAAAATTCTTCGAGAGGTAAATAAAAAAAAAGAATACAAAAAACATCAAGAAACGTTCAGTTTATAATTGAATAGGAAAAAGTGACAACATGCGGACGTTATTGAATTGACATTAGGTGTCAAATCAACTTTTCATTTCCTTTTCTTTGACAACAAAATGAGAAGAATCGCAGAGCTAGGTGCAAGTAACTTACGGATCAAATTTTTTGTTAAATTGAACAGGTAATTCGATTGGATCATCCTAAAAGGCGAAGGGAAAGTGATGAAAGTGCATTGAAGAATGTATTCTCACCATGTGATGTTTACTTAAAAGTTAAAATAGATCACTTGAAAGTACCTCGTTTCGATCATGATGAAAAAAGACAAATTTTACTCGGTGTTCTTATCTATTCTCACCTTCTGCTATTCAATTCGGCAGCAAAGTTAACTCTTCTACATATAAAACAAAGAAATCACCTTTTGTTCTGTTGTTCTTTTCTTTTCTCGTATCATTTTTATTAATGAGTAACAACGATCTCAACGAATACAAACAACTCATAGTGTTTGTTTTACATGGAACAAATCGATCGTGATATTCTACTTACTTTAATTGTCTTTTTGGTTAGATCGAAGAGAATATTTTCCGGTGCAAAATCGCTGATCATCAAAAAACTAAAATAATACGAAATAGAACTTTTGTTTTTCTTTGTAGAAGAAATTAATCTCACTATAATTTTCGACTAGTGATCAATAAAATATCGCCTCGATCGTTCAGAGCAGCGAGTGACATTAAAGGAATATCACATTTCAATTTCCGTATTGCTTCATTGTTTCTTGTCCACAACTAAAATATGCAACGCTTGAAATCGTGGAAATGTTTTTGTCAACTATCAATTTCACCATAATTTCGTTCGTATTGTTCAACGTAGCGAATAAACCTAATGTATCGCAACCGGTCAATGATTTGATCGGAGAATGTTCGTAAAGAATATCTTTAGGTGAGATTTCATCGAGACCATGGATCGTTATGGCATACATTCGAATATAACCACGGTAAGCACATGCAATAGCTATGCGATACTCTGCCATGGCAGCAGCAATGCAAGGCGCATCAAGATGGATCTAAAAAGTTTACACTCAAATGAAATTTACTGTGAAACATGAATTACTGTAATGCCCAATTCGCGTAGGAAAATTTCATGGCCACTGATGGATAATCGATAGAATTTGGCATGAAAATCGTTTCCTATTGCTAGTAAATACCGTGCGCCTCCTACATACGGATAACACAAATTAACTTATTCCAAGTTGTGAAAAGATGAATCACCTCGAGTAGTATAGGTTTCATAGGATTGAAAGATTTCTAATGTATCCACAGTTGCTGTTTCTTTCAAAATTTGATAGCTACTAAATAGTACTTCTGGTGTATCGGATAACAAGGCGTATTTAAGTCCATGATCACCCGGAACAAGATATAACTACAAGAGCAGAACGTGTGACATAACTATTTAGAATTATTTTTCTTGTCATTTACTTTCCCGTTTGTAGTGCCAACGAAAACAACACCAAATGCTCGTCGTTTCTTGGTATGCTCAGGAAGAAGTGAGAACTAATCATTCTTAATGGTTAATCATTCTTTCTATTAACAATCTACTTGCCCACATGACACAGCAAAGTTTAGTGAAAAAACAATCATCATTTACTTCAAACATGTTTAACAAATAGCACGGTTGACTTGAACAATTGTAACTACATACTGAACATTGAAGTTTAACGAAAGGAACATCTGTGCCTTTCCTATCTTACTTGCTTTATTAGTTGATATATAGAGTATTTCACCAGCCGAATCATAGATGAAATCATTAACAGTAATTCTCTAAATTAAAAAGATAAATTTTATCGATAAAACATAGTTGTCTTCGTTCGCAGTACATTTGGAGATAAGGGAATAATATTGATGATTTGTGATGAACGTGGATTATAAACTGTAAAAAGATTGTGTGTACTTCGTGTGACAACACGCGAAGGAATACTTCCAACAGGAAATGTTACACGCAGATTATCTATCGTCTGTAATGCGCCCGAAAACGAACGAATTGGCTAAAGAAGAGCAGTTAGAAACGAATATGTCAAGTCAAGTTCAAAGCATACTAAAGTATAGTTCAACAGTTGTAAATCATTTTTAAATTTAACAAGGACATCTTCACCACGAACGAACATAATTCGTTCAATCGATTCCGTAAATCGATGTTCACCCAGCTAAATTCAAATATTTGTTTTTTGATTGGATAATCTTTATTATTAATTTACTTTCACTAATGATTCAAGTGAATAAAAACAGACGCTTCCATCATTAGCACCTGTGATAATGACTCCGTCAGTAGAAATTAGTAAACCTTAAAACAATAGTTCAATGGCTAGTTATTGATTAGGTCGATTCTTTACCAATCATAGCTGCATGATGCACTTGCAATTGATATCGAACAGGAATCGATTCACTTCCGATTTCAAAAATCTAGTGAAACAGAAACTTTCCTTGAGTTTACGTACGAATTCATTCATTACTTTCATCACACCATCACCGAATCCCATAATTATCGAATAACCGTAAATATTTGCACTAACAGAAAAGCATATAGTTAGAAAAAATGCGAAGGAAAGCTTACCATGTAACCGGTGCTCCGTGTGCAGATAGAACACTGGCCGATTCTCGATTTAACTAAATTCAAAGGGATATGATCAGAATGAAAGATCAGAGAAATATTCAACACGAACCAATGTATCAAATATTAGGCATCCTTTATGCGCAACAACAAACAATTTGTGGCTGATTGGATCAAGTTTCATGTCGATAATGTTCTGTTGTCGATTAATAAACACAGATTTCAATCTGTCACCAAGTCGTAAATCGTATCCATCCTAGACGGCAATGCCAATCTTTCGTGATAGAAAACAGAAAATAGAATACCGATTCTCGAACGAGATACCAACGAACAAATAGACCATTATCACCGCCCACATAAATAACATCACGTGAACGTATAGTTCGATCATAGATGATTCTAAAATATTAGCAAAACTATTCTACTCTTTTTCCGTAGAGGGTTTTACCTTCGAGCTGTACCAGGGCAACCGATTGATGTTAAATATTTCAAAGCACCATTTTTATTTGATAGTAAATAAATCCGATTGTTTGAATAACCGACGACGAGCTAAAAGATCAGTTATTTTCATTCAAATCTTAAAGCAAGGCCGCAGACGTACCTCAAGTCTGGAAATGTATTTCAATAATTGAAACGACGGAAATTGAAAATCATATCTAAATGAGAGTTTCATATCAGCGCGAGAATTGAACTACAGTTCGACGTACTTCAGACATCGTCGAATGATGCCTGTAGTTAATGATGTGAAATACACGAAAACTGCTGAGCGTGGATCTTTTGGATCATCGTAGAACAAAGATGTAATGATGATATCTTCGACATTTCTCGAATCTTCATCATCGTCGTTAGCACGATAATATGTAAATGCTTGAAGATGAGTGTCGAATTGAAATTTTGTCAATGACTATATATTGAATTGAGGAAAATCAACGGATTTAGAATGAGTCAAAACATACTCGGCTTGAGAACAATGGAAATTGAGGTATTCTCGAACCTAATGAAGATCGAAGTGGAGGTTCTTCATGAGATTTTGCTGTGTATTGTATTTGGTTGATAATTCGTGTTTTAGCTGCTGACCAGGAAAGCAATTTCGGTTGATGCAACATGACTGAAACGTATGCGTTACTCTGGCAATGAAAGAGATGTTTCTAACACTGTCGGGAGTCAAATCATACTGAAAGAAATCTACAATTTTATATGTGTGTACTCAAGATAAGAGTAGTTTTTAGTTTGACATTCAGATTTTTTTCCTCTGCTTCGTTTTCTTCCTCATTATTGACAAACTGCTGGCTAATATAACAAAATGAAGGTCGTCATAGTGAAAAATCGAAAATATCTATTCAGTAGACTGATATAAGCACTTGACGTTATCATCATAAATCCTTTAGATTTCGTGGTTAAGGATCTCATCGAAAATTTCAATCATGTTTGGTGGAACAGTTTATTAAATATTCAATGTATCGATTCGATCCCGAAATGAAAAGATAATTCTTTCGTGAAAATTTGACTAGAACCATCGGCGAGATATGTAAACATGCGTCATCCAGCGTCATCTGTCGAGATTGTCAATCGTTGATTCTGTCAAATGGTATGTTCACTGTGATTCTTTTTTTTACTTATAAAATAGATTTGACAGATAGATCTATTGGAGATGCCTGTTATCTCTTGCATAAAGTTAGAAAATAAACAATCTAAATCAAAGACAAAACGTAACAATGTCTTTTATTTACGTTTCTTTTCGTTTTACTGATAAGAACTTTTCGTTAACTTATCTTCTCATTTACCGTTTTCTCATTTTTATTCTTAGGTGCATCGAAATGAGTGATTTTCTAGCAGCAAATAATCCCTGTGGTCAAAATCTTCTCCAGCTTGTTGCAACTGGCAATGCTATCATAGCTGAACTTCTTCGTTTAGCTGACTTTGTTCCACCGCTATTCAAAGTAGCAAATATTCGCGATGCTGGAAAGTACGCCGAGATCATCTACGATTTTTCGTATTTCTCCAAACAAGAATACTACGATGAATTAATTAACAGTCGAACAGTAAGAACGCGTTTGTTTGATTCGGAATTGTTTCAAGTGTCTGTCGTTGGTAGGATTTGCAAGATCTGGATGATGAATTCCGAGAGAACAATTTAACGTTGTTAACGCGGTTTTATCAAGCATTTGAAAGTGTGCATAAATACGGCATTGAATTCAACCGGTAGATATGCACATTTGTAGAGAAAAAAAACGGCAATGACCATGTCTTTTTATGATTAGATACATCGAAGATTTGACAAATGGAACTTATCTACAACAAACAGTAGAAAATGTTATTGCGAATGAAGCTGGAAAGCAACTGATGGTAAAATAATCTTGATCGTTGCATTGTTCAAATGCACTTTATCGTTTAGGCCGAAGCTGTTTATCTATTTGGTGTCATGTTAATCATTCTAGATTTAAAATACGATGCTGCTGCCCGTGAACGCATGATTGTCTCATATTTTCGCTACAGGTAAGATGAAACTACTCGTCGAATACATCATCAATGAAAACTTTAGTGGAAAACGCAATGCATTGGACAGCAACATCGATGAAGTAGGGAAATTATTAGCACGTAACGATGGATTTTCTCTTCAACCATATAAACGTCCACCTGGTTATCCGGAAAACTATTTTCGGTAAGGAAAATCTCATTCGATTCATATCTAAAATCAGATATTTTATCTTCATAGACGTATTGGATTTCGCGAAGATGTCATTGGAATGATCATTGGTCGTCTACGTTCCGACGACATTTATAATCAAAAGAAAGCCTATACTGAACTTGAACATCAAACAGCAGCATATGCCACCCAAGCATCAATGTTATACGTGTTGTTATATTTCTATCCTGATGTTTTACATAACAGACCAGCGATAATGCGTGAAATTGTTGACAAACATTTCGCTGATAATTGGGTTATTAATTTATACATGGGGTTAACGGTAAATCTCATCGATGCATGGGAGCCTTATAAAGCAGCGAAAGCGGCATTGAACAATACTCTCGATCTTCAAGCAGTCAAAAGTCGGGTAAATAATTGGATATGTTGTCGATTTGTTGATCATTTTTCACTTTTGTTATAGTGTCAAATGATTCATGAGAAAGTCGGTAAACTGAATAATCAAGTCGAACAATATTTAATCGAAGGTGTTCTCATCGAAGAATATGTCTTGAAAAATATTTCGACGTTACTAAAATTTATGAAAGAATGCAATATATGTTTACGTTGGACCATCTTGCATACGAGTGAATTGCCTGTCGGTGCTGATATTAATAAGCGATGTAAACAAATGCTACAACTCGTTATTACCGACTTACAATACAATCCAGCGGCAGTATTCAAGTTATTATTGAACACAGCACAATTTGAATTTAATCTCAAAGAAGTTCGTTGAATGTTTTTCGTTCTGACAATCGGTAACTTCTGATTTTCGTAGATTGTGAGTTTATTATTGGCAGAAAAATTCGATCGATGGACCGCGAATCGTAAAGAAGCAGTCGAACGTCTCGTTGAACTAGCTGATGTGTTTTCGGGAACAATGCCATTGACACGTGTGGAAAAGAATGGTAAGATCGGTTTTTTCTTCGAACATAAACGTTGGTTTTGTCTGATATTTGGTAAATAGATAACCTTCAAGCGTGGTTTCGTACAATGGCAAAACGTATCGAATCGTTAGATTTCGAAGATTGGACAAATGCAGGTCGCCAAACAAATCAGATTATGACAGCATTGGACGAAGTTCAACAATTTCATGAACTCGATGCTAATATGCAAGTCAAACAATTCTTGAATGATAACAAACGCTTACTGAGTACAATGATTCTGCTAAATAATGTTCAAGAATCGACAATTAGTATTATGGATCTTGTTGCTGATCTATCGTATGCGTGGATTATTATTGATAGGTAAACATAGACTTGACATGTAAATATTGACGATGAAAACTTTTCAGTTTCACTGGTGTTATGCAAGAGGGAATCAAACGTAGTCCGTCTTTAGTCACAAAACTACGTGCAACGTTTTTAAAGGTATCTAGTTGATTCACTTCTTCCATCGTACACATGTCTTGCAATTCAAATTCTAGCTTGCATCAGCACTCGATCTACCTTTAGTGCGAATAAATCAAGTCGGCAGTAACGATCTGATGATTGTCAGTCATTATTATTCAGGAGAACTAGTCGCTTACGTCCGTAAAGTTTTACAAGTAAGTTAACTTTTTTTGAATGAACTTTTCAATCGACGCTCTCGTAGATCATTCCGGAAACTATGTTTACCATGTTAGCTAGTATTGTTCATATACAAACGAATACTCTACGTGAGTTACCATTACGTGCCGAAAAAGATAAGTTAAGAGAATATGCACAACTCGATGAACGCTATCAAGTAGCTAAACTTACGCATGATATTTCAATCTTTACGGAAAGTATGTTAATGATGAAAACAACATTAGTCGGTATTATTAAAGTAAATAATTATAAATTGAATCGTTGATAATGAAAAGAAAATATTGATTTTAGCTCGATCCTAAACGCGTACTCGAAGACGGTATTCGAAAAGAGTTGGTTAAACAAGTGGCGACTGCTTTGCATAATGGTTTAACATTTAATCCTCGGGCCAAAGTCTGTTCAACTGAACAAAAGAATATGAAATTCATAACGTTTCATTTTGTTGATAGAACAGCGAATTATTATCGAAGTTAGATGCGCTTGGTAACCAAATGGATGGTTTTCGTCGTTCATTTGAATACGTTCAAGACTATGTGGGAATTTATGGATTAAAAATTTGGCAAGAAGAAGTATCGCGAATTATTAATTATAACGTCGAGCAAGCATCCAATAGTTTTCTCAAACAGAAAGTAATACTGAAAGAATGAAATGATAAACGCTCACATTCTCACTTCAGATTTATGATTTTCAATCGACCTTTCAATCGCGTCACATTCCAATTCCTCGTATTGCACCGTTAGGAGATGGTTCAATCAATTTCATGGGTCGACTTGTACGAGAAATACTTCGCGTTACAGATCCACGCTCAACGTTCTATGGTGAACAACGCAATACATGGTATGATGTTCGAACGAAACAACCCGTTGTTGACATCTTACTTTTCCGAAAACTACATCGAGCTGTTGGCTCGTTTGGTTTAAGTGGACTTGATCGTCTCTTATCATTCATGATCGTTAAAGAATTACAATCATTGACAGGCGCTATTCAGAATTTATTTGTACATAAAGAATCGAGTGATATGCTAGACTCGTTTATGCGACAAGTAGCGCCGATCGATGGCATCGTTGGTATGTAGAAAAATAAAATAAAAGACGTTTTTTGATAATGATTGATGCGTGTTTTAGTTCAACCAAATCGAGTTTATACAAATGCCATTGCAAAAGGAGCCAATTTCTGGACGTCGTTGAGTGGCTTTTTATTGAAGATTGGACAAATGCAATTATTACGACAACAAATAGCTCACGAATTAACAGCATCAGCGAAATATGATTCGAAATATTTATTCTATTCCTTGAAAACTTTCAATGAGTAAGTTTGCTTTTCTGGAAAAGATGGAAGGATACAGTCAACGATGCCTTCTCCCTTTCAGCACTCTTTTACAAGATGTTCAACAAATCTATACGAATACAAATAGTCAACAAACTGAATATCCCGAATCTTTGAATGAATTACTGTATGAATTAGGTCCACTATTAGAATCTGTCGGAATGAATGATGTTCTTCAACGTGTTTATGTATCAGCTCAAAATCATTTCTTGCTAATTCCATTACTTGTTCTTTATACAATCAGTCAAGTACCACGCATTGTAACATTAAAATATTTGAAAAATCAAATGCAAACGTCAGGCAGTAGTTCGTCGAGTGGGGGCAAACGTGATATGGACTGTTCAGCGTTTGTCATTGGAATTTATACGTTGACGAAACAATATCATTCTGATTTGATTGATGATTATTTGACATGCCTTTGTCAATTCATTAAATCACAAGTTGAACAAGCAGGAAGGTAAGGCGGATGATTTTCTTTGGTCCATTTGAAAAGCATGATTGAATTGTAGTCAAAAACTAATTGAATTTCCAGTTGAAGCAATCAATATGCTTGATTTTCTCACAATGTTCATTCACTATGGTGATTTACCGATAAAAGTAAGATTTACTCTTGGAAAAATAACTTGCCATCTATTACCTATGTTTCTGCTAGGTACTTGAACAACGTCTACCAGCATATATATGTGATGAATTTCGTACGATTTAAATCTATTTTTTAGTCAAATCAAATTGCTGTGTGTGTGTGGGTGTATTTTTATATATTGATTAAGCATAACACAAATATAATCTAACAAAATCCAAAGAAATGTTTATGAAACAAAGAATAAACTTTTTTCAGCCCACAAGAGAATCTCCATGAAGCGATCGACGACATTTAACATTGCCTAAATAGTTGCCGTTGTTAATCGAATTGTCTGTCGATGTTTTTGTTTCATTCGAAGAATTATTTCCGAAATGAAACAAACGAACTATGGAAGACCACCATGACTTGCCTGTTGGAGTTGTTTCATGTATTTTATGGTTCTCCGCAACTATTGATGGACTTGCTTCGATCGGATCTTCATCAGTGATATGTTCAACATCGATTGATGGTATCGTTTGAGATTCTTCGATTTCTTCTAACTGAACTACTTCTTGTGCTACTGACTGGAAACAAAGAGCGATGCAAGATTTTGAAATTTGATAAAAGAAATATTCCTTACTGGTTGTTGACTATTGCTATCAGAATTACTGCTATTCGAATGCATCGATGATTGCTCTTCAATCTAAAATAAACACCTTAGAGAAAAAGATGACAAAGACAACAATGACTTATACATCATCATTGCTTGCACTTGGCGTCACTGAATTGTTCATTTTCTTTTCTTTTTTCGATTTTCTAGAAATACGTCGGGAAGAAAATTTGTCTAACGATTGCAAACGAGAATTAAAATTGAACAAACCTTTCATTATTCGTCATTCGACATTTTCGTTTTTCACCCATAGTTGTCTTTCTTTGACCGATTAACTTACGTGTGTCTATTCCTTTCGTTTGCTATATCTGAAATGCACAAGCAATGAGGTCATAATTCTGTCCGTCCATTTATTCGGTCAAACTAAAATCAACACACATCTTTCCTTCTCTTTTGCCATATTTTTTCTTTTGCTGTCGTCTCCAATTGATCGATATTCTATCTCATTATGCACATATGTACACGCACATAGAAGAAATTCAATTAGTATTACGTAGATTCATTTGGCGCCCTGGCAATCTCAAACTTCAGTGATATTGCAGCTGTGTTTAGTGGTTGAACAATGATGGAAAAAGGTTGCATCATGGGAGACTGATGATTGGCACAATGTTGAAAGCTGTTTTATATGCTATCTTGACGTTAATGTAATATACTACACATAGATGTAATGAACAACTGTATTGGACTCAGAATCATTTTTCTACCTTGGGTACGGCGGGCGTCAGAAGGTAGCCGCTGGTTGTAACTATTGGTAGTTCATTTATCTTGTTCTATTGTGAGTCTATGTTTGATTGCATACAGTAATTACATGTGTTGATATTGTATTCAGCGTACTGAAGTGATAATTTGCAGAAAACTCGTTTCTTTCACGATTAGCTAAGAAGAGAATTTCTTACGTAACTTAAAATTCTTATAGGTCAGATGCAATATGGGTATTACAGTTCATAGAAATGTTGACAAGCGGGAAAAGAAAAATGTAATTCGTAAACATAACTATACTTTGTCTTTCACGATTTTTAATATACAATGGCCGAAAACAATTGCAAATCATTAAATAATATACTATCGACACTGACGAACAATCTGTCTCAGGCACCATCTCCGACATATTTTGAAACTCGTCGTGATGAACTTCATCGTAAGTCTCTAACTACTCTGATATGTTCATTTTCAAAGTAAAACAATTCAAAACATGCAGATGAACTAGCTATGCATTGGCCTTTTCAAACTGACGCACCCAATTCTTCCTACGTAGCCCCTACAATCTCCAAATCTACTGCACAATCAAGTATTTACGATGGTGCCACACCGAACGAGAAAGATTCTATACATCGAACAGTATCGTACTCACCCTCAGCTAACTTGCCATCGACAAATCCGACCGGATTGAGTAGCAAGCAAATCGAAATGAAAACTTCTGTTAAGCCGAGCACAAGTGAAGAATCGATGAGTGAACGTGATCAACATATAGGATGGAATTTGAAAGCACAGCAAGGAGTGATTACTTATCAGTTGCCTGATAACCTCCCGGATGGTGTTGCGTTACATAACAAATTACAGAAGTTGATGAAGACAAATACAATCTATTTGAACGATCGAAAATTTTGGACAGTTCTAGAAAATCGGTTCAAACTTTTACAAAAGGTATTCTCTTTCTGTTCCAAATCTTGCGTCATTCTTCTGAGATATTTAGCAAAACTTTCAAGGGAATATGCAACGATTACGACAATTCCAACAAAATTACGAACAAGAGTTAGTTTCTAAAGGTGTTATACCATCGACAACTGAACAAGTGATTAAACAATACGGTGAACAGCAGCATGTACAAGTGACCACGAATAACATCGACGCTCAAATCTTGCAGCGAGTAAAATAGTCCTTCTACATATAAATTTGAAAATCAAAACGTTACTCTCTTTCCAGAAAAAGTGCTCCATCGATTACTATCGTTTGAAGAAACCAATTGAAGAACTTGAACCTTTCGAAAGTGATAACGTTCATCCACGTTTTCATGAAATCTTCACAGATCATCAGTTTCAAAGCAAATCTGGCAAGGAACAAGGAGAAAAATTCGAAAACAATCTGCATAAATCTCAACTGCGGGTAAAAACAATCTTTCCCAAACTTAATCAACGAGATCTGATCCGACAAGAACTAAACACCATAAAAGTATCCTAAATCACAAACCATCCTCTGTATTTCTTATGAACATTTTAGACCAGCGAAGGCCTTTACTCGTATTCCAACCGTTTTGTAAAACAACTTTAGCAAGAATTGTCTCCCGAGAAGAACAATATTAATGTGCACTTGCGAAATTGTTCGTGTATAGCAGCCAAATATGTAGGAAATACATTTACGGGAAAGTTCTTTTCTTTTTTTCTAATATTTCCTGCTACCATAGTACAAACGCTTGAGGCAATCGATTACAATAATTCTTTGTTGAAAGCATAGATACACAGCATTGATAAAATCGTTCACGTTGGAGAAATATCCCCACGCTTGTTAAGCCTGTCGATCATCAAGAATTACACTGGAGACAATTAATTGATTATAAATCTTTTGAATAAAGTTCACTTTGTCTCTCTTTGATACACGTGGACAAAAGTATATCTAATCAAGCTAAGCATGTGCGTGTTAACTTTTCAACAATAACATGCAACCGTTTTACTATGTTGTCTCTTCTTTCGAACATCGCATATATCGAGTATGTCACACACACATGTGGTCATGTCAGTCAAGTGGCATCGAAGACACAAAAAAAAAAAGAAAAAGAAGAGCAGCGGCAAAGGCGGCATGACAATGATTGTTATTCATGTCTTCCATCAAACACCTCATCAACTGATGAGTGAGATACAGTTGCTTTATTGTTAACCGAATGTCAAACAACATCTTCATTGCTGTCATTAACCTCTTGTATTGATAAGTGATTTAAAATATCGTTTACTATTCGCTATCATTCGATAAAACATGTCTATGTTGACGAAATTCCTCGACAGATGTACAAAAGAATATCACCTTTGGAGTTTCTTCGCTCTCTTTTTTACAATGCATTTGTCATGTATTTTGGATTTGCTACGCTTGTCTTGATTTGAAAGAACAACGACTCAATTTGCATTTTCAAGCTATAGAAATGATCTATCATGTATTTTTCTATGACAAAGAACGCGTGCTGGTGGGATGTCATTAGCGATGCGGATGTATTTCACACTCGGTCTATGCATTCATTGTGAGTGTGTGTGTTTTTTGCTCGTCTAGTTCATTAGACAACTTTTACTTTTAATCAAAAGCTGCTACTCTTGCACATTGCTTTCAGAGAAAAGAGGAAGAAATAAGCCTTCTCGCATATTTCTCGCCCTTTTGTCAGAAGAATAAAAAGGAAATGATAGAATGACATTTGTGCAAGACTAGAATAAATGATGATAAAATCCGTTTTTCTTCTCTGCTCTTTCTCTATCCAATAAACTATTCTCAATGACAGAATGAGAAACAGAGAGAAATCAACAGTGCATGACAAGATCTCATTCGAACATTCTTTGGAGAAGCAACCAGAGAGAGAGAGAGAAAGGCAAAGAAATGAAATTATCTTGACATGTGTTCGATCACTTGAATGCGCATTCTCACACTAAAGGTAAAGAACAGGAGAGAAATACACCTAGAGATCAATATCGAAGATTATTTTCTTTGAGATAAAACATAACTCGTTGGCATCTGCTCACACGAAAAGAGAGAATTAACTTTTTTTACCTTCTCTTCTCCCTCTGCGTTTTCCTATTGATGCGATCGAATATTTCAAATTGTCTGTAAACGATGACAATGACACAAGGGCGGAGTAACAACAGGAATTCGCACCAACTTGAACAGATATATACGAATGTTTTGAGAAACGGAAAAAAAGTATGACACAGCTGAGCAAGACAATGATCGTATCCGGATTATTCTCATTTGTTTTCACTGTGTGAAGACAAAACAATAATTAATCTATGCTCATTATTCACGCTTGATTTCATCAGCTATCCATAAAGATATAAATACGAGGCAAAGGAACGATCCTTTTTGGTGTGCTCTCTTTGTTTCCAATGTACTTCTTTATTAATGATTCAATCAAATTCTTTTCATTAGAAGAAAAAATCCATCTGGGTTGGTTACTTTCCTCAAGGCACATACGTTTTTTTTTTGTTGCTCCTGTAATTGACTCAAGATAACTCTTTCCAGGACAAAAAAAAAGCAAGAGGGAAACGAAGCTGACGACATTCAAAACAACAAAAGATAAATGTTTGAAAGATTTACTCTTTCTTCTCACCTAGTTGGTGATGTTCAAATACGTCTATCTTCTACTTTTATATGTCTTTTTATCGAGCATGACAATGACATTCAAAATAGCTTCTGCTATTTAAATATGCCAAATAGCGTCACATTGGATTTTTGTTGTTTTTCATTGAATGAACTGAATAATCATCATAATATAATAAAAAAAAGGGGAGAATGAGATTTTTTATTGTTCGTTAGATAAATAAAGAAAAGT